AGACGAGGATCGCGGTAACCACGATCATCTAAGGCCACGGGAGCATTGACCAGTTATATCCACGAGCTATTGTTGATCTACTATTTCTAGCCCTTCCCTTCTTTCCATTCTGTTTGTAGACAATGCAATTCCTCCGCCAGCTCGGATGATGGTTTGCAACACTCCATAGCATCTGGGTCGACGTCACAACATCGGAACGTATATGCAACTTCGGAGCCTTGGGGAAACAACGACCACTGCTGTCAGTGTTAAAGTGGACGAATACTCATCTGAGCTACTTGTGGACCAAACCATGGAATATCACGTAGCAGGAAACAAGTAGTATTGTTCCTGGCTACTATATACAACAGAGCAGTATCTGCCATCTAGCGGTCGATGTGGGTGCTTCTCGCCCCCGGTTGGACTTACGTGGTTCCAAGGACAGGCTGTGGTGTTTCTCGGGACAAACCAGGGGCTGGCCACTGTGCAGACAAATGCAGGACATGTGTGGTTGATCTTTGTCAATGCTGCAGGCGGGCTGCCCAAGCTTTTTACATGCATATGAGCATGCATCAGTTGTCATTCGGCAACGGTGCAACCTTAGACCTCAGCAAACTATTATACTTCTGCCATGCTCATCGAATACCGATGTAAGGCGTAGACATGATGGAAACAATGCGGACATCGTCTGGGTGCCAACAAGAGCGACAGAGTACTCCGTCATAATTCAAGAAAAAAGGCTAAGAATTAGCGGCAAAAAGAATGCTCACAAGCGGATTTGAACCGCTGACCTCATGATTACTAGTCATGCGCTCTACCAACTGAGCTATGCGAGCTAGTAGATACTAGAGCCTGGTCCGCTTTGCTAAAAATCATATGGGAATTATAGTGTGCCCTACGCGACATCTCCACTGTGCCGCATCCACTTGTGCCTTCCACATCCCTACGGACTATTCCATGCCCGATCTTCGACCTTTTCGGGAAACATGGGATGGCTCTTATTTAGCTTTTCCAACTCGATAGATACTCTCATTGTGCAGAGCTAAATACATCATTCATCATTGGGTCCGTCCCTTGTTCGTGCGAGTGGTTCTCGGTTTTGGCAACCATGGCCAGGCCCGATCCCAAGTATATTTCTGCGATGACGCCAACGGATAGAGTCGCAACACCCCTGACAATGTACCCAACCAACAGCTGTCTTGCATGTTCTATCAGCTCTATATAAACAGCGAAGCACAGTCAGGAACAGCATTATTAAGGTGCAAACCAAAGCATGCGGAACTGTCACCACAAGTCCACAACTACCATATCAAACTACCTGCAGGAACCGGACAAGCAAGAAAACACGGCCAATTCTCGAAGAAAGTACCTACTCGTACCGTCCTAATAAGTTAGATAGGCAGTAGAAGCTATATGGATTGGATTATCTCGAATAGCCCCAACAGTCACTCGACCGACGACCTTCCCTCAAGTCCATTCAATGTAACCATCACGACGAGAGACCCACGAACCGTCGTCCTCACAGAACAGCATAGACCATGTTGGAAACTTGAGGATCTCCACATCATGACGGTCCGAATATAGCTAGCGACGATGCGCATCGATGGTATTCTACCAACCGCTGATTATCAGGCACATTTCTCGAAAGGTCCTGTACTAGATGCTCCGATGCAGACAGTGCTTCTGCCATTGGTTTATTACACAGCTACAGCATCCCAGAGAGTATAAACATGGATAAAATGGTACTGAGTTGAATCTATACAAGTTCTGTTCGTTAAGGGCGCTATTCACAACGCCGACACATCCCATAATCACATCAAAGACATCAAGCAATTTTGGCATGACTCTCTTGGTGGCCTGTCGATGGTAATACTTATAGGGTCATCGCAAGACTACGCAAATATCACTGCGGTATCATCGTCCACTGAGACAATAGTAAACTCCCCACATTTAGTGGTGGAACAAACGAGTGCCCTGTTCCACGAAAACGATACCAAGCTTCTCGGCCGTCTCGAAAACGGGGCCGTCGTTCTGGCTACCGCTGGGGGCAGCGATGTACTTGGCACCCGAACGAGCAGCACGGAACACGTTGTCGATGAAGGGGAACTGTATGACTCTGCATCAGTACAAGCTACAAACACACGAAATAGAGTGGTCAAGCACTTACGAAAGCGTCGGACGAGACGGCAACCTCTCCCATTTTCGACAGCCAGCTGTCACGCTCCTCCTGGGTGAAAGGTGCAGGGACTTCCTCGAATACGCGTTCGTACTCGGCCTTCTCGACATCGTTACGGGGGGTTTGCCCGGAGCAGAGAAGGTCGATGGCGTTGCTCTTATCAGCCCGCTTGGTGCCGGCCTTCCACTTGATGTTCAGCACACGGTCGTGGAAGCGCATCCACCAGTTGTCGGCCTTGTCACCGGCGAGACGAGTGCAGTGGATACGGCTCTGCTGACCAGCACCCAGACCGACGACCTGGCCGTTCAGGGCGTAGCAGACCGAGTTGGACTGAGTGTACTTCAGAGCGATGGTGGCCACAGTGAGATCCCGCAGAGCAGAGTCGGGAAGGGCCTTCAAGCCCTTAGGAGTGATGATGGTGTTGAAAGTCTTCTGAGGCGAGATGACAACATCGTTGCGCTGTTGGCTGAGCTGAACACCGTACACAGTGCGAGTCTCCTCGGAAGCGGGGACGTAGTTCTCGTCCATCTGCAGGACAAGGTACTTGCCACCCTTCTTCTTGGAGAGGATCTCTAGCGCCTCCGGGGTGTAACCAGCGGCGATAACACCGTCCGAAACCTCGCGGGAGATAATCTTGGCAGTGGGAACGTCACAGACGTCGCTGAGAGCGAGTAGATCTCCGAAACTGGACATGCGGTCCGCTCCACGGGCACGAGCATAGGCCTGGGCCAGTCCAGAAGTCTCGATACCGGCAATGTCATCGACCATGTAGACCTTGCGCTCCTTCTCGCTCAGGGGAACACCGACGGCAGCACCGGCAGGAGAGACGTGCTTGAAGCTGGCCGCAGCCGGGTAGCCAAGGGCCTGCTTGAGCTCCTTGACCAGAGCCCAGGCGTTGAGGGCATCGAGAAGGTTGATGTAGCCCGGGGATCCGTTAAGAGCCTTGAAGGGCAGCTTGCCATGGAGCGTGTAAGCAGAGGCAGGCTTCTGGTGAGGATTGGCACCGTAGCGCAGAGACAAGTACTGCTCGCCGTTACCAGCATACTGCTTGCGGAAGAAGCCCGAGATGGCTGTATCGTAGTCCGCAGTGTGTTCAAAGGCCTTGAGGGCGTACTGCTTCCGGCTGGCTTCGGAGATCTCTCCAGCCTCCAGCTCCTTCAGGAACTCGGGATAGTCCTGAGGGTCAGAGAGGATGGTGACACGAGCGTGGTTCTTGGCAGCAGCGCGCAGAAGGGTTACACCGCCGATATCAATCTCCTCAACGGCCTCGACGATGGTAACGTTGACCTTGTTGACGGTCTCCTTGAAGGGGTAGAGGTTGCAGACGACGAAGTCAACCTTGGAAATATTCTGGTCGGCCAGATCCTTCTCGTCGGACTCGATGTCGCGAGCAAGGATACCACCGTGGACAGCGGGGTGAAGGGTCTTGACACGGCCACCGAGCATCTCAGGAGCATGAGTGATAGCGGAGACATCCCTATCAATTGAAAACGCCATGTCAATGACCATCACTCCCAGTAAAATGGGAAGAGCTGGTGACTCACTCAACCGGGAACCCAGCATCACGGATCATTCTGGCGGTACCACCAGACGCGAGCAGACGGACATTGTGCTTGACCAGACCCTTGGCCAGGTCCAGAAGGCCAGTCTTGTCATAGACGGAGAGGATAGCTGTTTATAAAAAAAAAAGTGTACAGGCTTGAGTCAGTCCAATGCTCGTTTCAATTCCACACGAGTAACAAAACTCAGAGTGGGGAAGCAACCGGCCAGTACGACTTGGCGAGGAACAGACCCAAGCTCCGAGTGAGGGGAAGAAGAGGCTGAGAAGATATCAATAATGGACATACCTGACTTTTGTTGAGACATTGTGTAAAACACTGACAGTGATGGACACTGGGACACAACAGAGTCAGAATCGAGCACCGACGAAAATTTGGAGGGGTGGTTGGAGTATGGGAAAAAGTTCAGATGACAATCATGACAGGAGCCCCGCCTGAAGTCAATTGAGTTGGGTCCTGAGGGCGATAAGTCTATTATTCTTATTCTTACCTGAGAATATGACGGTCTGGATAGAAATGAAGATGTGTCACCAGTCTCTCTGTCAATCACAGCAATAAGAAGTATCTGCAATAATTATCTATCGACAGCTTTTCTATCTCTGCTCATCCCACCGCGGGGTCAATCATGATCCTCTCTTTCCTCCCTGAGAATCATGGCCGCTCTCGGACTGTTTGTATCATTACAGATGATTTCCCGAATAACCGCCCCACTTCCATTCACCATCTGGTAATTCGCAGCTTTATGTGTAATGTAATAACACAAAACGTCCCCTGAGCCGGAGCTGTCACATGATCTCCACATATGCTATGTAATGCATGTTTACATAATTATGCACAGAGCGAGGCCTCCAAAATCACATGACAAAGCACAGGCCACCAACTCTCAAACGGAACACAAAACTCGCTCCGTTGAAAACTTCTTTTCCTTTTCCTTTCTTCTTTTTCTCTTCATGAACAACGCAAATAACAACATTCTTTCAAAAGCGTTCCTACGAGGATTATTCTCTTCTACGGAAGAGATAGGCCTATGAAGTACGGAAATCGTCATATAGAATGGAGAGGGATTGTGGGAAACCGCAAAGTGTCGATCTTGGGTGCAGTGTCTGACTTGATCTCGTCTAATGGCGAGCTCGGTGGAAGGGACTGCAATGATTGGCTCTACAGCCTTTTTGTAGAATCTGGAGGATGTGTATGGTGTCCATTCGTGTGTTGTCGAAGTGGTCGGGGACACGGCACCTTAAGTAGTTGGAGACGTCGCCATTGACTTCGTTGACCTCTTTAAGTTCGTAAGATCATACCCAAAGCTTAAGCCTCCGAGCTTAGGACTTGGTGCTTAGGACTTGGTGATCAGGATCATTGCATTGCCCTATCATGAAGCTATTCTATGCTAAGAAACCTATCTATCAATGGTAACCTGTTGAAGAAAGCTACCTGGAGCCGATCAACCCAAAACTCAGCGACGTAAAAATGAACACGAAATAGGCAAAAAATTCGAAGGACGTTGACATGGACTCCATTAATCGAGTCCATCTCTGCTTGTACCTCCGATGGCAAGTTGCCGGCCGACGTTGCCAAAGCAGACGCAGGCGCAGAAGAGAACGCTTGAGAGCCATATGCGGATCGCAACACCCTCCTGAGTGAGGCCCGTCGGCAGTCCATATTCCAGGACAGTGCCATTCAACAGAGGGATGGTAGTCGCAGAAGTATCTGCGGACGTTGGGACTAACTCCGGTTTGAGCCCCAGCACTACACCTGTCCCAGCTAGTCCCACCACGGTCGACAAGAGGAAGCCTGCCTTTGTGCGGTCAATGAGATACCACAGCACAGGATTGACTAGAGCAAGAGTGGCAGACGCCTGAGTTGTTGATTCCCAGGGAAGTCTCCTCTGTGCAGCAGAGCCCAGTCAGCGTTACAAGCCTTGAGGTAGATAGATGCGAGTGACCGGCAAACCAAAGAATTGTGATAACTTACCAGAGCAAACGCAATTCCAACAAAGGCCCCAACGCTCCGGGCCACTGTAACCCAAGCAGGCGTACGATCTTCGCGGGGACGATTGTTCTCCTGCCCTTTGACGGTCCGGAAACGACCCGTATCCCACTCTCCAGCAAAGGAATCCAGCCAGGGAAGCACATTCCCTAGAGCAACTCCAGCCAGACCCCACAAACCCAGGTATTGCCAAGAGTCGTAGTAGCGAATATTCTCCAACTTCACCGGTGTGATCCAGTGATTCTCATGTAAATGGACTGTGATAACTCCGTAGGCCACACCGAACCCAAAGAGAAGCACACTTCGGAACACCTGAGGCAGAATCACTCCACGGAATAGCCCATGACTGAGGCGCGACCGAGTTCTCTGCAGTGAATGGCGAATTGGCGTCTCAGGAGACGTTTTAATAATTGGTGGATTCTCCGAGATAGGTGTTTGTCCCTCGCCTTCGAATGCGGTCGGAGAATAAATCCCATAAAGCGTAGACGACGTCAGATTCATGATGGAAGCAGTGCGGCTTACGCTGGTCGAACCGGCTTCCTTGGGATTGAGCAGATCAGAGTTGGCGGGCTCCGCAGGAGTAGGAGGTTCGGACGATTCGTTCAAAGCAGGCGTAAGGTCGAACACTCGCCGCGGACGAGGTTGAACGATGGCGGGTTTATCAGACATGATGGGCGATCCGATGGATAAGGATATGGTATGTTTCGCAGTGGGACAGAAATAAACAATGTGGTAGTTGCGGTCTTCCGAGTCCAAATGTGAGTTCAAGACGGTATCGGCAGGTGAGGTGAAGGGCACAGCTGAGAATCCTCCGGGTTTATAACGCCGAAAGTAGACCAATGCTAGGATGATGAAGGATCGAACGCCCCCTCTAAGTAAATGTGATCTCTGCAGCAAAGAAAATAGCCAGCCTGATGGTGGCAAGGTACTGGGTGGGGAGACACCCTGAGAAGGGAAAAAAAGGAGGAGAAAGAGGTCAAGGACCTGTCAGGTGTGCAGCGACAAGACTGGAAGCTGCTCCAGCTGTACGGGGTACTTCTGTAGCAATGACAGCTCAGTCGTCGACTTAGCGGAGGTTTGAAACGGAGGAGATGAAGGCGACTGAAGCCGACTCGTTCAAGAGCTGGAGTGGAGCACACTTGCAAGGTGCAATTCGGCGGCAAGATTCCCTGTGATCGGCGGATCTCTGGGGCACACAAACAATGGAAGGCAGATCAGTATACTACAGTTCTGGTTGAAATTCTATAAGAAGCAAGATGACACGTTTACAAGTGTAACCTGATATAAAGATAAACACAATGACAGACGCAATAATGAGTGCGGATGTTTGTGCTGTGAGCAGATCCGAGATTTTTTGTTGAGCGCTCGTAGGACAGGGGACAACGATGAAAGAGGCGGCGGATGCGTTCACATGTCAATAATGATCGTTGTTGAGTCAATAGAGACATTATTGTACGGTAACTTCTCAACCATCCAGGGTTCCCCTCCACAAAAGTCTATGCTATTTCATATGTGTGTGGGACTCCGTACAGATGCACATGCTGTAGTCTAGTAACTAAAATTGCAAATAATACATGGTTGGCCTCTACAGCTCCAAGGCTGTTCTGCAGCAGCAGCCATCTCTCCACTTCAATTGATTTGCACCACAGCCCTTGGACTGCCCCATAACGACATTCGATCGGTTCTGGAATGTCTATATGATGTCCATCTAAGTCCGACGCTGGATTATCGGATTTATCGGTCGCCGTTGTTTGACATCTATTCATATTGGACTTGACATAGATGACAGTAGAAGGCTTATGCACCGGGATGAAGCGGAATTGAGTCCTGAGCACAGGTCTGTTCGGAACACTCATAATCGTATGTGGCTACTGTACTCTGCTATGGTAACAAGACGGACACGGTCACATGGGCAAGACACATTAAGAATTTTGAAAAAAGGCATTGAGGAAGACAAGGTAAGAAACAGAGTGCTAGAATATGAAATGTCTAGTGTGACTTGTAAGAGGATTCCAAGAAGAGACCCAATCGCGAAAGCGGTGTTTCTACTAGACCTTGCTATCGTCTAGGACAGCGGTAGTATCACCAGCAGCCGAAGAGGTCTCGCTGGCAGCGTATCCATTTCCACCATCAAAAGTCGAAGAGTTTTCGTCCACATCGACTCCACCATCTCCGTCGTCGAGATCCTCCTCATCGTCAACCTCATCGTCGGATGATAACGCTTCCGCGTCGTCATCTGCATCACCACCCATGAAACTGTCCTCGTAACCAGGCTCTGCTGGGCGAGAAGATCGATCGTCGCGATCCGCAGCGTCATCCTCATCCCCGCTTCCTTCACCCAGCAGTTCGCGATCCAGATCGTCAAGTCCTTCTCCGTCGAGATCGGCGTCCTCATCGGCCAGACGAATGGAAGGAGGCAGCGGCGAGAGCTCCTGGTCTTGTGAGGGAACGTCGAGATCATCCTTGCCTGCCACACCAGAAGAGGCCCTTCCAGCAGCGCGACTAGGGCGACTTCGGCTGCTCTTGGAGCGGGAGGACGAAGCAGTCTGCCCCTTGGAGGCCTCGCCGGCCGTAGCACCAGAAGCACCAGCCTCTGCTTCGGCGAGCTTGCGTCTCGCATTGCGCGCAGCGCGGGCTCTGCTACGAGCGGACATCGAGACTCGCCCACTCAGGTCAAGGGCATCCATGGCATAGCCGTTCTGCCTGGCTTTCTGGCGCTCCTCTCTCTCTTTCTTGCGGTCTCTCTTCGGACCATTCGCGTTCTCATAGTCCCAGCGGTCAAGCCTTCTGGTGGCCTTACGGATCACAGACAAGAAGTAGCCCGCGGACTCTCCAAAGTCTTCTTCTTCGTCGTGGTGAGGGATCAAGCCACCCTTGCCCCATGAGGCCTCCTCGTCCTCAGTGTCGTAACCTTCCGGAAGAGATTGCAACAAGCGACCGTAGCGTGCGAACGGGATTTCGCTTTCTCTCTTCGCTCGTAAAATTCGGTAAGCCTCGTTTTTACGCTTGGCCAGGAGATAATCGATACGCTGGCGCCGATTCTGTTCGACAGCCAACTGGTGCTGTGTAAGTGGTCGAGGACGGCGAGCTGAGGGAGGCTGACCAATAGTGGATTCGGTCACGAATCTATTCAGAATCGGATGACCTGATCCTGGAGGCGCCGGCGAGGACGCGTCGGGGGTCTGCTCCATCTTAGTCTTCAAAATCAGTCGCTGCTGACCGACCGAGCGGTTGAGAGACGACTCCCGCTTGGGTCGTTTGGACTCAGAACGCGATGATTGAGTAGGCGTCAGATAGCCTTCATCTGGATCCGCTGGACGCTTGGAAGGCGGCCGCATAGAACTGGTTCCATAATACGCGTCGTCTATTCATAGATAAGCTTGGTTAACGCATGACTACACATGCTGGATCATTCGACTGAACTTACACGCAGGACCTTCTCCTGGGCCCCCATCTAAGGGCGGTCGCGGAGGGAGATGGTCAGAATTACCCTTTCGTGGACGCTTTGGCGGCCTGGGTAATGGCTCGTCCTCTTCCAGAATGCCTGTGACAACGTCAGCCCACGCACAGAAAGGCAGAAAATGAGTCGACCATCGCATGAACTTACGTTTACGCTCCAAGCGTTTTGTCTCTCCGTATTCGATTTCCGAGGGCGTATCCACGTTTTCCTCGTTTGCCTGCTCTTCCGTGAGGCTCTCGAAGCTGGGCACCTTGATTGGCAGGCCCTCGGTTCCTTCACCATCCTGGCCCGGGCCGAATGGGTTGTTGAGGGCGGCTTCACGTGAGTAATCACTCTCCAAATACCACCACATCAGCCATAAGAAAGCTCTTGCACGGCTCTTACTGCTGAGCGTGGATCTCATGACCAAGTCGAAGAAATCGCGGGGAGGGAAGAAGTGCAACTCGGACACCTTGGGAGCGTACTGTGCGAGGACAAAGATGAGGTGCACCGGATTAGTCCGAGGGATGGGATGGCGTTTGATCTTCTCGAGCGTATTCGGCTGGTCAACATCCTCTGATGCACCCTTGAGGATCGATTTGAGACGAGGAGCATCCTGAAGCTGCTTGTATGCGTTGGGGTCCTGGTGTGCCTGCAGGGAAGGAATGGAGTGATAAGTCCGTAGTTGAGCACGCATTTCTGGGAAAACTAGATTTGTCTCCGAGTCAGTCTCGAGATCCAATGGCACAAGTTAAGGGAGGGTTTAGGGAAGGAATGAGATCGCGAAGAGGGCTGAGTGAAAAGACAAAGAGAAGGGCAAAACCATACAGTTCAAAGTGGTATTCATCCTCCCAAAGTTAACGAGCAGACAAACCATCGCCATATTGATGGCGGCTTGCTTATCGCTCTGCAGTTTGTCCTTAAGAATCTTGCTCGTCTTACTGCTCCTCGCCATCGCATCGATGTAAATATCCGCAAAATCCAAGTTCTTCTTGCCATCGGACCAGCGAGTGAAGACCGGAGTCTTGTCCTCAAAGACCAGTTTGAGAAACTGGTACTGGATGTCCTTGCGCCAGAGCGGCATGCCATCTTCCTTTTTCAGATGCCTGATTTTGTTTCCCGAGTAGACGGAGCCAATGGTGCCATTCGCCTGACGCCTGATGCCGACCGTCGCGCTGACCGTACTGTGCGAAGGCTGTTCGTCCTGGGTTTCGGACTGCGCAAACGACTCGTCCGCGACGTTGCTTTCGACGTCCGCCATCTTCGAAGGGACCCCGTCAATTCAGCAATTTCTCGAGAGGAAGGTTATTATCAATGGAGAAATTATCCACTGTCGCGAATTGTCCGAAGTTGTGGATTGTTGATTCGTGCCCCAGGGGGGGCGTCACACGCTGTCAGGCTTGGGTTATCGAGGACCGCGAAGCGTGTAACTATTTTAAGGGGAGGAAATGATGCCACAAGTTTATAGCTAGAGTCAAGGAAGGAAGAATGAGAGAAACTCCAGAGGGTTGGAGATGAAAAAGTGAAGATGAGGGCTGGATGCGACGATGATAAATATAAGCGAAGATGGATTCTGGTGTTGGATGAAGAGAAAAGAAAGTGGTTCGAGCAAAGGCAAAAGGAGCGTTGTGGGTGTTCAGGTGCCGATATTTCTTTCTGGCTTCCTTTCGGGATCTTTTGCCTTGCCGCAGCTTTGGTATACAGAGGCCATACTACCTACCTACTACTAGGTACTGTTCTTTAATCATTCCGTCTTCCCCTATTACTATCCCACAATGAGATGTATTGATATAAGCTCTTGATCGCCGTAATTAATGCAATTCAATCCAATGATCAGAATATTCGAGTCAAAATTACTCATTGCGGATTTCGCCATTCGTCTAGCATCCATGCGAAGATGCTCAACAATAGAGAGATTAAGCCCCGGATTATGTAAGAAAACTGAGTGAATACGGCCCTCGAGACGGATTGTATCTACTCTGGATATGTGAGGTCTGACCCCTATTATTACAGAAAAGCAGAATCTCAGACAGAGATATGCTAATCTGGGTTGGGTGAGGAAGAGGAGGCTGGGAGTTTTCAGTCAGTGATGTTATTATTCCGTGCATTGAGGTCAGCCCTTGCAAACCACTAGAAATACCAAAAGAAGTAACAACACCCACATTCCATCCACGCAGGAGAAGAACTCGTCATTGCTCATCACCATCCAGACAAATCGAGAAAATTACTGAAGTTATGCGTCGTCCGTAGAAGCTACAATTGACACAGACAAAATAGAACTTTTTAATTGATAATAAGGTAGCTCTCTTCTCCCGAGACAAAGGGTCTCCGTGAGCTACGCCGTGCCGTTAGAAGGCCTAAAGCCCCAAGCTGCTTCTGACTGAAAACGATGATGCCTCCGAACCAGCATGAACATCAATGCGCCAGAAACCACAGCTTTACCCCCTCCGAGGATCCGAGTAATGAAACACAAAAAGACTCCCATTCAAATGTCAAGCCTCCACGGACCCCAGTGCAGAGAATAATTTGTGGACACAGCAGCTCAAGTCAACGCCATAACACAATGCAAATAATCCCGTCTATATCACTCGCATCGAGTAATTTATGCACCGCGGTAAAAGAAAAAGGAAAGAGCACACAAGGGAAAAAAAGGCCCGTGAACACGACTGCCGCGTGCACTCGCCTCTTTCATGCGGTGTGGATGCGCAGACCCGGAATAACCGTTCACAGTCGATGGAAAGTAATGACACAGCTCGGAGAAGAAAGCGTTGATTTCCACAAAAACAGGAATAACGCATGCACGTGCGAGTAAGAGAGGAAAAGAGACGAAAAGACGCAGAACAGGCCCGCCTTTAGATACCGAAACCGTAGAGATCTATGCTGCAAGACACAGTCGATGCAGCTGCAATAGCACCGAGCATATGAAAACCATAAAAAGTACTTTTCTGAAGACGAAAAGCCGGCACTCCCGCTCGGCGTGCATCGTTCAAGCGTACCTCCACATGGACGCTTGAAAAACAGGTAAGGGTATCTGAAAAAGACGGTCGTAGCAGGAAATTCAACGCGATCTATGATAATCATGCAATGCCGATCAAGGCGCTTCTATCCATACCGAATGTATGGTTCGGAGCAGCGAGATGGAGATATCGGACCGCATCGAACGTCCCATGTCTAAGACGGAAAAGGCGAACGGAAAATAGCAATCGCGAAATGCTCAGCAGATAAAGAACACCACAAACCCAAATCAAGGAATCAGATAACATAGGAAATTGTAAAAGAGGAAGTCGTGGCGGTCGTGACAAAGCCGGTCCCGATAGAAAGGTGAGAAAAGGAAGAAGGACGAAGAGAGGTGCTTCAGGACTCGTTTTCCGATCGTGACCATCAGATGAAAGGCATGAGAGAAGAACGAGCCATTCAGACCAGACGGCCTCGCCAAGGACCACAACCTCCTAGGTAATTTACCACCAGGAAGAGGGTCCAGTGGGGCCCGAGGGGTTTCCATAGCTGCCGCCGCCGTAACCACCGCCGTAGCCACCACCGTAGGCTGGGGCAGCACCGTAGCCGCCAGCACCGCCGCCATAGCTGCTGCCACTGGGAGCACCGTAGCTGCCGCCAAAGGAGGGAGCACCACCGCCAACGTTACCACCCATACGACGCGCATCACGAGTGGCAGTGCCACCACGACCACGGCCTCCACGGCCTCCGCGTCCACCATATCCGCTGCCTTCGCGAGCAATGCTCTCCAGGAAAGAAGGAACTTCTTGATGAGCCTCCTTGAGAAGGTCAATCAGCTCACGGACAACACCACGGTTGCCACGGTTGAAGAAGGCAGTGGCGATACCAGTGTTACCCGCACGACCGGTACGACCAATGCGGTGAACGTAGTCATCGATATCGGTGGGCAGATCATAGTTAATGACGTGGGTGACGTTTGGAATATCAAGACCACGAGCAGCGACAGCAGTAGCAACCAGAATCGGGCAACGTCCAGAGCGGAACATCTCCAGAGCACGTTCACGCTCACGCTGGGTGCGATCACCGTGAATAGCAGTTGCAGGGAAGCGCTGGTTCAGCAGGAAGTCGGAGAGAGCATCCGCCATACGCTTGGTCTCCACGAAGATAAGAGTGAGACCGCTTGTGCCATGAGTGTGAAGGATATCAAGAAGGACGGAACGCTTGTCGTTGTCCTCGACATACTCGACCTTCTGAGTGATGTTCTCGGAGGTAGAGCCGACACGACCGACGGAGAGGAAAACGTAATCCTTCAGGAAGTCCCGGGCAAGCATCTGAATATCGCGAGGGAAAGTGGCCGAGAACATCAGAGTTTGGCGTTCATTGACGTTAGGCATGTCTTCACCCTCTACGATGCGGCGAATCTGAGGCTCGAAACCCATGTCCAACATACGATCAGCCTCGTCGAGAACCAGGTACTTGATGTTAGCCAGAGAGATGCGGCCACGCTCGATCAGGTCAACCAGACGACCGGGGTAGCGACCAGGAGATCGCAGCCACGCTCGATCTGACGGAGCTGAGAGCCAATATCGGCACCACCGTAGACAACACAGGGGCGAACCCAAGAGCGGTAAGCGAACTTGCGGGCTTCGTCATAGATCTGAGAAACAAGCTCACGAGTGGGGGCGAGGATCAGGGAAGTAGGGTACGCCTTGCGTTGACGACCGTAGCCGAACTGGCCCGAGGCCTGAGCAGGCGCAGCGGAAGGACCTGTCTGGAAGGCCTGAGAGAGAATGGGGAACAGGAAACCACCAGTCTTTCCGGAACCAGTCTGAGCACACGCCATGAGATCGCGACCGTTCATAACGATAGGAATGGAGTACTTCTGGACGGGAGTAGGGGTTTGATAGTGAGCGAGCTTGATGTTGGAGATCAAGTGGTCATCCAGCGGGGGTTCGTGAAGGCATTGACGGGCTCGGGAACGTCCTGACCGGATGCTTCGACGGGGATATCGTCGTAGTTGGCGAAGTTGATACCAGTGCTCTGCTTGGTGGGATCGTTGGGAACACCAAAAAGCTCACGCTCCAGGCGGGCGTTTGCGGGACCGGGGATGTGCTTGCCGTCGCGCCACTGGCCATCTCCAGAGCCTTTGACAGAACCGCCTTGGGAGCCGCCGTAGGAGCCTCCGTGTCCTGGGTGTCCGTAAGCATGTGGGTCAAAGGGCCGACGTTGAGCTTCCGTGGGAGTCCAGCTGTTGTTACCATTGGGGACATTGGGACCACGAGGGCTGAAATCAGAGGCATTGGCATTAGCCCAGTTGCCACCGCGAGGAGCGTTTCTGTAACAAGTACGCCACGGTCAGCCAAAATGAACACAGACAAGAAACTGAGATTTGAAAAGGATCGCAAAATACATACTTTGGGCCGTTCCAAACACCAGCACCAGCAGCAGGACCGGGGGGAGGAGGAGCAGCGGCACCGTCGACATTGGCGCCCATGGTGCGCTGGCGGAGATGGGGAGGGATGTAAGCAGCGCGGCCGTTCGAAGGGGGAGCAGCAGGCGCATGCTGGGATTCGTTAAGGGACAGATTTCCCATCTTCAAGCCGTCGGCCATGATTGCGGAGATTTTTGAAACTGTATTAGATAAATGAGCAAGCCGGTTCAACAGTTCAGTGTTTGAAATCGTCGAAATAATCGGATCTGCTGATGGTTGTAAACGTACAATCGAAGGGTTGCTTAGTGTTCTTTTAGCTCGAGAACGTGACAGACAATCTATTTCAGAGATTATCTGTTGTAAGGAAGGCTTGAGATTCTTTCCGAAATCAAGAATCTGTACAAGATGAGAGAAGAGAGAAACTTCAAACAAAAACGTGTCTCTCTATCGTCGAGTGGCGACGTAGCAAAGGTCTCAAGCAGGGAAGTAACACAAGTTGGAAACTGAGAAGACCTGAAGGGAGAAAAAAAAACTGAAAACAGTGTTCTCCCAGATCTAACCCTCTATCAAATCTTGCAAAAGAAAAGAAAAAGGGAGGAAGAGAAAGACAGTATTAAGTGGAGAGAGGTTTGGGGGAAGAAAGAAGGAGGAAGATGGAAATTTAGATTAAGTAGTAGCCGATAGATGGGAGGGGGAGAAGAGTGGAAGAGGTTTTGTGGGCAAGGGCGAGAAGATCCAGCGAAAGAACTTTTAAGAAAATGGAAAATACTGACACGGGGAGGCGAAAAAAAGAAAAAAAAAGTTCAAAAAACGTCAAGTTAAAAAAAGGGCGAAAAAGGAGAGGAAACAGTCTGACTGGATATCCAGATAACCCTACAGGCTGGGCCCAGTCTTTCCCTCTCTGGTAAATTTTCAACCTTTTTTGTGTTTTGGGTCCTACAGCACGTATCTTATTACTGTTGAATTAAATAGAATCATGATTGGTCATTATTATGCATCATGGATGTCTTTGGTAAATAGATATCTACTACATACACAGGTAGATCTTTCATGTGCTTCAATACCATTGATGGCAAATTTCGCAATGATTACGGAGCACATGTGTCTTCTCTGGGTCAGGTTCAGACACCTTAAAAGCAAGGTAGATATCCGTAACTTTGGCTTTGTGGAACCTGCTGAAAGGCTAAACAACTTCGAATTCACTTGCAGTTACATATATCTGCAGACTATCTAGACTAGATAGGTTTACCTTTACATACCTGGATACTATCAAGTTTATCAACGTCAACTTATTAACTCAGGCTATTGATTCTTGGGTGCTCAATAGTATCAGGCAACAAAAAGCAATGTTGTTTATTCGTCCAAGCTTTGTACCTAGTCCCCGAGTCAACTGAGTATCTTGTTTCTCTTGTCAGTGCCTGCTAAGACAGGGTCACGCTTGATTCAATCGTCAACTACTACTAATACCAAGGGATGCCTAGTAAGGTACTCCGTACGTACTGCTTTTCGGGCGTGGCAACCCCACCAAGTGACATGCTTCAGGTTGCCACTACTATGACTCTATGGCTGGCTCATTCGATGGACATTTGCCACCACCTACTGGCGGCAATCTGGACTGTTATGATAGCGACAAACGTACCACACAGGGTCTATCGAGGCTAAATATTTTGGTTTGAAATATGTATTCCATTTATGGATCTATATAAACAGCTGAGCTTTAGCAGTAACACTGTTGACTAGACCTCGCTCTTCTCATTGAACTGCTTTGCCTTCTTCTTGCTGATCTTCACCGCGATGATAACCATAGCGATGAAGATGGAAAGGACTGCAACGTTGCGAAGAGAATAAGCGGAAGATTCGGGCAGAGTTGATATTTCTGACGGTTCTCCATCGTAGAGCCCGTCAGCTGGATCTTGTTCTGAGCGTCATCCAACCATCAGCATATTTGATTGCATATCAAAGCAGCAAGGACTGACCAGGAACAGGTCTACAGCTCCTCGTGGCTACCTTTGGTGGATTCATCCTTGATCTCTCCACTCTTGACGATCTTGACGGTCTCTGCGGGCTTGTCGCCAGGACCCTTGGGCACATTTTCGATCTGTTCCACGATCTCGTAGCCCTCAAGAACCTCACCAAAGACAACATGGCGACCATCGAGCCATCTATCAGTACATGAGGTATTAGTACGCTGCTCGTATAGATCTGCAAATTGCGGAAAGTAAACTCACGGAGTAGGAACGGTGGTAATGAAGAACTGAGAGCCGTTGGTATCCTTGCCAGCGTTTGCCATGCCTGATATAGTTAGAGAACGGCGACATTCAAGTCAAGGGATCCAGGAGTGTCGTACTCAGAAGGCCCTTGCGGGTGTGCCTAAGCTTGAAGTTCTCATCCGCGAATTTCTCGCCGTAGATCGACTTTCCACCGGTACCTACAAGTCAAATATTGTCAACACATGCGCTGTTACCAATTGACGTGCAGAACTTACCATCACCACGGGTGAAGTCACCGCCCTGGATCATGAAGCTCTTGATGACACGGTGGAAGGTAGAGCCCTCATAACCGAAGCCCTTCTCACCGGTAGCGAGAGCGCTGTGTTACGTTTAGTAGGGGTCGATAAACATATCAATTGATTGAACAATCGTACCGGAAGTTCTCAGCTGTCTGAACTCAGGCCGTTCCATTAGTATCCAGTCCCAACCTAGAAGCAGTGCTGCAGAACGGAGCGATGCCTACCTTAGGGACAGTCTTGCCGTACAATCCGAGCACAATTCTTCCTAAGGGCTTGTCTCCATGCTCAATGTCAAAGAAAACCTATGCAACCAATCGTTAGATGCATATATCAATAGCACGAAACTTGCTTACCTTGCTTGTGATCTTTGGGCCTCGTGGCTCCTTAGTCTCCTCGGCGTGGACCAGAGCGAGTCCAACCGCGAAGACCAGGAAGAAGGACAAAAGAAGACTTTTGAAATTCATAGCTGCTCACAATTGCCGGGAAGAGTAGATTTCAGGCAATGACTGTGAGAAAACTGTGAGATAGATCGAGATTTGAGGAGGTCGAGGCCAGGTTGCAGTTATCCATAGCGTGCGGAGATGCCAAGACACATTCAATGAACAAGCTGCGTAATTTTCAATAATACTTGCTGAAAGTCTGCTGCAATGTGGAGCAGAATATGCGACGTGTACGGTGAGACCAAGCTTTTGATACAACTTCGGGTAATTTTCAATTGATTTGCAAAGTTAACTCGGAGAAATGTTTTTGCAGCCTAATTTCTTCCGCTTCCTTGGTGATCGACTGCAATCAATGACAGCAGTCCAGCGCAATTGGAAGAGGAATCGGCCCTAGGAACTTCAGATTCCAGCTATTCATCCAAGATGGTATTGCCCAAGTTCTTCTCACCGCAATCACGCATGCTCACTGTAATCTAGGTCTTCATTCTGGGTGTGAATTTCCCCGAGCGGAATCTCGTCAAGGCAAGCGCATCTCTATCCCAAGACTCAGGCCACCCGGCCAATCCTCTGTTTGTTCATACAGACTTAGCCCGATTCTGACACTCAACATAGAAATCTCTCGAGGCGTTCTTCGGCATTGGTCCCCTGGTTTCTGCACGCCTTCTTGCCCGCTTCCACATCCACCCCACATGCAAGGTTGGCGAGCTTGCGAACAAGCAGGTTCTGGACCTCACAGCTGCTTTATCCGACATGAAGATTGAGAACGATCTCCGGAGACAGATTCTTGATGATATTAAGCGGTTAAAGGAGTCGGGTTCGTACCGGGGTAGACGCCATGCGCTGGGATTACCGGTTCGGGGACAGAGAACGAGGACACAGGTGGGTTTATCCTTTTGTGCTTGCGGGTTTGGTGACAGACTCGCATCGTGCTATGACTTGGAAACAGGAAAGGCAATACTGACGAGATCCACAGATTTCGACCGCTGTCAAGCTCAACCGTATGGAAAGAAGACTGTGACTTTGAATATGATGGCTGCTATACTTCAAGGCATGGTAATGGCGTTATGCTCGTTGGCTCTTATGTACTTTTGAAATTTCTATATCCATGTATCATATTATAGGCAGGAGAATGCGAAGCTAAAAGCAGATCAGATCTCCTCTTCACTATGTGCTCTTTGATCTCTACAAAACGAATCTGATGGTGTCTAAATCAGTCATGACAAAATCATGCGTGTATATTGGAACGAGGCAAGAATAACTCCAACTTTTCGTACTCCACTAAGAAATAAAAGAATATGTGCGATGCATATTATGCCGACAATACGCCTTCGCCCCGGTTGATTTGAATCCTCTTATCCTCTCCCGCACTAACAATGCCGACTGTCTTGTCCCAGCAAACACTGAAGACCTTGACACCTTCCCCTCCGACGCGCTTAGTATCAGACTTTCCTTGCTCCTCCAGACTCTTCCGTGAGATGGAGTAGACGCTCTCGCCAACGACACCGTCTTTATCGGTCTTCGTGGCACGGATATCCCAGATGCGACATGTGCCGTCGTGGCTTCCACTGATCAGACCATATGTACTGTGAGGGTCGCGAGCCAACGAGACAACGGCGTTCGTGTGACCCCGCAATGTCATGGCGGAGATTCTCATCGCTGATGTGCGGGGGTCAATGAGAGTAATGTGGCGCGCGGATGTTCCCGCAGCGAGCAGGTTGAGCTCCGGAAGATGCTCAAGGGAAAGCAGCGAGTGAGACGTCGTCCGGGTGTCCACCAGAGTAGAGGTGACAAGGTCCCATGTGCGCAGTGAATGGTCCCAAGAAGCCGAGTAACCGACCGTCGAGTCCTTCGCATCGAAGATAGCAGCAGATACGGGCGCGGTGTGGGAAGACAAAAGTGCCAATGGCCCTCGCTGGGGAACAGTCACGGAAGAGTTCAGCTTTCTTCTCTTAGAGCTTCTCGATGCGGCCGATGGCAGCAGGTCCTCTGGTGCGGCAGGGGCGTCGGATTTCTTGGTCGACCAGAAGCCGACACTGTTATCTGAGGAGGCGGATAGTATACGGTTCGAGGGCGCGTGCACGGCCAGAGAGTTAATGCCAGACTTGTGTCCGTACAGCTCGAGCTGGGGAGCTATTATGCCTGAGAACCCTTCTTCACTCTCAGAGTATTTCCATAGACGCACTGTACGATCAAGGCCTGCCGATGCGATCTGGTTCGGTGTGACGAATTTGGCCGCTTTGATGGATGCCGTATGCCCCCCATCGGCGGCCGCTGGGGAAGTCGCAACAATCTGAGATGACATGTTCCACACCCGAAGCAAGCCGTCGTAGCTGCCGGAAAGGATCTTCTCTTGGCCTTGAGAAATTGTCGCTGATGCCCAGGTGGCAGCGGGAGAGGTTGCAGAGAGCACATCAGTGGAGCCAACCCAGTCATCGTGCTGGAAGGATGCGATGTGCAGCGGGGAATCAATGCTCTGACATACTCAATCTCCAAAGTCGTCTCCGCGGAGATACCGTTGGCGGTTAGATATTCATCGATCGAAGTCCGCAGAAATGTCCCGTTGATCAGAAACTCGAAAGGTATCGGTTTGTCGTTCCCAAGGAGGTTGTTCACCAGTGTCGAAAGCGCATATCGTCGCAGACCTGTAGTAGCAGACGTGTCAGATTTGCGACAATTTAGTCGAATGATATTAGAAGGGAATGACCTACTTGTAGGAACCAAGATTGGTCCAGTGTTTTCTGGCAGCGCAATATCTTCTTGTTTGCTGGTGAGCTGCACGCGGACCTGTCGCTGGGCAGCAGACGAGGTCGCAGTAGCATCAAAATCTGAGCCGTCGTTCATATCGAATTCTGGACGGTTACTATCTCAGAAGAGGCGTGTTTGAAAATTCTCGTCGGCATCAGAATCTTGCTCCGTCGACCGTAGAGCGAGGAAAAAATACGGCAGCCGATGCGGCCACTTGCGCAGTGCGCGGAGTTTCGCCGCTACCCCAGTCTGCCAATTCGGAGAAAACAGAGAATATCTACAGGCAAAACAGTCAATCATATCTGCGTTGATCAATGATCTCTTGTGCTATCTATTAAAGCATGTAATTATATACAACTTGTCAATTGGGGTCTTATCCCCGAGACTGTCGTCGAATATCTGCAATCGCCTTCCGTCGGTAATCAGACTCCGCAAAGAGAGCCTCGATCAGATCAACCACCTCGTCTGCTGAAAATTCGAGCCGAAGCTCTCCTTCTGTCCACAGAAATTTGATGTCGGCAAGAGAACTTTCCAGTATATTTATCAGGTATTGGAACTTCAGCCAGTTGCGCACGTACACCGCGGTCATTGGCACACGCTCAATGCCTTCAGTTGGCCCAGGCATGAACAAGTCCTCCAATTGAGAGACATGATTGCAGAAAGACACCAGGCGTTGGGACTGAGCTTCCGAGATATCGCCCAAATCCTCGATATCAATGATAATCTTGTTGATGACGGAGGCTACCAACGATCCAATCGATTGAAGAAGCGCAGAATGTGACAGGATTGGTTGCCATTCCTTGTAAACATCGCGGATTCTGTCAACAGTGGCGCTTATTGCGTTTTCGCACTCCCCAAGGAACGGCTGTTCTGAACACTGACTGAATCCCTGGGCACCATCGAGCAAGTCGGTGACTATTGTGCGTTGAGTCTGCATCTCCTTGCTATAAGCGAGCTTGCCGAACTTTTCAAGTGCATCCAGATCCGAGCTGAGGCGCGAAAGCTTATGTTCCTCAACCATAGCCCGGAGCTGCTCGACGAGGTACAAACTGTCGTTATACAAGTACATTTGTCCAGCATTGAGTTTGAGGCTGTAGAATGAAGGTGCCGTCGCCTTGAACATAGCCAGGATTAACGTCGGAAGTGCAAGAAGGCCAGCCCCAGAAGAGACAATACGCGTATGATCGTGTCTAAGTTGTCGTAAGCGCATGTAGAGATCATAAACCATTGTCAACTTACCCAGGCTGTGTGATGGCCTCCACATCCGTGACCTGCTGCCGGACAATCGCCATAATGGAGTCCGGAATATCCGTGATAGTGTAGTGCTCTCTCAGGGTAACTTCGCGGGGTGCATGATGTCCGATATCTCTTCCAATTACAGGAGTCGCCTTATCAGTCTCCTGGGCTGGTTGGTTTTCAACACGTTGATCTCCGTCTTCGTCGTCGCCCCAGCCCCATGCATCCGCATCATCGTCGTCGGCGGATTCTGAGATATCAGCGTTGGGCTCCGCTACGTCCTCCTTACCGTCGTCGTCAAGACCCCAAGCGGCAACATCATCCTCATCTTCTTGGGCTCTTGAGGGGATTCCCTTGGACTCGGCCCCATTGTCGTCGTCCCAACTAGCGTCCCAATCGTCCGAAGTGGCGTTTTCCAACAATACTTCATCTGCTTGAGATACCTCTTCCTTTTCAACCCTTTCTACTTGCTTCGTCAACCCGTGACTCCCCGCAAGAACTTTACGGACTTGATCGAGAGAGTCAGCTCGCCGCCTGGTAAGCCAGAGGCGGGGTGCTTGATTCACCCAAGACACAAGTTCTTCCTGCCCGTGCCATCCAAGTGTCTCGATTGTCTGAGCAAATTTCAACACACTATCCAGGATCGCTTCAAAGTCAGCGAGGCCGGCAAGATCTGTAGGGATTGCAGATGAAAGCCAAGATGATATGATTTTGGAGGACAGAGCCGGTACGAAAGTGCCGGAGAAGGAATCTGAAATGGACGAAGGCAGACATTGCCGGAGAAAACCTAAGACATCGGAGACACGATCGAGCAGCTGCGGAGCAGTGGTTGTGGCTGGTTCTTGCTGTACATGAATCGAGCCTTCTGCAACACGGATCGGACGACTATAGCCGTCCAGATTAGGAAGCAATATTGGTTCCACTATCGCTAACAGAAGATCCTTCTGCAATTTGTCGTTTGCTGGGACAAGTAGGTCCAATCGAGCCATAGCAGCTATTGTATCATCCAGCAAGGCACCTATTCGCCGTCAGATTGAATGATACGCGAATTTCTCTAGATGCGACTTACCGTCATTTTTGGCGACCTCGAAGCTGCCGGCCTGTCTGTCAACCTTCAGTAGGTTGTTCCAGCGAGCCCGGAGATCCTCCGCAATCTGTTTTCTCAGTTCGGCGACATTCTGCACCAAGATGTGTTTTACGTTAGTGTTGGCGAAAAGACTATCCTTTTCTACAGTGTCTTCCACCGCGTCCACCGCGTCAATGGCGGCCATAATACGGCCTTCCGCAAGGTCTGTCCGTCCTGCATTAAGTCGCTGGCAAAGCTCTTGTACCTCCTCGAGGGTCCTAGTCACGGCCTGGTTGAAAGCAATCTCTGTCTGAATCAATCGAACCTTCGCAGAGGCATCTTCGACCTTCAGCTGCAAGGGCCTAGTGTTCTCGTGCTGCGCAACAATCTCACGCGCCGTAAGCCTGGATCGCTCAATATCTGCATGAAGCTGTTTGGCTTGCGAAATCCAACCATCGGCATCAAAGTCATTCTCTCGACTCAATGAGTTTATTTCAACCTTGTGGAAAGTAAAGATATTAGCATTTTGGGTACTGAACATTGCGGATATTGACAACGTACTTCGACCTGCTCCCTTGCATTCGATATAAGCTCCAGTTCTTTAGCGAGAGCTGACGTAGGAAACACCGATGATACAACATCTTCTGAGCCTGGAAAGGTGCCTTCTGTGACGAAATCCAGTACCGACTGGCAAATCTTCTGCTCCGACGCCTGCGGAGACATCTTTCAGACAGTCACTAGTGTCTGAGCTTGCCCTGAAATATAGCCCAGAAGTAACCTCCAGCTCTGACTGGCGATAAACTGCTGGCAGTGCTTGATGATATATCCTGGGGCAGGGAAAGCTATGAGCTCCAGTGCTGGTAGTAGCTAGCAGAAGCGAACTTGCTGTCCATAATAACAACAATCCCCGCCATGTGACTTCACCGTCAGATTCACCGCCTTAGCTGGATAAGCTGATGAAGCCTCACCACGAGCTGTCTTCTATCGACGTAAACTAAGCCTTGAAATTTGATTTATTTGCTGATTTGCACTGAGGACGTCCCTTAATGCTGTAGAATTACTGGAACTCCAGTCACTCGCGCCTGGTTGACGTCGTCTGTTGAGACTCTTCCGTGCTATTGGCATGGTTGATCTTAGGGAACGGGACCCAAACTCCACTCTCAGAGGATCCTGAGTTCGACGACAGCTGCAACTGTCTAGGATCCTAGCTCGTTTTTCACCTAAAACAGCAGTATTGGCGCCGCTTACGCAGTCGTGTTGTCTCGGCATTTCCAGCGAGGCCTGAGTCGGGCGTATCCTACTCGATCTATGTGAGTACAATACACTTGTTGTCTCTACCGAGCACAAACGGAGAATCAAAAGATTCTGTCCCGCGTTATATCGACGTCAATGCCGCTTCGAAGTGTGTGCTATGCCATAGCGCCATAAAAGTCCACGTCCAACGTGTTCTTCGCAGCATTATACAAGCCAGTCGCTCTTTTTTCGTTGATATTTGCGTTTCTGTTATCTGGATGCCGGTCATGGAATGGGTGCAGCTCCCGTTTCTCTCATTGAACCAGTCATTCCTCTACTGTTTTCCGATGACAGACGTGCTCAAACTTTGAAATGTCCCTCAATTACTGACTTTGTACTAGATTGTCTCAACGAGATTTGTTCGGCAGTATTTGGAGGATCGGAAACTGGAGAGAGTTTCAGTTCCTGTCATACGGCAATATGTCACCCTCTAACCAGAAGACTCACTTTAAATTACTCCAAAGGTTCAAGCCTGACTACTCGCCGAGCGAGTTCATTCAATATGAATCTGAGAGGACCGGGATGAGAGTCGTGGTCATTGATCAGAAAGGGCCCAAGGTGACGGGGTACTTTGTTCTCGCCACGGAGATCCTGGATGATTCAGGAGCCCCTCACACTCTGGAACACCTGTGTTTCATGGGATCGCGCAATTATAGATATAAGGGATTTTTAGACAAACTCGCTACGCGAGTGTATTCCAACACAAATGCCTGGACGGCCACAGATCACACAGCCTACACGCTGGATACAGCGGGCTGGGAGGGGTTTTCTCAGATCTTGCCTGTCTACCTGGAGCATGTGATTGCACCTACCCTGACAAATGAAGGCTGCTATACAGAAGTGCACCACATTGACGGTTCCGGTAACGATGCGGGTGTCGTTTACTCGGAAATGCAAGGAGTGCAAAACAACGCCGCCGAGCTGATTGACTTGACGGCTCGACGCCTGATGTACCCGCCTGGCGTAGGCTTTCGTTATGAGACCGGAGGCATGATGGAGCAACTTCGTGTCCTCACTGCAGACAGAATTCGCGCATTTCATCGTGAGATGTATCAACCTCGTAACCTGTGTCTGATTATCACGGGTGAGGTGGACCACGATAACATGCTGGAAACGCTTGACAAATTCGAAGACACTATCCTGGATGTTATTCCAAGTCCCGATTCGCCATTCAGACGACCATGGATAGATTCCAAGCAAGCTCCTCCATTGGAGAAGTCGATTGTGAAGACCGTCGAATTCCCCGAGGAGGACGAATCTTTTGGTGAAATAGAAATCAGGTTTTTGGGTCCCGATTGCACTGATCCCGTACAAAGTGAGTCCACACGTCTCCATCCTTTTTGTGATTCATAGCTTATATGTACAAGCCGGTGCTCTTAATGTCGCACTTTTGTACCTGGCTGGGTCGTCGGCTTCTCTTCTAGAGAACATCCTTGTGGAAAAGGAACAACTTGCCAGTGCCGTCTACTATGCTACGGAAGATCATCCAAGTGTCGAAATTCGCTTCACCCTGACCAGTGTTGAAACCGCCAAACTCGCTCAGGTGGAGAAACGATTCTTCGAAGTCCTTGATGACGCCATGAAGAAGGATCTGGATATGAAGTATCTGAAAGAATGCATCGAGCGACAAAAGCGGACTTGGAAGTTTTCCACCGAGAACTCTGCTTCTTCTTTGGCAGAGTATGTCATCTCTGACTTCCTCTTCGGAAAGAAGGACGGCTCAACGCTGCTGGACGTTGCAACCTTGCAAGAGTACGACGTTTTGGAGAAGTGGAGTGAGGATGAATGGCGGAATTTCATCAAGAAGTGGCTCTCGCATGCACCACATGTCACTATACTTGGCGTGCCATCAATGAAGATGTCCGAAACCTTGAAGAAGGAGGAAGAGGCCAGAGTCGCAGCTCAGAAGAAGCGACTCGGACCCGAGGGCCTGAAGGAATTGGCCGACAAGCTGGAGAAGGCAAAGGCCGAAAATGATCAAGAGATTCCTAAAGAGATGCTGGAAAAGTTCAAGATTCCTGGCACTGAGTCTATCCATTTCGTGGAGACAACGACGGCCCGATCCGGTGCTGCCTTGACAGCCGGACGCGCGGATAACAAGGTTCAAAAGTTGGTGGATGCCGATGGCTCGGAGCTGCCACTATTCATTCATTTTGAACATATACCCAGTAGCTTCGTCCAGCTTTCACTTCTTATCTCGGCTCAGTCGGTGCCAGTCCACCTTCGTCCCCTTCTGTCCGTGTATACGGAGGCGTTCTTCAACCTACCCGTCCAAAGGGAGGGGAAGACGATCAATTTCGAACAGGTTGTGGTTGAATTGGAAAGGGATACTGTTGGCTATTCGATGGAGGGCGCAAGAAGCCTGGGCAATTCGGAGATGTTGCGCATCTCCTTCCAGGTCGAAATTGAGAAGTATAGCAATGCAATTGCCTGGCTCGAGGAGCTCTCCTGGAACTCGGTCTTCGATGTGGAGAGACTGCGCGCGATCACCAGTCGGCTCCTTGCTGACGTGCCCGACGCCAAGCGTAGTGGTGATGACATGCTGGCAGCTGTGCATGTCATGGTTCACTACGCGCCTGAATCTATTGTGCGGGCGCGGAGCACCTTGGTCAAGGCGCGGTATCTTAAGCGGATCAAGCGACAATTGGCTGAGCAACCCGATACCGTTGTTGCTCGCATGGAAGAGATCAGACAAGCTCTTTTCAAGTTTGAGAACATGCGAGTTCTGGTCATCGCAGACATTGACAAGTTACCCAATCCAGTCTCAGCCTGGAAGCCGTATGTTGAGCGACTCGGTGATATGACCAGTCTGAAGCCCGTGACCGTCCGCAGGGACTTGCTGAGCGAGGCAGGTCGCATCCCTGGTGGAAAGTCGTATGTGGTTCCGATGCCGACGATTGACTCGTCATTTGCCTACGCAACTGCTCGAGGTCTTGACTCGTACGATCACCCCAAGCTCCCCGCTCTGCTGGTTGCCATTGCGTATATGAATGCCGTGGAGGGTCCTCTCTGGGTCGCCGTCCGTGGCAAAGGCTTGGCTTACGGTACCAACTTCGCCTATAATATCGACACCGGCTTTGTGAACTTTGATGTATATCGGTCACCGAATGCACACAAGGCATTCGAGTCCAGTAAACAGATTGTCGAGGACCACCTCTCCGGTGATATCTCCTTTGACCCCTTAATGCTGGAGGGTGCTATCAGCAGCATTATTGTCAGCTTCGCCAACGAGCAGTCGACCATCGCCAGTGCGGCGCAAGGCAGCTTCATTCGTCAGGTCATTCGAAATCTGCCCAGCGACTACAAGGAAAAGACGCTCAAACAGGTACGAGTTACTACTGTGGACGACGTCAAGGCAGCCTTGCGCGAAATCATCCTGCCGTTGTTCGCTCCGGACAAGGCGAACCTTGTTGTCACCTGTGCACCTGTACTCGAAGAGGTAAGAGTTCTCTTGCATGCGTAGAATAAGGCTATGAGCTACAGATACTTACACTCAGTACAGACAATCAAACAAGGTCTCGAAGTGGCTGGTTTCACTCCTGCAGTGCAGCCACTTAAGGACTTCGAAGATGACTATGGATTGAAAATCGATGGCGACGAAGAGGAAGAATCCGACGACGACGACGACGACGACGACGACGATGAAGATGATGCGTCTGAATCTGAGGAAGACGAAGAAGTATCTGATGATAACGAGTGATGCAACTTATGATGACGTTGGGGAGGCATCGTACGAGCGGATGTATACCTCACGACCTAGACAAGAGTTCTACGTTCACTATGATAGACCCGGCAGGTACTTCTCCTCCATTATACAAGAAAAGCGTAAAGAGAGAAAACCTGCTGTCATTCCTAGGCGACTTCGAATGGGACATGTGGACTTTTCAAGCCGTTTATACAGCAATCTAGATAGACTATGCAGATTGGACGAAGAAGTCCTGATTCGCAGGCAATTCAACATATATTAACCTCTGGCCAATGATACAGTATCTGCTGTCTTAGTCGTCTCACTAGACGCAAACTTGATTAAGCTGCTCCATACTGCCAGTTGTGATTGGAGCTGATGGTGCAGTAAGCGCCGGGGTGTAGGATAGCTGCGCCGCACAGTATAACCAGTTTAGTGTCGATCATGGGTTAACCAACGGCCCCAACCTCAAGTAGTGACACAGCCAGCATGATTTTTTCACCGTAAGTAATTCTTCTAACTCATGCCTTGCTGTGAGCAGCCGTTGACGGGTTATCCAAGGAAATTCCGAGACAACCCTGACGATATAATGAATTCCATGTCATAGTCCTCTTGAGGTTGAGTACTTTTGTTGTATAGCAATCACTCCGAGTCAGCAGTCGTCTGCGCTAAAGATTGATGCAATGTCACGGTTCACAGCGATGACAGCGAGATGGTTACTTCGTCGCCAAATCAATGCCAGCTCCATTTTCCTGGCATTGCTGTCGACGGTCCCCTCCGTCTCAGCTACGAATTGCTATACGCCTGACGGAACAATATCGAACGATCGCCCTTGCAACGCGTCAGCCTCGGCCAGTGTCTGCTGCACGCAGGGCTTCCTCTGCACTTCCAACCAGCTCTGCCAGCCCGCAGGCTGGTGGGATGGCTCCGACGGCAATCCCCTCCAGTTCATCAGAGGGACCTGCACCGACAAGACGTGGGCTGCGCCTGAATGCCAGGGACACTGTGTTGCAGGTGAGCCTAGAGCCAAACCCACTAATTACTGTGTTCGCTCAGTTGAACTCTGCCTGCAGATAACCCCTCGGGAGGAGAGTGGGTGATGCGATGCGGAAATACCACCAACAACTACTGCTGCTCTGCAGATGACTGCTGTACCAAGGTTTCGTACTTGAAATTCACACTGGATGAACCCACCATTACTGCGACGGCGGGGATAGAACCTACCTCAACGGCGACAACTACGACAGAGTCCTCCAGGGAGACATCCACGGCAACAACAAGCACAAGGACGTCGACGACGCCAACACCCACCACAAGCGCAGCCTCCAACTCGAACGATTCGCTCAATTCAGGGTCAGGCTCAACGACAAATGTAGCGATCGGCGTCGGCGTCGGTGTCGGGGTAGGCGTTGTCATCATAGGATGTCTGCTCGCGTTGTTTGTAATGCGCTCGCGCCGGAAGAAGCGACTCGCAGCCCAGCAGAACAGTTCCGCCTTCTTGCCGGGGTCTCAGGGAGGCCCGTTCGGTGTCTATCCTCCGGTGACTCGAGTCCAGCATCCCTCAGAGCTAGACTCGCAGCAGCAGCGCCACCCGACTGTGGCGGAGCTAGACGGAGTCCACACGGGGAAGCATGAGGTGCGGTGAGATTGGGATAGATGAGTGGTGTTTACATATGCATGATTAATCTCCGCGGTTTAGCATTTATACCCGGAGTGCTTTTGGTATGTATATCAGAAGGATTCTGCGAACTGATGGGGATAAGAGTTTGCGCTATGCTGATGCCTCATGATCATTTGGTGTTGCTTCCAATTCCTGTATATAAAAGAAGTTAAGGTGGATGGCTTCTTCAGTCCATATCCTGGCCCAGGAATGACAGACCATACGTATAATAGACGCAAACCGAAGTATAATGTAAGGACCTGGTATCTGTATGTATATGGTACACGTGGAAAAAGCATCTTGTCCAGGGAGACACAAGATGCACAGCAGCTATCCAATCAATCGAAACAGCAGAGTGATCGGAATAGCTATCCCTTCTCAAATCCCCATGAACACAGGAATAATCCTGACAAGCCCAGAAAGAATCGAGACTGCATCGTCTCCATATCCACCGAGTCTCGACATCCAGCCAGACAGAGCCCACGCCGACTCCCACACAATTCTCCCAAAGATCATGAGCACCGCAAAAAGCAAACCGCTACCAACTCAGCGACTTCCGTCCCTTCGCTCTCCGGTGCTGGAGAACCTTCCTCCCTCCCCTCGACCGCAACCGCGCAAGGAAACCATGACGACGTTTCTGCACTCTTCGCGAGGGATTGTAGGTAGCACGTTTACCGGCCAGCGACGCACTGGCGGAGAATGACCGAGTCTGCTGCGTCAGACCGAATGACAGCGAAGAGACGGGTGTGAGAGATGTGCGGAATGAGGGGAGACTCTGTGTCAACGGGGTCGGTTGTGAACGGAGGGCGGATGAAAAGGTGCGGAGTGGTGTTGATAGGGAGGTGGTGAAGGTCTGAGTCGGGAGTCTGCTGCTTGAATTGTTAGCTTCCTAGTCCGGTATGATACGAAAGTCGAAAGGATACTCTGATAGTATTGACAGGACGTACCTGAACGGCTGGGAGCGCATTGCAGTTCGCAGCGCGGAGGGCACGGCCCTACATTGGAAGCAGAGCATGTCGAAGTTTCACAAGAACAGAACAATTAAGTAGTTCGTGATCGTTTTCTCCCAGAAACGTATTGAATGGACCGCTCAATATTGCGGAGACGATGACGGTCGCTGAGTCTGAGGCTATCGGACACTGACTTGGACAGTTGAGGCGGACGAAAATTGAACCTCCGGCGCGGCGGACGCACGGACCAGCAGATTTCTTTTCAATTTGATGCTTCAAGATTTCATGATTAGACCTTCATTCCTTCACTTTCGCTACACTCAATTTCTCCGAGACTATTCTATACAAAAAGCCATCCATCCAGGGCCGCGCTGGGATATACGCTCATCAATTGCGCCAGGCCACCAAACTTCTCCCTCAACCATCCACTTGCGACACTACATTTCCATCGTAAACCAATTCGATCTTCATTCCCCGAAATCAACCGAGCAGACAACAAGCCTCAGAAGATCCAAAATGGCAACTCAAGGCCCCTCTCCTCTTCATCCAACAACCATTCTCTCCTCAAAACCCATCTCCCAGTCCGCCGCCCACGACTTCCTCGCCGCCTATCTCGACCGCGCCGCCACAGATCCAGCCCTGCAACCCAACGCTAGCATCAGCGAGCACGGCCCTATCTCCCGCACCACAGCTGCAGCGCCGAACCTCATCCTGCACAATCTGAAGCGCGTCCAGGCCGGGTTGGCTGGTGAGGTTCTGGGCCGCGATTTGACTCTGGCGAAGATCAACGCCGGGGAGGCGCTGCAGGGTGAGACCGGGGATAATGTTGTGTGGGAGGAGACCAAGCATGAGCAGGTGGCAGCAGATGATGCGATGGATGACGATGAGGAGGAGATGCGAGGGGAAGATGACGAGGAGAAAGAGCAGCAGCCTGGGAGGGTAGAGGGTGAGGCTGACGAGCATACCGTGGACAAGGAGGAGCGGAAGAGGAAGAAGAAGGAGCGTAGGTTGGCTGAGAAGAGAGCTAAAGCCAAGGGGGCGGACGCATAGATCGATACCAGCTGGAAGCTTCATTTGGGTTACTTGCATCGTTCTGCTGATGGATTTTCCGTCCGATTGGTTGGTTCTCAATAAACAGGACCCGTGTCTTGCTATTGGCGTTTGTTTTTGGATGATATTACATCACACAGGGTATGGAGTTTGCTGTTATACTATAATCAAATCGACCTTTGCTCTACAACAAACGGACACCTTTTTACCCCAGCCGCCACCTAACACCGTGAACGGAACGAAACAGGAGAGAAAAGACTTATATCGAGCGAGGAGAATCGGTTTGAGTTTAAAGCTCCCGGTCAGCAGCCTTGACTGGCTTTTCGCTATCTTCCGTCTTCGCGTCGGTGACCTTTCCTCCCTGCCAGCCAAGCGCCTTCAGTCGCTCGGATAGGATCGGGTGCGAGTAGTGGTAACTGGCATACATCCAGTCGGCGTCCATCGTGCTCAAGTTCTGGATCTGAAGCTTGAGAAGGGACGCGGCAAGCTGTTCGGAATACCCGAGCTTCACGGCGAAGGCATCTGTGGCACAGTCAGCTTCTGTTTCTAGAGAGGTCCAAGAGGACAGAAATCATACCAGCTTCGAATTCGAATTTGCGGCTGAGAACGTTCATCAAGAGCTTGACGACGGCATCCATTGGAGCCAGGGCATCCGAGAACAGGAGGAATCCAATCATGATGGGCATTTCCTGGTGGAAGCCAAATGATTGATACAGGGACTTGTTGTTCACAAATACCGAGAATAGGGCGAAGATGTAGAACATGTGAGACTGTAACATAGATCATTAGCCTTCATCTGTGTACTTCTGTGCCTCCATAAGGGCGCGATATCAAGCAGTTGTTCAGTAAAAACATACCTGAGCAATAGCAAAGAGCTTAGTAGTGTGGCCGAGGCTCCAGTGACCAAGTTCGTGACTCAAGACGGCGACGACTTCCTCAGTCTCGCTCTTCTCAATCAGAGTATCATAGATGACAATGTGCTTTTTCCACGGCAGTCCGTAGAAGTACGCGTTGCTGTGAGCACTCCGCTTGCTGCCGTCAATGACATACAGCTCATGGAGAGGGAACTTGAGCTTGCGGGCAAGGCTCTCAACGCCTGTCTTCAATTCGCCGGGTTCCAGAGGCGAGAGCTTGTTGAACAGTGGCAAAATGACAATGGGGTAGATGGTGATAGCGAAGATCTGAACGAAGACACCAAAGAGCCAGAGGTAGTAGAAGAACGAGTTGCCAGTCTTCTGGACGATCTTAAGCACGGCGCTGATGATCGGCGTTCCCAACACAATTCCCAGCATCTGACCCTTGAGCATGTCTGTGACCCAGAGCTTGAGCGTCTGCTTGTTGAAGCCAAACTTCTCCTCCAGAACGAAGGTGTTGTAGTATGAAATTGGCAGGGACAGGGTGGTGCTGATCAGGTTGAAACCGAAGACGAACAGAAGCGTCTGGGAAATCTCGCCCTGAAACCGAGAGGGAAAGTACCGGGCTAGCAAGAGACCGCTCAATCCCCACAGCTTGGGGAGGACATCGCCGTAGATGAATGCAAGATTCTGGATTTGACCGTAAAGACCCGAGATGAAACCAAACTTGGCTTTTGCGCGACCATAAGCCTATAGAGAAGCGGAAATGTCAGACTTGCAATCTTTACAATAGCAATATTACCATCTCTGCTTACCTGACTCTGATCGAAGACTTTCTGTGACACTTCATTCTCCAACACCTTGGGTGGCTTTGTCCGCTGCAACACCTTGTATTGGCGGAAGGACAAGAATCCTTCGAGAATGAATTGACCTAAAGAGAATCCCACGAGAACATTCTTCCACGGGAAGAACGGGCGGTCCAGAAGACGCGCAAGTTGCTGTCGAGGGCAGAATCGTTCGGTCAGCTTGAGCAAGTAAGGTACAACATGAACAATATCAACAGAACATAGATAGGTGGCTACAAAGGAACGAATTCGGAGAGCTTACCTCGAGGATATACATGGCTGGAAATTCAGCACAACAACAGGCGATTCGGACAAAGCGCTGTGTTGTTAACCTGTTGTTCGCAGCCTCGTGGTGTTGACAGAGGCAAGTACTCCCGCTCGATGGATGGTGATTTAATGTCTTAGTCAACAACCACTTAGTGCAAACTGGCCGCATCTCCAGCTGACCGAACAAAGAATGTTCAACCGCACATTTCAGGACATGAATGGATGTGATCTTTGAGACCTATGACCATAACTGGTTTGATAGTCTATTCTGTATATATCGCATATTCAACTCTGCTTATATGGTTGACTCCTCCCCATCCCGCTGTTCGTTTAGATATATCATCAGTTACCTGGCAGAGAACCTACATATGTACTCCACCGTAGGAGAGAAAGCAACAAATATATAAAAGAAAATAGAAAGTTTTCACATAAGAACAGCTTCATAACACACATCACAGAAGTAGTGGCACTTCATCAACGTGACTCGTCCTTTTATGCACCTGTGTCTCAACCAAAACAGACAGCCTCTAATCTTTTAATGACCCCCTTAAGTACGGCCGTCTCTGCATCTCGTAAACAACTTCCTCAGAGCTCCAACGGCTGGAAGAGATGAGTGTCGGAGCTTCCTGTGTTCTCTAAACTGGAGTGAGTCCCGACGCTCTTCCGTGACCTCGAGTAATCAACCTTTTCTTTTCTGCTGCTTCCACTGCCTTGGTCTGCTGGAGAAGAATCGGGAAATGCGAATGAGCTCGGACCCAAATGTCTCCCTCAACAGCTCCACGAGCGGGTCGACCCAATTGACCTGACAAGCGATTTTTGTCTAGTTCAGAATGGGCTCAAGAGTGTTACCACTGTAACAGATTAGTTATATGAATTCATATCAACGATAAGTAGTCAGGATGACTTACGCGACAATATTGGCCCAGCCGATCAGACGCCAATGCTTGTCAATTCTCCGGCTGATAGCAATCTTCTCTCCAATCTCTGTACAAGCCGGGCTGGTCAAGCTGAGCTTGGCAGCATCAGCCTTCACACCCATAACCTTAGCACCAGTGGCCGTAGAGCCGATGTTAACCATGAGGACCTCGTTCTTAGTGAGCTTGGCGACCTTGGCCTGCTTGCCGTCGGCAGTCTTGACACCGAGCAGACGACGCAGCAGGAAGTAGTTCACCTCCAGTTCAGTGTAGATGGCCGGCAAACGGCCACGGTGACCTAGGACGAAACCGACGAGACGATCGGCACGGCACAGGGTAGGGTCGACACGGGTACCGACACCAATCAGACCTCCAGGCACAGCGAACTTCAGATCGTTGTGCTCAGCAAAGAGCGAGACGACCCGGGAGAAGATGGGGCGGCACTGAATCTTGCCGTTCTCGTCCTTGGTAACGAGACCGGGGCGAATCTCAATTTCGTCGTTCAGCTTCAGCACACCATTGAGGATAGAGCCACCTGCAACACCACCCTTCAACTCATCGATCTCCGCACCGGGTTTGTTGACGTCGAAGGAACGGATGACAATCATGTGAGGGGAAGCAGTGAAGTCACGGACGGGAACCGGGATGTGCGAGACAAGGTGTTCGTTGACAGCGTCGATGTTGTACTTGAGCTGAGCAGAGATGGGAATGATAGGAGAGCCATCGGCGACAGTACCACGAATGAACTTCAGGATTGATTGGTAATGTTGCAGAGCACCGTCTTCCCTCATCAGATCAACCTTGTTCTGCAGAATGATGATATGGCTGAGCTTCATGATTTCAATAGCTGCCAAGTGCTCCGAAGTCTGAGGCTGGGGCAAGCTTCGTTTCCGGCAATCAGCAAAAGGGCGGCGTCCATGACGGCGGCACCTGACAACATGGTACTCATGAGAATATCGTGCCCAGGGCAGTCGACGAACCTGTGAGTAATGAGGATTAGCTATTAGTCCCTTTCGAGACACGAACACAAAGCTTGTTCTACTTACGAGACATGTCTCAGCAATCTGTAACGACCTGTGCATCCTTCTCTCTCACATGGAGGGTCGACCTCCTTCTCACTCTTGTAACTCTTGAAGCACGTCGGGCGCGGGCACTCAGGGTTGTCGCACTTGTAGATCTTCGCGTTGGCATAACCAAGCTTGATGGTAATATTACGCTCCAACTCATTTTTGAACCGGACAGTCTGCACCTCCGAAATAGCCTTCACTACAGTCGACTTGCCGTGAGCGACGTGTCCGATAGTACCGATGTTGATTGTCGCCTGGCGCGCAATAATCTCGGGCGACAGAGGCGTGAGTGTCGACAAATCGAGAGTCTCTGGGTCGGGCTGCTCGGGAAGTTCTGGACGCTTCGGCTGAGGAGCAGGGGGCGCTGAGCCTTTCTTCATCGCAGACTTGAGGGGCTTCTCTTCCACGTCAAGGGGCTCCTGTTCTTCAATGTCATCCTGGCCGTTCGCCGCATCCAGCATGGGAGAGCCAGGCTGCGATTCATCGTCGGTAAAATCGCCGTTGGTAGCCATGATTGCGATAATAACCCTTTGATTGTTCACGGACAGAGAGATGGAGAATCCTTGGGGTTAAAGGAAGGTGTTAGTCCGAGAGTGGAGGGTGATAATCAAGGGTTCCGTTGTTGGATGAAATTTGCTTGCTTGGAAAACGGAGGCGATATGATACCAGTGGGGTTCGGTTTGTGCAGTGGAGTGTGAGTGGGCGGTGGGAGTCTCGTTCGTGCCCTGTGGGCTGCCAGGTCCGTTGGGTTGATACGGTCAATCGAGAAAAGAACAGGTCAATCTATCTATAAGCTCGGGGAATCTTCAAGGATATTATTCTCTCTCGCATGGAACTCGTGGATATATTGGTCTTGATGAAGGAATGGAGTTGGCTGATTTTTCTATCTTACTGAGCTCAAACACCTGGTCGGTCTCTTCACTGCCATACCCGAGTGACTCATGTCATCCAGTAAAACATCCTAGCATGAAGCAAGCGTTATGGTAGCATCCTGTATGGTATGTTACAGCCTTGATGGTTGTTCAGTCAATCTAGGAAAATAGTTGAACAAATTGTGTTGCTTTTAGTAATTTACATCCGGTGGTCTATGAGGCACATGGTCGGGTATATAGAACAATATCACTGGAAGCTATGTACATTCATTCTTCGTCAGTCCCTTCGCCGGACTCCTCTGACTCTTCTTCGTCCTCCTCAATGTCGTCTTCTGAGTTCTCGTCGAAATCATCAGGCATCAAAGGGTCTGGGGGTAGCATGACGAAGGCCCTGAGGCAGGTTATCCGATTCCCTGTCTCATAGACGTTCAACAGTTTTCCAACCTGCAGATTCCTTGATCCTTGGCTCTTGTCGTCAGAAGCCTCCGGTTTCTCCTTCGTATTACGAATGAGACTATTCGCGCGCAGCATCCATACGCGCACAACACCCTCGCTGTTCGCGGTAACCACAAGAAGATCGCCCTTCTGTGCGGTGGACTCCTCTCCCACATTCAGGATCTCGAAATCCTTGACTCTGCCAGGAAAGCCAGCTGCCCTGCCACCGAGCTCAGCAACAGCCTCAGCGTAAGGAATTGGAGATTCGTCGTCATCTGCAGCCTTCTGTAGCCTCTTAGTCGAGTAGAATATGAGTCTGCCATCCTCTGTGGAGACAGCAAGCAATTCCTCGCCGTCTTCCACAGAGGGGTCAAGGGCGACGTATTTCATCTGATGCACCTTGCTTCGTGGACTTGGTAGCACCCTGCAAACGGGTGTCGAATCCTATAGATAGTTAGACTTGCTCGCGCAGATTCAAACGGTCGACAGGAACACTCACTATTCCAAAGACGACGGCTCCCCATTCAAATGCAACCGCGAACTCTTCACCCTTTGAGTTCCATTCAATCTTTCTGCCTTCGCCAGTGCTCCAGCGACCTTCCTTCACACTCTGCAGGACTTCCCTGCTAAAGTTCAACACTCCAGCCTTCTTTCCTGTCACCAAATTCCAAAGTCTCATGCACTTTTCTCCCCTGCCAACAGAGAGCATGAGCTTCATACTGGGATGCACTGCGAAATCGTTGACTCCCGAGGGAGCGCCTCCGGGCGGCGCAGTGTCACCACTTGGTCTTCCCTGCACTTTGGGACGCGGGGCCTTGATAGTGGAGACAACTGTCCAGTCGCGAGTCTTCGTGACAGAAATGTTATTATCCTCCGCAGCAGCCAATAACTTGGAGCGTGAAGGGAAATGCAAGGCGGAGATATAGGCACTGTGGTGTAGAAGAGAGCCAAGTTCTCGGTTTTTCGGGTTCTCCAGGACTTTATTTCCAGCAAGGGTCGGAACTGTTGGATAATGCTCATTGATCGTTGGCGTAGTGGCAGACAACGAGTAGAGATTGATTCGCTCATCTGTGCCTCCACTGGCCAAGATGACCTTCGGTGGCTCAGTGGAATCTTTCTTTGGCACCGGAGACAAAGCAAGGCAACGGATAGCAGACGCATGAGCTTCGAACAGGAAAGTATCAACGAATTGAACGAGATTTTTGTCGGTCTCAGCTTCATGAGAATCTGTAAAGTTGAAGCAGGCTGGAGAAACAGCAGCAGTGAAGCCATGGAGCACACGCTCATAAGAGCCAGTGACTATCTGCAATGTGACCGCAGGACTGGCTGCATCAGATGAGACAACATCTTCAGCTGTGGATGGTTTGACAACTTTCGCCGGTTTCGCAGAAGCTTGGGTATCCTTGGAAGACTGTTCCCTCTTGCGCTTGGCCATGACTGTGTTTATTTAGCGATTCCTTCGACGATCTGTCTTAAGCGATCTAATATAAACAGTTTAAACGCTCTGTAATGCTGGAAAACGGATAACTTTTTTTTTTCTGCCAGACTTATCGCAGTCTTAGGCGGTGACAGTTTGAGGAGGCGGCCTTGATGCCTGTGGCGCGGTCACCACTACGGAGTGCTTCGTAGACTGGTACTGAATCCGAATGCGGTCATACGCTCTGAAGTTGGTTGGTGGCCTTGAAGCCTGAGGCTGCAACAACACCCCTGATCTCATTCCTGACTTACATACTCTTCTCTTGCTTGGACTTGCCCTACCTGAACGCCATTAACAAGACTGTTCCCGGCACCCTTTCATACCTAACACTTGCCCTCCCCATCACCAAGCAGTACCTCCAGAATCAACCAACCAAACTCGCCCGTACTACCCGTCCAGAAGTTTCATCACCACACCCCAAAACTCCCTTCAACGGTGAAATCTTCGCGTCTCAATTTTTCTTCATCACATAACCACACAACCCCGCCAGATTCATCATTTTTGAGCGACTTTTTCCATCTGGATGACTTCGCTCAACCCATCCCCCTTCTTTTTAGCGCGTTAATCGGATGCTGTGTTCCCGAAATAGACTCGATGCTCCGTGACGAGCTACTCCGCTCCAAGAACGATGAGATCGCGTAAGTATTTTATTTTTTTCGAGCGACTTTTTCTACTGTACATGATCTCCTTATATCGAATTATCGCTTATTTTAATTTTTTTCAGACGTTGTTTGTTGTCGCGGAAGCGCAAACTGAGCGAGCTCTACTTTGCGACCGTAGGCTTCGCGGGCGCGACCGAGAACGCTCCGACCAATGCGCTATATCACCAAAAAGAACAGACATTTCTTGACGCCAACGACCTCTCTAAGTAAGTAACTATATTGCATCTCACTCGATATTACATGCATACGTTCTTGCTTTTGATTTGTTGTTATTTGCTGTTCTCTTTTAACGCTCATTCCTCGTATTACGCATTACATGCCGGTATTCGAATTTTTGCGTATTCCTAATACATCTATAGAGGTCGCTATTTCAATGAAGCTACTCTTCCACCCTTCCCCGACTTTGCAGCTCTCATCCCGCGCCCTGAAGAACAGCAGACATCGCCGGAGGTAATTGAACCAGTTGTCCAAACACAAGATGTCTCCTCTGTCAATGCGCCTAAAGCGGAAGGTGCCGTTCGAGGCATCGCGCCCAGTTTCCAGCAGCGGGAGGGACAGACTGCACAGGTGATTGAACAGAGCTTGATTGAAGGTTCGCTTAAGAAGGATGATGCGCGCATCCACCAGCAGCCGGCGCTCGCTGCAACTTCCGAAATCCCGCAGGTCACCAAGTCCCATGCGACGCTTGCGCAACCTGACCAACTGCTGCGAAAGGCGAGCTTTGCAGTGCCTGAAACTCCACCTACAAGTACCAGCCACGAGTCGGTGGATGTCAGCGTTTCTCCGGCTCTGAAAGAACAGCCCCCCGGCGAAGTCGCACCTCCGCGCGCGGTCTCAAACCAACTACCGTCTGCGCAAAGAAAGCCTGAAAGTCGGCCGTCTCTAGTATTGGCTCAGCCTTTGGAAGATCAACCTCTCTCGCCCGCCTCGTCCGCAGGTCCTTATTCCAACAACACTCCGGCCCCTGTCGCTGTCTCCCCTGATACCAGCCCCGCCGAGGAAGTTACAGAAGGAGCGGATGAAGTTGCGCTGAGCCCCAAACATGTTGGACCAGGACATTTACAGCCAGGCTTGGTCCCCTCGACGCCGGACGAACAGCTTCAGCTGGAGGCGGCGCAATCTCTTCAACAAAACACCTTAGCAAGCAAGTCGATCGGCGACGTTACAACGGCAAGCAGTCTGTCCAATGAAGTAATCAAAGAGGATGTTGGTCACACCCCGTCTGCGGCAGCCGATCCATTAAAGGAGACACAAGACCAGACTTCCGCATCTGTAGTGCCTCCTGAACCCAAGAGACCAGATGGAGTTGTCGTCACTCCCGAGGAGTCCCAGCCACCGGCACAGCGTATACAGGAAGAGACCCAGCCTCAAGTGGGCGCTGAAGTTAAGGCGGTTGCGCCAACGACTCCGGCTGGCAAGAAGCCAACGGCGGCGACTATGATTCCTGCTCAACCAGAACGTATGACAACTCGTGTATCATCGGGGGCCATCCGACACAAGTCCGTATCTGAGATACTCGGCGAGACTCCAAAACCATCTGTCGTGCAACCTGAGAAAGCTCATCCGATTGAGAAACCTGCTGATATGGTGCGGGCTCCTCCTAGCGCCTCGCCCGAATCTGCAGCGAAGATGCGCTTGAAAGATAGAAAAGCACGAGAGAAAGAGAGGAGCAAGATGTCGACTGTCGTTTTCCCCAAGCAGCAGCAACAGCAACAACAGCAACAAGAAAAGGATGATTCTTTGGATATTGTCCGCCAGTATGCGGGCGAATTAGCTAGGTTGAACGAGGAGCAGGACTATCTATTCACCTTGTTTCAGAATAAGGCATATGCTCCTCCTCGAGGAACAAATCTTAGTACACTGCTGGCTTCAGCTCACAAGACACTTACAACCTCCAACCACCTCCTTGAATATCAAGAACAGATGGACTGCCGTACCTTACGTCGAATCTATGCCCTACAGAATGCGAACAGATGGCCGCTGCGCCAATTGAAGCGCTCCGTTGAGCCTCCTCGGCATGGAACGCATTGGGACGTCCTGCTTGATCATATGAAGTGGATGCGCACCGACTTCCGCGAAGAACGGAAATGGAAGATTGCAGCGGCGAAGAGCTGTGCTGACTGGTGCGCCGAGTATGTCAACAGTGACCCAGAGCATCGTGCCCTTCTTCGTGTGCCGTGCAGGATACCTTCTTCGAATTTTGAAAAGAAAGAGGTCCACGCATCCAGCATGATTTCACCGCCGGAGGAGACCACTGAGGAGATGCTCGTTGTCTCGCAGCCTACTCCGGATCTTATACCGTCCGCAGAAGATGAGTCCGTTAGTGACGGCTTCAACGACGAGATACGCCACGATCTCCGGGACACTGTGGCTCCAGCTGCAATCTTCTCCCTTGGCTCGGATGAATTCACTTTCTCATTAGACATGACACCTGCGGCCCAGAAACTCCTTGATGAACTGCCGATATACACACCTGTGAAGATCGCTCCTGGGACCAATCTGCCGATGTTCGAGCAGCCTCCCGATTCTGCCTGGAAAACCGAATTACTGCCCGTCTCGAAATATGCTTCTGGTAGGATCAAGTTTCACGAGACTGAGCCACCCAGAAAGCGTAGCCGCTATGACTACTCTCAATACGATTCTAATCCGGAGCACGGCATGTTAGACTTGCCGCCTGAACAGACCAATGTTGCGCTTTTCAGGCCTGAGAATAAACCCATACGGGATCGGATCCATCCCGGTCATTCCTTCAGGCCCCCAACTGAATACCCTATGCCTTCCGTTGGTTTCTTCGAGTCCAGGCAGTCCTCTCAGTGGACATATGCTGAAGACGACGAATTGCGACGTCTTGTGAAGGAGTATTCATACAATTGGTCGTTGATATCCAGCTGCCTTACTCCATCATCGCAGTTTACATCGGGCGCTGAGAGACGGACACCCTGGGAATGTTTCGAGCGGTGGGTGGGATTAGAAGGACTGCCTGCCGACATGTCGAAAACACAATATTTCCGCGCGTATCACCAGAGGATAGAAACTGCCCAACGCACTGTCTTGGCCCAACAGCAGGCTGCTCAGCAGCAGCAGCAGCAGCAACAGCAACAGCAGCAGGGGGGCAACAACAGTGGCCAAGCCCAGCCACCGATTCGCAGGCGTACAACGCAACCTGTGCGAGTCGACAGAAGGAGGTCTTCGAAGCACCTTGCATTGCTAGATGCTATGCGAAAGCTGGCTAAGAAGCGTGAGACGATGCTTCAGAAGCAGCAACACGGTAAGCTTTTAACATAACTGAGTGTTGGATTACACTGACCTCTATCCTCATTTCTTCCAGCTTCTCACCTTGCTTCGCTGAGGAAGGTCAATGAAGCAAACCAGCCGAAGCCTCCGATCTCGTCCCCTGCCGAGTTCAGTCGGCTCAAATATGATCGGGAGTTGAAGCTTCAGGAGAGACAAGAGCAATACCGTCAGCAAATGATAGCCCAGCAGAGAGTAAGACTTTCTGTCACTCCCCATAGAAATGGACCTGGCCACTGACTTCTTCTAGGCGAATTTGGCAGCTCAGCGTGCAGGTCAAATACCTAACCAGCAGCCGATGATGAACGCTCCACCTGGACGAACCCCTAACGGTATACCTCATAATCCTGGAACTCCCGGTATACCTGGCGCTACACCTAACGGGATGCCTAATGGAATGCCCAATGCATTGCCGAATGGCATACCGCCAGGGGTGGGCGTCAGCCAAGGCCGACCTCACATGCAAGGCATGCCGACTGGCGGACCACCCATGAATGGCCCCATACCTCCGAATCCGATGGCGATGAAGATGATGCCGCAATCCGGGATGCCACAGGGTCCGGGTGGTCGACCTGGAATGCCAATGCAGACATCTCCGGATAATACCCGCGTTATGCGCGAAGCGAACCGCTTACAAGAACAACAACGTATCTTGCAGTCTCGGCAGCAGCCACCGCAGCCACCGCAACATCAGCAACCTCAGGCTCAACAAGCACAGCAACAATTTCACAATCAGCAACAGTTCGGACCGCAAGGCTCTCATTCGCCGAATATGAATCTGCCTAATGTCAACGGCACCCCGAATAACCCAGCTATGATGGCGGCTCTCCAGGCCGGGAGTGGAATGCAGAGCCCATCTCTCCACAATGCCATGCCTCAAGGCGTGTCCACTCCGTCTCCTCGGATGGGGCAGCCCAATCTTCTATCGGGCGGGGTTGTCCCGACGATCAGTAGCATCCAGAACCAGATTCAACGGAGTAACCCTAACATGCCCCCAGAGCAAGTGAACAAATTGGCCACAGACCGGCTACATCAGTACCAGCAGCAGCGAATGTCCCAGGTGGCCATGAATGCAGCCGCAGGTAACATGGCTAGTGTCCAGGCCAACTATCAAGTTCCTCACGATGGCAATTTTCAGTCTCCTCAACCTGGCATGAATGGGGCACCGGGCATGCAAGTTCCTCAGTCGCAAGGATTCTCGCCTATGATGCGTGTCCCGCAGCCTGCTCAACAGAATCGAATGGGAGTAGGCAACTCACCCGCGATGAATGGCGCCCTTCCCCAGCAGAGCCGTAGCGCAACACCGCAAACACAGCGCAGTGGAAGTGCTCAAGCGGGCCCCGTACCAGGCTCAAGCAAGAGTCCTCATCCCCCTCAGGCTCAGATCCCTAGCGGCTGAGGCTCGGAATCCGTGCTCTCTGGTGCAAAAATCGTTGTCGTTTACTCGATGCGCTACACTTCTTTTCTACTTCACTTGTACATATTTTGCCCACCCCAGAATACTTTTATTGCCCACTTCTCCCCATCCTCCTTTCCGCGCTTCACGATTGAAATGTCACACCTCCCTTTCCCGCCCCCTCCTTTGCACCACTCGAGCTTCCTGTTGTCCGGGGTAGCCTCTTGCTCTGACACTTCAGTTCCACACCTTTTTTTTCAGACGCTGCCTCGAGCTGCACCCGAATTTGACCCCATGTAATGGGATGCATGGGTATACATCGTGTGCTCCCTCTCGGGCTTTGACTCCTCGCGATTGCTGATGTTTTCACTACCTGTACTGATAGGATGGATTTGAAAGTACTTGGACGTACTCGTGAAAATCCGCATGGAAATGATGAAATCTAAGAAGCCAGCAATGCTAATTGTGCGATTAGACCTATTTCTTAAACCTACCTCTATCACTTAGTATCCTATTCACATGTTGTGTCTTTAACAACTGTGTAGCGCAAACCAGACTAAGCGCGCGCTTAACGGGTGCTTCGCCACCCGTACCGCCTCGTCAAAAACGTAACATAGTAGACCCCTACGTCTTCCAGCATTGCCATGTGTGTATGATTTTGTTTCCTGCACCAAATTACAATTAACACATATGGTCTGTCCTATATAAGCACATTTTGTCTTCTTCAGCTGCGTGCGTGTCTGGACACAAGGCTGGTTGTCACAATGTCCTCCTCAGAGCCCAAGGACGGCAAACCGTCCTCAAAACCCTTTTCTTTGTCGCTCTGTGGATCTGGGTCTAACGGACAGTCGAAAAAGAGTGCGTTCAATATTCCTCCGTCGCGAGCAGCCGACCCGCCAACTCGAACGCTTGCGCGACGCCCACACCGGCTTCATGACGATGAGTCCGACGAGGAGGAAGCCCCACCGGCATTCGAGGCCGTCGCGGGGTTCGACACCCATACCGGAACGGTTCTGTCAGCCGATGGACGGGTAGTGGACAAGGAGAAGCGCGAGCTGGTTATACCGGTAACAAGCAAAAACAACTGGCGCGACCGCGTGGGGGCGAACAGAGGCACGCGGGGGAAGAACCTCCTCCCGAAGGAGGTACAAGCGATGCAGGAAGCTGAGAGGCGAGGCGAGACTGCTGAGGGTAACAATGAAGCGGACCGTCCGAGCATGTCTTACGGTCTTAGCTTCGCGAAACCCTCTCAAGACGAAGAGACCAAACCGGGCGAGGACCAAGCGATGAAGGATGCGGGCCCGCTTATACCTCCGGTCGTCGATGAACGCAAGCCGCTAACGCAGGATGAAATTGCCCTGCAGGCGCTCATTCGCGAGAGCGCAGGCGAGACGGAAGGTCGGACGGACTTGGTCATCGAGAGTGCGAAGCGGGAAGCTGACGAGGGATATCCTGTGCGGCTCGACGAGACGGGCTCGTTCCGAGTTGATGTGGCTTCGCGGCCTGAGCCGGCGACCCTGGACCAGTACAACGCGATACCGGTGGAAGAGTTTGGTGCTGCACTCTTGCGTGGAATGGGTTGGAAGGAGGGCCAGTCGATCGGGCGGGGGAAGTACGGCCCTTCTGCTACGGATGACAGGTCTCAGACACCCCGCATACCCGAGCGGCGACCGGGCTTTTTGGGTATCGGGGCGAAGGACGTTTCTGGTGGCAAGGGCGCGGAGGCTGAGCTTGGTGCGTGGGGTAGGGCTGCGATGCGCAAAGGGGCTAGAAAAGCAGGGGAGGCCCAGGGAGGTGAAGGCAACACGCAAGGTGTCTACATGCCTGTCCTGATGCGGAATAAGAAGACTGGTGAATACATCACGGAGGAAGAGCTCACAGCCTTGAAAAAGGAGGGTAAAGGAAAGAAAGAAGACGACGATTGGCGGGAAAGACGAGACCGCAACCTTGAAAAGAGCGGACGTGACCGAGATAGAGATAGAGACAGGGATGGGCATTCTCGCCGGCGAGACTACGACGATGATGACAGCGATCGATCTGACAGACGGAGGACGGGTTCTTCACGGAGAGACAGAAGTTTGTCATCCAGTGATCGACAGTCCAGGCGGCGGAAGTACGATGATGAAGACGGCAGCGGGAGAGACGACCGTTACTATCGCGATAGAGATCGAGACAGGGACCGGCGCGATCGTGACCGCGATCGTGAGCGGGATAAAGATCGGGATCGGGATAGAGAGAGGAGTCGCGACAGGAGCAGCAGGTATCGGGATGATGACCGGTACCGCTCGAGACATTCATCCTCTCATGCGTCTAGCCGGCACGGGCGTGACCGAGACAGCGATCGAGATTCTCACCGGAGAAGAAGACATGATTAATGTCTGAGAAAACGTTGGACAATGCTACGGATTAAATAGACATATGCGAGGGAAAGAATGTGTACATCATAGTCGTGCTTAAGTTGCTTTGTATGATACCCCTGGTGGTTTGGGGCTCCAGATATCACACTCTGTCTATAGATGTTAGATGGATCTTCCCCAAAATTGACCTAGAAGAGTCTTAAAATTGCTCTCAAGCCTTGTATTCAAAAGTATCCGAGACTGGGTTCTAAGCAAGGAAATGCAGCAAATATTCGAAAAAGAACAAGAGACAATGGAATGCTTTTAGACTCCCTCGCCGTACAGGACGAAAATGGTATATGAAACAAGCGTACTCCGCCAGTGAAGCCCCAATACATCGTTCTCTATATACTTTATACATGAACAGCCCACAAGCGCAGTATCTATACCCCCAACATGATGAAATCCTTTTCATGTTCAGGTAATTGGTCACCATTGGCCTCGCTTGTGCTGGAAACACCGAGGTCCCCCAGAAGGCCTACGCCGCCGTCCATTTCACCCAAAACCCATTCGACCAGGAAGCTCTCGTCCGTCAGCTCCTCGATACGACGATAATGTCTGTCTGTGTATGCGGCCAAAGCCTGCAGGATATCCTTCATGCCTGCGGCGGTGCGACGATCACTGCCTCGCTTTGCCATGCTAGAGGTTGCCAGCTCCACGAATGTTGAAGCAGGATATGATCTGAACAAAGCATATAAGATTCGCTGCGCCACTCGAGAAGTGCGCGCGTTAGTGTTCCAGTCACGCAATCGGAGCAGAAGAAGGCGGAGATTAGACGGATCGAGGGATTGAAGGACCTCGTCGATCGATGCGTCACCAGTCAAGCTGCTGACACGCTCGTCTTTGTCTGCGTCCGATGAGTACGGATTATCCGCAGCATCAATTGCGGTTGCGAAGATAGATAAGAGTCGTGCGGGATGGTTAAGCTGAAGTGCTAATGTGATAGCTTCGCGATAGGCCCCCGCTCTAATGTAATTCTGCAACTGCTGATCTTGCTCAATGCGGGCCGAGTTGGCGCTGACTGCAGCAGTGTAAGTCGCAGAGGTGGTATCAGTCCAAAAGGTGACGGTGGAATCAGCCGAGCCGGAGGCGAGCGCGTACGGAGTAGCCGCTTTCTGAGAAGGCGACGATTTGACATCGGCACGGGAGCCGGAGGGTGTAGGGCTCGCTAGCGCCCACACTCGATCCTCGTGATTGTCGAGAGTGGTCTCGACCTCGCCGGTATAAGGCGACCAAATCTTGACCAATCCGTCGGCAGCCGCAGATGCGACTAGGGGTTTAGGCTGGGCAGCGATTTTGCGCGCCGAAGCATCCGTATCATCTTCCTCTGCGTCTTCAGGTTTGGTGGACAGTTCTGAAGGCGGGAGCCAGATCACTTTCAGCACACTGTTTGTGTGCCCTTCAAACGTCAAAAGACAGCTGTAGTCAGACAAACTCCAAAGTTTGACGGTCTTATCACCAGAGCCTGTGGCAATCAGGCCCCTGTTGGTACTGCTTTTGGTATCGGCGCTGATGATGGGAGTGTCTTTGGGGGCAAAGCGGACAGACCAGACTCCTCTCTTGTGTCCGCGAAGGACACCAACAACGGAGCCATCTTCAGTGGACCAGATTTTCACAGTCCGATCCTGTGAAGCTGAAGCAAAGAGAGTTGATGAATGGTTGATGTCAAGGGCATTGATGTCTTTTTCGTGGGCTTTTCGGGTATAAAAAGCCTTGGGTGTGTGCGGTTTCGACGAAGTGAGGGGAGCTAGCTTTCCAGTCTCCCATCGCTTGATTGTACGATCTTGAGAGCCTGTCAGGAGGAACGAAGGTGGATGGTTCAAGGGGTCATTGTGTGCGGGTGTGTTGACTGGGGGAGGCACTCGAGGAAGACTGATAGCTCCCAGTGACTCTGCATGACCTGTGAAGACTGCGAAACATGTATAAGATGATGTCTTGGGATCAAGTCGCCAAAGACGGGCTGAGTTATCTTTTGCGCCAGTCGCTAACCAATGGCCAGACCAATCTACATCAATGCATATGATAATATCGTCATGACCCTCGAGATGTGCGACATCGGCACCGAAATATTCACGGTCTTGGGTCGACGGGCGGTCCTCAGACGGAGCGACTGATATAATGCGAATGCTTTCCGTGTTGGTGGCAAGTGCCAGCATTGATCTATCGGGACCGACATATGCTAAATCGATAATATCGTCGTCATTGCCTGATATCCGCCTGACAATTGCCAAAGGATCCAGTGTGGAACCCGGCTTAAAGGCGGACAAGGACTCGAGTGAATGAAGCCTCAGGGTCTGGTCTGCATGAACGGTCATAGCGAACTTCATCCCAGGGAAGTAGTGGATGGCCACAACCGCCTCAAATTCAGGCCCAGCTTCTTGCTCTTTGGTCACCTCTCCTCCGCGGTTGCAGTCCCAGACGCGCAATTTGCCATTTTCACCCGCCACCATGCACAGCCCACTTTCGGCGAAAAATGTAGCAGCTTCAACACTTTCGAGCACGGGTATGATTCGCCGCGTTTTGAAGGTCCTCACGTCCCAGACGATAACGGTCTTATCTCGAGCAGCAGATAGCAATGCATTCTCCGAAGGAGAGTATGACAAGCTTCGTACTACAGAGACGTGAGACTCAAGCGTTGCCACTGACTTTCTCTTGTTCAGATCCCACACTCGAACCTTGCCCTCTTCGTCTCCCGAGGCAAGTCGGAAGCCCACCGCGGAGTCAGATTCGGCCATGTCGTCGTCACCGTCCAGATCCACGGACTTCTTCGACTGCTTCTTTTTCGAGGAAGACTTTGTGTCACCATCCTGAACTGGGACCTGGAAAAAGCACAGGGCTGATATAACACCGCCATGACCATGGAAGGTATGTGTGATATAGCCTCCCCTAATGTCCCAGACCTTAATCGAGCCATCTGCAGCTCCGGTTGCGAGTAGTGTACTAGTTGGGTCGACTGTAGATGTCACGACAGGTGCGGTATGCGGTTTCAAAGTTCGGAGAAGAGATGTTTCAATCGTTCTGGAGGTTTCGTCGAAGGGTGTTAAGGCATAGATTCGCATTGACATGGACCGTGAGCAGACGATGACATGGGAAGCCGATGGAGAGACTGGTAATGTTGTTAGTCCCACACTTCAAAGACCAGGTCAGTGGCCGGGAAAATGGAAAGGCAAACACGCACTTGCTAAGCTGGTGATGATTTCTCCATCCTAGTAATTCTGGGTCAGCGACTTGCGTCTCGGTCACTCTTGGGTAAAAAGTCGAGACTCACTCCTTCAAGACTGGCAAGCTGGTCGCCAGTCTCAAGATCCACAATCAACGCATCCTCGCCGACACAAGTTACCAGTAACCGACCACTGGCATCGAGCGTGGTGCTTCCTCCCGTATATATGGGACGAAGCGTGCGAGACGCCTCGAAAGTCGTCTTGACAACAGCTTTAGACATGATTCTTGGTGGATTTGAAGTTGATATTGCAAGGGGACTAACGCGCCATCATACGTCCAGAATCAGCCCAGTAACACACAATTTGAAATGCTTCTCGTCGTTCAAAGCGACATAGGACTGCGCTGTTTCCAGAAACTTTTGATCTTTTTCCAGGCTGTTTGTTCTGTTTGTCAAACGGACAGAAAAAAAAAAGAACGATAAACGTTGGTCCGTGCACCAAGCGCAGTAGCCGCCATCAGTGGGCACGTGATCAGCCCTCCCAATCTATCAATTATGACACTCGACACCATCTTCATCACAGTTGTAACAATCAGGGTCCATTCTTTCAGGACAAAGCTCTTGATTTCGACTGATTTTGAAGCATAGTGATGCGGAACCATGGGCTTATGTCTTATTGACACACAGGATCAAGTTCCTTTGTAGCTCACAATGGGGCGGCAGGCTTATAGAAATCGACTTGCTCTGGTAGGCTTGAATTTCATATTTCATTCGTTGTAGTCTTTCTGCAAACAATATTTACCTTGACACCTGTTAGTTGATCACTGACTTGTCACCTGTAACGACCTTTTGTTTGGCTTTGCTGAAAGAAGACGTCCGACGCTAGCCATGATCATGTGTTGGTGTTTATGTATTCTGTTGGCAGATACCTGATGATCAAGCAGGGTCGGTCTCCGTACGAGCCCCCGAGCCTCCTGCGGACGCCGCTGCTGATGCATCTGGCCGAGTTCACCGGAGGGCTTCCGCTGTCCATGCGGACGGATACGTCCAACATTATGACGAACGAGGGCATCCGATAAACCCAGATTCTAAGAGCTTTGGCAGGGAGTTACGAAGAGCTAAGAATGACATCCTTTCAACAATGGGGATTGTCGTAAGTGAAGATCGGAACGCCGGCTCTCCAAACGAGCAGCAGAAGATCGATACGATTGCTGCCGAAAACGACTATGGACTGATCATGGCCACTTTTGACCAAGTCGCTGTTTTCCTCAGTTCATGGTGGACCTCGTCGTTGACAGGGCGAATACAGGTAAGCACTGAGTCCTACCGATATCTGAAGCCTTGAAAACCTATCTGATTGGGTACATCGTAGGCATTCAAGAGCTACACCAATGTTCCTCTATTGGGCATCATAAGTCGTGAACGCTCATCTATGGGAATAATGGGATTTTACTTCTCCGGAATTCCTGCATGGGCGGTGTCTACTTGTCTATCTATCTGTCGCCATCACCCCCTTGATCGCATTGTTGCCTCTCTGCAGAACAAGCATCTCGGTGATGACCCCTGGTCACGACTTGTGCGAGCCTCGCTCAACATATTTCATTCTGCGTAGGTGTCTGATATCAAGTTGGATGTCTTCAACTAACTCTTTTGGCAGGGCGAGGGGTACTCTGCTTGTCTTGGCATTGCAGACATATGTATACTCATTACTGCAATCCCTGCATCTAGTCCAACCGTACTCTCTTCCGGGTATTCAGTTTCTCTTCCCGATAGGCAACTTGACGTCAATGCATTTTCCGCCTTTGCCTACTGAACTCTCCTTCAAACCCATCATCGACTTTGCGCTGGGGTTATCCAAGACTCCTTCTCTTCTCGTCTATCTCTATGTATACCTGCGGCCCATAATAGAAATAAGGATCTATCGCTTGATTCGCCGAAGATTACCGAAGCCGAGCCTTGCGGATGAACTCTCCATCAAAGTGGCGTTCGAAAATGATCTGATAGACTGGATGGTACCAACTCTTGGACGCAGATCAGAAGAAGAGAATCGTCGCAGTAATCTGTCTCTTACAGAGGATGTGATTTACGAATTGTCTTCCTTCAGAGACTGGATGTTGTCGTTGGTTCGTCTTAGGCCACGTCGGGAACCTACAGAGAAGGCGTTCTCGTCACTTAGGGACGGACGGGTAGATCCTCTACGTCTGAACATGGCAGAGCTACAAACAGAGCTCAATTCTTCGCACTACCGATCTCATTTACCCCAGGAAGGGAATCTACGGCCTGCCGCTTCTCCTGAGGAGCTGGCTCTCCAGGATCATGCTGAAGCTGCGCAGTCCGGGTCTTCTGGACTAAATGTTTCCACACAGGGGCATGGCCAAGATGCAGACCATAACGAAAATCGGGTCCTATCCGGTGAAGATGATCCGATTTCTCAGTCGCCCGCCGAATTGAGCACAGGTTTCTCCTTGGAGGCAGCCACACTAGGGGGGCCAACCACCATCCCTTCTGCTGTAGATTCACCCAACCCATCAGGAGATACCCATCACCCCTTTGAGCAAGCTCAGAGCCGGCTCAACTCTCGATCCGATACCCTTCTATCTCGACAGTCGTCTCCTGCAACATCTCCTCCAACCTCACCACGCGTCCGAGCATCGTTAATCCATCAGAATTCGGACGTCATCACCATGCAGCTAGAAGTCTTGGGAAACCGTAATACTCACAACCAGAGTCCACAGAATCCAAGAACTGCCAACGAAATCGATCGGTCCGACTACAATGGAGCGCCCGCAGACCGTAGGTCAATTCAGGATTTCCTGGACAATCTTCTAGCGAATCAGGGACAGAGTCTCGCTACGGTAGCTGGGTCAGAAGCTGTAGACAGCGATGGACTTTCTAACATGACCACTGCACTGTCTCCTGAAACCGGTGACGGTGCGTCAAGTATTCCATTACACGATGGAGATCACGGTCAGCACACATTGGATGAGCAGCCTACGCATGGTACTCCCGCCACGCAACCGGTCACAACATTCGCCAACATTCTACCAGACAGCGTGGAAGAGCCAAGCCAGGACGACAATCTTGAGCCGACCTCACACGCGGACGTCCTTCATGCCGGTGCTTCCGATGAGGAGCTGCCACCGCCACTAGTAGACGCTCTCGCTTCTGGTGACATGCCAGCCGACCCCTCCTCTGTCCCACACCGCGTCACAATCCTTTCCTGTCATCCAGTCGACTCTCTTGCTTCACATCTCGCCTCTATTATCACCACTGCGCTCTTCATCCCCTCGAGTCATACTATTTGCGTTCCCTCGCCTCTTCCTATCTGTCATCCGTAGGGTCCCCTCGACGTTCCGACGTCCGTCCCCTCGGAGCATGGAGCGGAGGTGGCTCTTCCTCGGATATAATGGCATATACGGGCAAGATGGCCCTCATGGTTGGCCTGCAAGCTGCAGTGAATGCAAGTGTGTGGGGGGTGATATCAGGCGCTGCAATCAGGATCGGCAAGCGATTCTGTGGTTGGGGAAATCTATGAGCGTGCTGATCCAATACCAGTAGTCGGCTTGTCACCTTGCGATTGACAAGCATGGCTTGACTTCAATCCTCCTCTATGTGGAGAGCGGTGCAGGGTCGTAACCGTGATACGGACCGATGATCCTATAGCTTAAACCACATGGAACATGATCACCATCGTTATATCATCACATCTAATTGTACACTAGTATCTCTCCAGGCGATTGCTGTATCAGTATATCTTGCACATGCGACTTGATCTACAACAGCCGTTTGGAATAAATTACTGAGTAATACTGTTCCCAATGCCGGCTTCACTCATTGAGGGAACTCGTCTCTCACTTGGCCGCGCCCTTGCCCTTCCGGTTATTCATACCAGGGATCTTTCGTCGCTCCCACACCATCAGATAGCCTTCCCGCGTAAACAGAGTCTCACTTTCAGCCTTCTTGACAAATAGATCTTGGATCTCCAGCCATTCAGGTCCTTGCTGTTCCCCGGCACCTTGGCTTTGGTGCCGTCTGTTCTCCTCTGCCATGGCCTTGTCGTGGAGCTGGACAAGCCAGGCCACCCTCTCACGGCCAGCACCGGCGCCAGCCGACGATGTTCCGCCCGCAGCGGTGATGCCCTTCTCTGCAGCATCCTCAGTGGCACCTGGTGCTGCCACAGTTGGATCCAGGATAATGTTGGCGACCAGATCATATAGAATCGGTTCGCCAGGTGGCCAAATTTCCGGGTTAGGTTCCACATACGGCGACATATCTAGAGAGCGCGGCGACGGGAAAGTGACGATAGTGGGATTGCGCTCAGAAACAAATCTGTTCTTGCTGAATCGTTTGATGTGGAATAAGAGGTAAGGGGGTAGAGGATGAAGAAGGCGATGTCGGACACGGTGAGCAAGCTTCTCGGAGGCAGTAATGCCGTTGTACTTGTTCAGAAGAGTGGTGAGGGGTACATGGGGGATGATAGACTCTCGGTTCGCGGATTGAAAGAGGGGCGTTGGCGGAAGATCCAGAGTTAAAATGAGAAACGGGGTGGTTTGGCTATTGATAGTGCCTGATTCGGTGAAGACCAGACGAGCATTTTGCGTATCTGAATGCGCAGTAATGGCTTGACTTTCAATTCTCAAGTGACCTTGGAAAGCAGCCTGTATCACACTCGTCGGGGTCGACGATGGTTTCTTCGAACCACCTAGGGAAAGGTGTAGATTGTTTAAAAACCAGGAGAGGAATTCTACCGGATCTGATTGCTGGGTAAGGGTGAAGCGCTTCGATGACCGGAGCGCAATCTCCTGTAGCAACTCGTGTGGCGAAACATGCGAGCGGAAAGCCTTGGGGTTCCACAATTTGCGTACCAATGTGCTGAAGCGAAGGGCCAACTCTGGCGTGCCTGGTACAGGAAATTGATGCAGCAGGAAATAGTTGCGAATTGGGAAAACGTGAGCCAGGACTTGGACGACGACGTTAAGGTAATCGTTGGCTTTGATGTTGTTCATTCCCACGAAGCCTATAAGGGGAATCAGATGCGTTAATTTGTGCCGAAAATCCTCAATAGAACTGAAGAAAAGACTTACCAGGTCTGTAACGATTACCTGCAAGATCAAAAGCATCATGGACCTCTTTATCCAACTTAGAAACCTCGTCTTTTGAGTAGTGAGGATCTACCACATATTTGATATCCTCCAAGCTTTTGCTCTTGACTTCATATCCTTCAGGAAGAACATAAACCTTCTTTGTCGATATGTTGATGAAGACATGATGTCCAACTTCGAGAGCGTGAAAGTACGCATACGACCTGGGACCTCGGCCCTGGAAGTATTTGCCGCATACCAGGCAGGCATATACGTTGATATTCGAAAGACTGACAGAGCACAGCTTCTCAAAGTCAAAATCGAGAATTTCGCGATTGATCGTGTCGAGGTAGAGGTCGCTGTAGCCTTCCATAGGTTCATTTTGGCGTCTCGGCGCTGAGATGACTGGCCGGTCCTCGTCGACATCGGACGATTCGGCGACTTCGGCGTTCTCTGGAATTGCCTCCTCCATCTCCTCCTCTTCGTGATCAGCTGCTGCAAGGATATCTTGTCCTTTGCGTTCATGCTCCTCCATTTCCTGGCCACTGGCTCGTCGCAAAGGCAATGCTCCGTTGCGGGGGTCGCCTTCTTCAAGCTCGTCTTCCACACGAGCCCTCTTCGAAACAGGAGAGCCTACTGCAGGCTCATCCTCAAGCGACAGTTCCGCCTGTCTCTTCGACATCGTGGCCGTGAAATTAACAATCGTGTTGAGAAGTTGCGGAGATAGAGCTGGTATTCCGAAACCATCGCCAGGCTAAGCTCTGGAAGACGCGACAAGATCAAAGATGCAAACATGTCAAACATGCAGCGTCACCAATGCGCATCCCATTATTCAAGAGTTATCACGTTCTGCTCAAGCGTACTCAGGCGGATATTCTCAGTTCAGGAGAGTATCGACTTTTTGAGTCATTTCCACTGGTCCTATCAAGAGACTACATACGTGCCCAAGTCATGGAAAATACCTGCCATGCGTCCCGGTCTTCAAAAGCAAATCAGTGAAAAGACAAATCATGGTATGATACAACGCCGTCATTCCAAGTGTGAAATTAAGCACTCTTGACTATTCTATCATTATCGATCTCTACTTCCTTGACGCCATCCTTGGTCACGACCTTTACAAGGACCTATATGGAGCAAGTCAGTAGCTGATGCTGCAAAAGCCAGTACCGCTGCATTGTAAAGGGGGAACGTACGCCCTTGTAATCGATTGGTAGTCTGCGCTTGAGCTCGTCTGTGCACATCTGTAAAAGCTTCATACCATGTCCGAGGGAGATATCGGGATGATGGTGTTTGTCGAGGATGGATAAGCAGTAGTACCTAACACTCATTGTTAGCGCCGTTGCTTCAACGACCACTCGTCACCCTTAATGTCGACGCTTACTGAGCATAACCGTGTGCGGCGTAGGGCACGCGGGCAAGAGCAGACAAGTAGTCAATCCAATACAGATGAGGTTCCTGTGTAATTGAGTCCACTCCGCCCAGCAGGAGGTTGACCGTGTAAGGGTTCCGTGATCTCAAACTCCGAGCCAATTCTCCTCGGACGAAGCTGGCAACAGCATTCGGACGCAATTCGGTATCGTTTCTCATCGTGTATAGCGAAATATTAGCTTGAATGTATTCGGCAAATTGCACTATCCGCAACAATCGTTAGCATGCTGTGTTGATGCCATTCGTTGCAATTCATCTCTACGGACCTGTATCTCCTGCCTCTCCCGAAAAAGCCATAAGAGTGTGCTGGCTCAATTGCCGTGTCTTGTCATCCTCTGCTTTCAGAATAGTCGGCCCTCTCATAGCGGCTTTGGAGGCCGCCAGGATGACGAAGTCCTTGCCGGTGATACCTAGTAGAACCTCCCTAAAAGCAGCAGTTAGACCGTGCCCTCTTGGGAAAAAATGAATTCTAGTCTCACATATTGATATTAATCTGTTGTAGGAAGGGGAGATGAAAATGATGGATGAGGAGAAAAGAGAATGGAGGATGATGGAGATTGTAAGCTGATGAGCTCACCTGGAAGCCGCGCGAGCTCTCACTGCCTGGAGCTTCTGCGCTGTTGCGGAGCTGATTGCTGACTCAGCGTTTAGGCGTAATTTCTTCTCCGATCCCCGAGGCCGCCTGCTGCACGGACCAGCGGCAGAAAAAAAGAGCGACAAGAAATTATTACTTACGGCCTGCACAAAAGACGGCCGGCATCTCTTACCCTACTACTTCATTGTCGATCACAGAGTTGCTATTGACGGATTATTTTGCACGGTAATACTCTGACACGACCGTGTGATGTCGTCCTTTTTTACATTGCCCGCTTCACAGCGAAAGCGGAAGAGAGACGACCGCGCCGCAGCTCCGGCATCAAAAAAGCGAGGCGTAGATGCGGACGGAGATTCTGGCGCGAAGGGAAAGAGCAGGACGAGAGAAAGAGATCAATCTATTTCTGGCAGTGACCTGGACGATGACGACGAGAGCGTGGCGTCGGCAGTATCCGAAGAGGAAAGTGGTTCGGAGTCTGAGGATGGCGAGACGGCAGCAGAGAGAAGATTGAAACTCGCTGAGAGGTATTTGGAAAATGTGCGGGACGAGGTGGACGACTATGGTTTCGATGCTGCTGAGATTGATCGAGACTTGATCGCCGAGAGACTAAAGGAGGATGTGGTATGTACCGCCTCTATTTTTTTTACTTAACCCACCCGTGCTGCGCAAATATGTATGGGATTAGACCAGATGGCTGACGCTCGAAAAGGATGAATTTAAAGGACGCTCTTATCGTCAGATAGCTTCAGAGTTAGCATTTTCGACGGCGACACCATCGTTTTTCCGCGCAGATACCCAATCGACAACTTCAATTGCAGTACACCCTCCTTACGTTTATACAGTGTCAAAAGACAAGACGTTGATCAAGTGGGAACTCGCAACGCCGAGTCACGCTTCCGCAACGGTTCCGACGACAAATGGACAGGATGAGGGATCTAAGCGTCCTGCAAGGCCTCAACGGAAAAAGCCAAAGCAAGTGAAGTTCGCTCGGGGATTAAGAAAAGTCGCAGAGACCGGCGAGGAACATGGTCATACCAAGGCTATTCTTTCAGTAGCTGTGTCGCCTTCGGGAAAGTTCGTGGCTACTGGTGGAGAGGACCGGAAGTTGATCATCTGGGATGCTGCAACTTTGACTCCAATGCAGACCTTCAGCCAACACCGCGATGCAGTTAGCGGGCTCGCTTTCGTCCGACACATCTCCACTATGAGCTCCGGTGAGCAGTTATTTTCCGGTTCCTATGACAGAACTATCAAGACCTGGTCCTTGAGTTCAGCCGGCCATGCCTACGTTGAAACCCTATTCGGGCACCAGGACAATGTGTCGTCAGTCGCCGCCATGACTCTCGATCAGTGCATCAGTGTTGGAGCACGCGACCGCACCGCTCGGTTGTGGAAGGTCGTCGAAGAAACACAACTGGTCTTCCGTGGCGGATCATCAAAAAACACGTATCAGGAAAATACCATCGACTGTGTGGCACCTCTACCCCCTTCCCATTTTGTCACAGGCTCAGATTCCGGCTCCATCTCCCTCTGGTCCATTTACAAGAAGAAGCCTCTCCACACCATCCAATGTGCTCACGGCTTAGGCCCTCTACCGCCACTAGACGAGCTCTCAGCTGAGGTCGATCAGAAACTCGCGGATTCAAACTCCCGTTTCCTGCGGCGCATGCCCCGCTGGATCACAGCCTTGGCAACAGTTCCCGGCACCGACATCGTTCTTAGCGGCAGCTGGGACGGCTTCATCCGAGCCTGGAAGGTTTCCGAGGACAAGAGGACAATCATACCGCTTGGCCCCGTCGGCGGAGGAAAGCTCGGATCCGCCGCACCGGACACGCCGTCTCGACAGCTCAAACAAACCCTTGAGTTTAACACAGCCGCCGACGCGGACTCCATGTCCGTCGACGAACCCCAGAACCAACACACCGAGGACACCAAGGACGAAGCCGAGCCTCTCATCAAGGGTGTCATCAACGATATCGCCGTCTTCGAGCGTCGTGCCGACACGGCCAAGCCCGGCCAAGGCCTGGCCGAGTCCAAGTCCAAGACCAAGTCGTCCGAGCCCGAGCCCCGCGGTCTCTGCATCGTCGCTGCTGTGGGGAAGGAACACAGGTTCGGGCGCTGGAAGTGCTTTGCGAACAATTTCCACGAGGGATCTGCAGCTGACGGCCGCAACGGTGCGGTGGTCTTTGAAGTTCCCTTTATTTCCGACAGCAAGCAGTGATTGGAATACATTTGCTGAATGGGGCATTGGAGCATGCATTTTTCATGCACTCCTTTATCATGAGGACATTGGTTGCGGAATTGAAGTTCCGCAACCCACTGAAAATAAATTTATGGTATCGAACGACTCGTATACTAGCCTCGATTTTGTTTGCGTCTTGTTGTACTGGGAAATAGTCCGGCGTTCGGTACGTTCCCTAGTCTTCAATGTACATAAATCAACAACACAGGCCATGAGAAACTATTTGTGGCAGTGTCCCTTCAGGAATTCCAGCCATCAATATGGGCCCGAGTTACTTTACTCTGACATGCCATGGACTCTTCGTAAATTTCATAGCAGTGCCTAATACTTGCCGACTGGACGAACTTGCTGTCCTCTACGAGTAAAGACAACTCCAACAAATTCATGGACCCTCTTCTAAAGTGTTCGCTGGATAAGGGCTATGGTAACTGCTATGAAGACCAAGTATGAGCACAGCTAAGAATTGGCCTTGAGAATGACGGGAAGGGGTATTGGGAATGAACCTGAACAATAAAGCCAAAATCACGCCTCGAATGCTAAAATAGATGTCCCTAGACCCGGATCCAATATTTTACTCCCTCCCATGAGTGAACAAAGTAAACGCATCGATTGTATGACAGAATGCCGGAAATCGTGAATCATCGAAAAAAAAAAATTATGGTCGGTGTGAGTACAAGCATCGCAGTAGCATCTCCGTGGTTCTGGTTCCTCTTATTATCGCTCTGCACCTTGCAAGTGAACACAGGACGCAACTCGGTCCGAAGGGTGGAGCGCGACGGTGGAATCGTTTATGAGATCGCAAGCCAAACTCATCGATGGAACGGTTCCATCCCGAGGACGGTGATTGCTCAGTAGGCATGGACCCTGCAACCTCGTCTGTTTCGTGCCCGCCGTGACGGTCCAACGGGGCCCTCGTCAGAATCATCTTCCACGTTAATCGCATTGTAGGCCGATGATCCCGCAGTAGACGCTTGACTCCGATGAGATGAGGTACCACCACGAGCCGAGTGGGAAGTCCTCGTGGTAAAAACATGCGGGGGTGACGACCCATGTCTCACTGATATCACTACTTCATCGTACGTGGGTTCCCGACGACGACGGTTCGCGTTAACGGGCGGCCGTACAGGCTCGTCATCGTCATCATCGTCGTCGTTGTGTCCATCTTGCTCGTCGTGGTCCAGGACGCTGGATCCAGTTGGCGTAAGGTTGTTCAAACTATCCTCGTCATCACTAGTGTGTGTCATTGAAGAGTCAGTGTCCAACTGTGACACGTCGTAGTGCGCTCCATTGCGGTCCGGCCCACCGACGACGGTAGATATATCTGAATCAGAGACATAATCGCGGCCGGTATGTTCGTCGTCATCAATAAAAGAATCCATGTCGGCATCCTCATCCGCGTCATCATAGCCGTCGATATCCGAGTAGTCAAGGCTTGCTGAGTCGACGGAAGGGAGGCGTTGAATTTGGCCCGAAGCGCGGGAGTCAAATGGTGGAAAAGCTGATCAAGATCCCACCCATTGCGGTAGCCACCGCCAAACCCGACTTCAACTTCGTCATCGTAGTAATCAGTCATCTCAGAGTTCTCGTCCTCTTCGGTCCAACCCGTCACGGAATCGGAAGCGTCCGATACTGATTGATCGTCTCGAAGGTATCCACATTGTGCGCAGCCGGCATCATCTTCAAGTTCCCAAGAACAGCGTGGACAGCGAATGACATTATCTTCAACATCGATGATGGGCGCCTGACGGATTGGCTTATTGAATGTACCTCGGAACAACCCCCTTCTCTTGGATGCGTATTCCTTCTGTCGCGCTCCACTTTCTCAGCTTCCTCACGCTGACAATGCTCATGCTGAGCTGTTGTCTCGTTTTTATCCAGGAGCTCTGCTCGACTCGTGAACAGCTGGACGATTGAACGAATCTTCAAAACGTAATGTTAGCGCAAGAGTCCTGAAGACTGACATTGTTCAGAAAACAGAGGGCATCTCACCAAGTAGGCAGGCGCAGGCTGGGTTTTTACCGGCGCTCGACAGTCGGGGCATGTTTTATTCGATCTTCCCGAAGTAAACCACGATGACAAGCACTATCCCGAATGTTAGATATTTCGTCCGAATAATGGGGAACTTTAACCAAACTAACAGTGTAACAGAAGGTATGCCCACACGCGATTGTGAAAGGCTCATAAAGTGGCTTAACACAAATACCACATTGTAAGAGAGATCTGATGTCGTCTACATGTCCCTGTAGCGTTTGAACGAGCTGTGCGAGACTATTTTAGCATCGGTCTGGCGGAGACCTTGGGTAATTTCAAGTTTAGTCTACTTACTCCTGATGCACCGTCCCCCAATCCACTTGTCGAGTTTGTCGAGTTCACATTATCGGGGCCGTTGGTGGACCTGGCTCCCGCGGTAGTAGAAGGCGACATTTGCTTGATGGGCTAATATTCTCCCCAGGAGGAGAAAGATGTCGATATTACTCCGAAAACCCCTGCAATGACAAGGAAACACATGTGCGAACAACCGCGCGATCGAGATTGCAAAATACTGCGACAGTGGCAAGATTCGGGGTTCTCTGTCGGCAAAGCTTCAAAAACGCGGCAGCCACCTTTTTGTCTGAAGTATAGAAGGGTCCGGCCGGAGGAGGTCAGATCCCAATGGCGAACCGCGGGACGATCCCTCGAGGATTCGGTGATTCGTCCCAGCGAAGATTGGATGATAGAATAGCTGGAAGAAAGCGAAGGGGAAAGGAGACTTGAGAAAAGGAGATAAGCAGAAGCAGAAGACGAAGGAAGAAAAAGTTCGTGGTCGATAAACCACGGTCCTCAGCCAGGACACGGCGACGTGAGCATTACTTTCTTTTTCGGAGGTTCCGCGCGCAAACTGAACAAACACCGCGTCAGACAATAGGCGGCAGGTCACCTGACTGCGCATTCCAATGGACTCGATGCGATGGCTCAACAAGCCCCTTTCGACACCTCACAATCCATCAATCAAACAGTCAATCATCTTTGACCTATCTTCATGTGATCGTCTGACTGTCCCTGGTCTCCTGTTTCTGGCCTGAATATGGCAGCTATTATCCAATAATAGCAGTGTGGGCCTCTGAATTGACAATGACACTTCAGTCCTTGAACATACACAAGAGCAAATAGTTTAATAAATAATAAGATAAGATGCAAGACGGTGTACTCCTGAATGGCTGAGGCCTAATTTCCCCTGGTGATGAAGGGCATTATTGTGCAGCTTTAATCATTCAACAAGCCTGCCATTGTCTCCTTCTCTGCTCTGAGTCGAACTCGGCTGCTCAATAGGCATATGTTGAGGTGTTTGCTTTTGAGCCAGCTTACCGAGCAGTCATATGTCATTAATATTATCAAAATTGGCCTCCTAAGTATTGTCAGCAGTTTGGGGAAACAGCTTGATGTGCTGCATTCGGATTGATATTGGCTAACGTGCTTAGACTCGTCACAGTTTTTGACGCTACGACTTGCCTGGAACAAATATTGTCATGAATTGGGCACCGGATATCATGAAAAGTCATTGGTAAAGACATCACGAAAGTGGAGATGAACCCAGATCAGCAAATAACCAAGACTCGGAAGCATTGTGATCCGCAGTACTAGCCAGGAGTAAGAAAAGGGACGCGAGACTAGACTCAATTACCTACTGAGAAACTGTCTTAAAGCTGCTTGCCCCAGAGTACTGAAGGCGACACAGGGAACTGAGTCTTGGAGTCTAATGACAAAGGGGATATGTGCATGTTCCACTGCAGCGTCAGCCTACTCTGCCGCAGCGAGCTCACGTTTCTTGGACTGCTTCAGCTTCAGATCTTCTGAAATGAGGTGGCCGTCGCCAGTCACACCTTTGATGACCTTTTCATCTTCAACGATCTCTCGATCCATGTGCTCCAAGAATTCGATTTGTTCATGAATGAACTGCTTCAGGAATGCCGTGTTGAAGCGGCGGTTGTCACGCTTCCGGTCCCGCATGTACTTGTTGACTCCCCTGAGACGATCTTCGAGAATCTCAAAGCGGTATTCTGCAAACTGATGATACAACTCGCCAAGGTCAGAAATCGGTCTGATAGTGGTCAGTACCGTGTGGTCGGGAATCGCCGCAGACCGTGGGCGAAAGGAGGTCACCATGGTGATCCGCTCGGTCATTCCCAGGGCGCGAAGGGCTCGATGTTCGATGTACCGTCCCTGGAGGATTACCGCCGAACCCTGGCGGACCTGGTTAAACTTGTATTGTACCCCTCGTGAAAGCCGACTTACCATCTGGGGGCCCCGGATCTTGATCGTTTCGCCATTGCCTTTTCTTAGTTCTGTCTCTCCCCCAATCATGTCCTCGCAGTCGGAGAGCATCACCACGCAGACAAAGTGATAGCCGTCAGTGTGCCAATCTACGATCGGATCCTTGTCTTCCCAAGCACTGTCGGAAACATTCTTGCCAGCCTCCTGACTTTTCTTCTCCGCCACCGCTGCGAGAAATTTGGCTTTGTCCTCTTCGCTCTGGACGGAAATGTTAATATGTCCTATCTCGTAATCCATGACGGGAACCAAATCAAGGCCGGCAATTTGAGAAACAATAGCGAGAGTCTGGGGATGTTTCCAGGCGTCGTACACAAACGGGGCACACCTGCGATTGTCAGAGCGCGATTCGAAGTGAGTGAAGACATCACAAACTCACTCTGCAGCATAACCTCTAAGTTGGCCCTTGGCAAGATCGCTAGAGCAGTGATACTTGACAAAGACTTCCTCTCTAAGGGCTTCCTTTCTCATGACTTGAATGGCCTCGGCAGAGAACATTGGGAAGGGTTCGGAGACGCCAACAGGAGAAATAGCACGACGCTCTGGGTATCCGAGCTCTGCCATGGTGTAGACCTTCGAAGGAGGAGTAAAATTGAGATGCTTAGCTGGGTCGAATTCGACGAACTCCGCTTCGGCCTGCTTCTGTGGCTGAGAGGAATGACTCTCCAATCCTGCATCTCCGGTATTGTTGGTGTGAAGATCAAACGCTAGATCTGTGGATGGAGCAGAAGAAAGTGCCCCAGAAGCTGCCATTGTTCTGGTTCTGGATTTGTCAGTCCATAACATGTATCATCCATGGACCTGCAACTACTGGCAATGGGCTGTCGAGGGGAACTTACGTCTTCAATACCGATTCCAACCTGAACCACTTCGATTAGAAATGCGAGTACGTATTCCTATAAGCCTAGTCAACTCAAACTGGTGTTGTGGAGAGGAGAAGAAAGAGAATAAGAGAGAGATTTCGAACTAGCATGATTATCCCTTCAGGCACTTGTGTTGTGTGAATACTGAGTATCGATAATAGGCGATCCTAAATTATTGCATATATAATCTCATACTATCAGTACATACATTCACTATGAAGTAGTGAATCTCGTAAATGAATAGCTTTTTACTTCGTCCTTACATGCAAGCTCTTAGTATAATAATGGACTCTATAAATGAGATCTCTGGTAGTAGAAGTTACTTTATTTGATTCGCTATGGGCAGGGTCCTACTTATTAAACTAGCTACTAACAGGCCTGCAAATCATATATGATAATAATGGGCTCTGTAGGTCTTGTCTAAACTTCTATTTTGCTAACTGTTAATTAGAGTCTGATTTAGTTAGCATAAGTCCCTTAAGCAGGAGCTCCTTTCTTGTCACTGTTTGTGAATCACAAGTATAGCTCCCTAAGGACATTTGGCCACATAGGATATGTGGCCTTAGCCCTCTGATTGTCCATAGACTTCTGGCTTGATTGAAGTTGAAATCGTTGTTGCTTTCCCACCCTATTATAAGTCTAAGTAGAGGTCCTGTTGAGGGCGTAGTAATGTCGTCATTACTGGAAAGATAGCAGATGGTAAGTGGATGACGAGGGCGTACCTGATGTATCTAACTTGCTCATTGAGACCTTAACCGTCCTCGTAGGTGGCCTAAGTTTGTCTGTCCGGGAATCCTCTGCCCTCTTATCTACCAGAGATGACCTCAGGTATAGCATACCGGTGCAATAACTTGCGTCACGGTGGGCTTCATTTCTTTCCAGACCGAACCAGGAAACTATACAAAGCTCCACAAGCAAGGCATCGACGACCCATCGAAGATCCAAAGCACTGATTACCTCTCTCCCACATTATCCACTTGATATTGCTCAACCTGGACCTGGCCAGCCTGGGAATGCTGCGTCGCGTCGACACCACATCAAGGCACTTAGTAGAATCACTCCCTGCGTACTGCTTGTTGAGGAAGCATGCCCCAAACACGCTGCGTCTCATGGATGCTACGAGATGCTCGTCGCATTTCCCAATCCAGTGGATATTTACAGAGTTCTGCCATCCCTGGCGCCGGACATGTGGCGTTTTTGGCCCCTACCTTTACCTGCCAACAGTCAGTCGGTCATGCTATAAATGCAATTATCTCCGACCCGAGTATAAAGTAGCACCAGTGACAGATGTTTGCTTGCGCTTTGGGCTGACCCAGAAGGACGTCAAATCACTTCCCATCATTTACACCATTTTCACACCTAAACGCCGTTTAGCTGACGTTACCCAAGCAAAAAGCGTTGGGTAAACAGCTGCATGGGAGTTACAAGGCGATGAGGCAGGAATACAAGACCCGTCGGGAGCAACTGGAAGAAAACTACCAACACCGAGTTCAGGAGTGGAAAAGACAAAAGCAACAAGGAAATTCCACTCGACGCCCTCGGCGCCAATCTATTCCTACTTCCTACAATACTCGGCAACAACGGAGAGTCAGGCTCGTGGAGAATGCAGGCGACAGTTACATTTCCGTACTGGGATCGCCATACGCAGACATTGGAGCCGGGCACCTTCTGCCGAGCCTGCACCTATCACTGGGAGGATGGAAATGCAAATGACTGGAGATTCATGCAGACCATAGGGGATCTACATCCTCCTAGCCGGGAGGCCTATTTTCGGGCTTTTCTGGAGGCTGAACTACCCCAACATTTTCTACATTGTGCAGCAGTGAAGGCAACTATAATTTCCGGGAACTTTCACTAACAAGAAAGGAACCTAGGAGAGAAGGAACCGATTTTGTAGTAACACCGAAGAAGATCATTGCTGGACGAGATTGTGGTAGTTGTAGGACTTGTCGGGAAGTGAGGATGGCTGTCTATGTAAATTACATCCTTCATCAGAACAGCAGAACACAGTGCTAAAGTGTAAATCTTGGTGGATTGCAGAAGTATATACGTAGTTAAGTTATCTATGAGACGAAGTATCTCCATATGCCAAGACTGTGGGACCGGGCCGGATTTTCCTCGGCACCAGTCCATGTATCGTTCGCATGGAGGCTGGAACATCATTAAAGATCGCAATTGTTCAGATACACTCACAGATACAAGACCACGATCATCTCATCTTATTGTGTGGCTCAGCTTGTGTAAAATAGTCCGTATCCTGAGCCCGAGGCCTTCCATTCATAGGAGAGATGTCATCGCAATCATCCCAAGCCGACCAACAACAGCAGTCATCACAGCCAGGGCAACCCAATGCTTGGGAGAAAGCGGAGCGCAAATTTGCCAAGTAAGCTGATTACTCCTGTTCTTCGAGATCTCTGTGCCGTCTGTTGTATTTTATTGTGTTCTGTGATAGTTTTGAAGACCTTTGTTGTCCGGTAATCCTCGGAGGGCATGAAATGTATCCAACTCTCGTTGCTTCTGAATTTCACCAGTCTCTGCTTCAGACAATGCTCTCTTGTTTAGCAACTAAGGGACTGACCTTGATACAGTAAACATGCGAGTGAATACTATGACCCATGCCAGGATTTCGCAGATCGAAGTCTCAAGTGCATGAAGCGGAACGCCTTTGACAAAGATATGTGTGGAGACTACTTCCAGTACGTTTATTCCATTCTTTCCTGCAACTGTGCTGGTATTCAATTTTGTGGGCTTACATGAGCTAATCTGTTTTCTGAAAGAGCCTATCGTGACTGCAAAAAGGAATGGGTAGGTTGAACTAGTTAATGTCATTCATCAGAGTCAAAACAGCCCAGATGGGAGCAAGGACGGCGCCCAGGGGGAACTATGCGATTATCATGCTAATATTATTTCAGTTGACCCAGAAGAAGCTCAACTAGTCACCTGTCCTGGTATCAGGGGAGAGCGGCTCCAGCGCTGTCGATGATGCCACCTCTGCACCACCGCTCTAGAGCTCTGGGATGCAGTATAGCGGGATAATTCCCTCGCCAACAGTCAAACATTATGAACTTTGGCATCCTATCGGTTTCCCAGGGCAGATATCACTGGTCCTGAAGATGCAGGTAATACCTGAAGATCGGATTCGTTCTCTCCAACTCAAGTCAGGCGTTAGAGGTCCTATTGGCAGGAACGGATTCGCTGTGGTGCTTTGTTATGCAACTGCGTACCTACTGTACGCTCAGGCGAGACCTTCAGTCCATTTGGGGCAGGCTTACAAGAGTCGACTGTTTCGAATTAGGGGTGTTTAACCGGAGTTTGCGCTTTGGAGTTCGAGCGAAGTTTTTGAACTTGTATATTATCGTGTATTGTACTACTGTGGAATTTATCATCGTTTATGAAATGGCTGCGCTACATTTACCTGAGAGCTTGTAAATTCCTCCTTGTGTTTATACTGCTTTCCTCAGTACCGTGCTTCGCGGAGAGCTTGTGCTTCTGAGAGATTTATATAGATAGTATTGTGATGCTGGGAATGAAGACCTATGAAAGACACCTTTTGTGGATTTTCTTAGGATTACAATATAGTCGCCCACTAAGTAAAGCAAAAGAGCCAATAGTACAAGAGATTCAATTGATGATCTATAGCAGTATCAATGAGACATTTGGAAGGACAATAGCTTGTCGACTGACCTCAGCCATCACCGCCTCGGGATGAGTCTCTCCCCGCCAAACATACAACGATAAGAATTTCCGATACAGCCAATTGATCCTCCCCTCATCTTCCGCATTCTTCAATTCGATTCCCCGCACATCTGTGCTGTGCTCGGCTGGGCAGCAAACGACCTTATCTGGTCATTGCCTTGACCTCTCTCCCTGTCTACTAGATCTTATCTCAGATTGTTACCGTCGGGCTTTCTGATTCAAGAATGTCGGCCACCAACGACGCCGTGTTTCATCGGCGGAACAAGCAAATTCAGGACGCCATTGATGGGCAGAACTTGAAGCAAGCTCTACAACTCATCGAGAAGCGCATGAAAAAAGGAGAGGACTCGAGATTTCTCAAGGTAAAACATCCACTACCGCTCTTGGGTGTTATTGGCGCGACCAGTGTTCCGTTTCACTATTTCGGTTGCTTCCAAGCAATGTGACAGAGCTCGTTCTTGCATCATTGTCCGCAAATGGCAGCTAATTTCTGTTCGTGACCAATAGGCGTGGAAAGCAGAGATCCTATACCGCCATGCGGACGACGCCCATCGCCAGCGCGGCCTCGCCGAAACGCTGGAGCTGTGCAAGCTAGAGCCACCAACGACAGATTTAGACACACTCGAGATCTTGCAGGAGACGCTACAGAAGATAGGCGGCCAAGAGGATACTATGAGAAGCTTGTGGGAGAAGGCTGCCAAAGCGAAACCGCAGGACTTAGAAGTTCAGTTGAGGTGGTTTTCGTATGCATTCGAGGGAGACGACTGGAAATCAGCACAGAAGGTCAGTGCTGTACTTGAACTGAATTACCCGCATTCCTACGATTGAGTTTCTTTCGCGCCTAACTGTTCTTCAGGCGGCTATGAGCCTTCAGAGCAACTTCCCCAAGACGCGTAAATACTATTTCTGGGCTATTTTCCTCAGTTACCTTGTTGCCGTGGACAAGAACAGCTCGGAGGCCGAACGGAAGCTCTTTGGGACACTGGCTTATCGTATGGCCTCCAAAGCTGCAGATAGCGTCCCTGCTGATCCAGTATGTTCAACCTTCCCCTTTTCTCTCCGTGTTCGGGGACTCCCACGCTATGTATCTTCGCGGCTTGATGAAATGATTCTTATACCCATCACAACAGAAAGAGTTGCTGAGCACTCCCAGAGCCATACAAAACGCCGAGGAGCTTTTACTACTCATCAAGATCTGCGAATCTCAGGGGCGTCACTCGGAGGTTGTGAAGCTCCTTGCTAGCCATAACGTGGGCCTGAGCTCACGGATTGTCCAAAACGATTGGCCTTTCGTTGGAGAAAAGCTCTCTGGCTTGGAGAAGGCCGAGATGTGGGCTGAGGGTCTCTCCTACGCGAGGGACCTTCTGGCGATTCCGACTAATGAATCAGAGGAGAAGACTCTACAAGAGCGCGACGACTGGGCTGTCTGGAGCTTACTTGTTCATTCAGTTCAGAATATCAAGAACACAGAGTAAGTCGACTTTGGAGAAGAGACCCCTGATAGGCTAATAACGGTCATAGAACTACTGCCGAGATCAGGAAGTTCATCGATGAGTTCATCAAGGCTGTTCCTAGATCACGAAACGCACAATTGGCCCGCCTTGACTTGATTCACTGGAGCTTCAAGTCCGGCAGCCTAAAGAGCGATGAATTGATCACCGCGTGCCAGGAATACTTTGATCGAAATAAAACCAAACTGTATTGCTTCGTAGACCTTCGGAAATACCTGTCCGATTTGGATAAGGGATCTCTAACGGAGTTCATTCAATATGCGTCTCGGACCAATGGGATTCAAGGCGATGTATGTCCAGTTATGATTGCGATCTACGTCCTTGTTCACTAACTCTCTAGATGAAGGAGAACGATCCGTTTAAGGACGTCCCGGCGATCAATGCTCTGAAACTCGAGTACTGCTTCCTGCTTTCGGCCGACGAGGCCAATGCCACACAGCCAAAAGTCGAAGATTTTGTTTCGCGTTGCCTCCAGATCTTCCGCGGTGCAAAGCGTCCTGAGCGTACCGCAGCCGGCTCGACCATCGAGAGTCAGCCAAGTGACGACCTTTGCTTGCTCGCCGCTATGAGTCTCATTCGGTTCAGTGGAGGCTGGATCAATGGTAAGCCGGACCAAATCCCGGACACCAGTCTGATTCGCGCAGCGGGTATTCTGGAGCGTCTCTTGCTTGACTCTCCTCATAACTACAACGCGCTGCTGCTGCTTGTTCGGATATATCTTCGCTTGGGCGCAGGATCCCTGGCTCTTAGGACGTTCAGCAAACTATCTGTCAAACAGCTGCAGTATGAAACAGTGGCCCACAATCTCTTTACACGGCTAGCAACTATCCACCCCCATTCAGCACCGCCAGTTGAAGGTGCAGAGTACAAGGACTTCCACCCGCAATCCGCATTTGTACAAGCCCTCAACTTTTACCGGACTGCGGATGTCACGACAGTTAGGAACAGGACGAATGGGTTGGAATACGGCAGTTATGTGAATGTGGAAGGAACCATTGACCTTCAGAGACGGCTCAAGCACAGTATCTGCCGTAAAATGTGGGCATTAGATGTGAAGCGGATACAGCGGTTAGCTGGAGGAGACAATATGGGCCGGTACAGTGATTTGGGTGAGAATTTTTCATCTCCAGCGGAATATACCAAGCCAAATGCTAACCTGAGCGGCCATTTCAGCAAGAGAGACATCTCCCACGGTAGATCAACGCGTTTTTGATGCGTTTATGAACTGTGAAGCACCGGGCCAGGCTACCTTTGAGGAGCGAGTGCGTTTGGGACCTCTGCCTAAGGTGAGTCTTCTTGTCTCTGGATAGAACGTGACTAATGCTGTTTAGGAACGTTGGGTGAAATCGGCTCAATTGACAGATCAACTGTTCGACCTCTTGAAGAACCTTGCTGCTCAAAAACCGGTGTCTTCAGATTTTGATGTGCCTAGCCTGGATGATCTCCTGGGCTCAGACGCCGAGTCCGAGATGACCGCTTCTGAAATAGAGAGCGTCAAGCTACATCTGAACCTCCTCAAAGTGGCAAAGCTTCTCAGCGGATCAAAATCGGTCAGTTCAGAAGAGGTTGACGCCTGCCTATCGCAGGTGGAGCAGTGGCTCGAGCTCACATCAAAGGACTTCGCCTTGGACGGCGCGAAACTCTCCCCTGTTGTGTCGAGAACTGCAGTGTTCTTGAAACCGGAAACTCCCTCGGCTCCATCATGGAAATATTTACATGACGCTTTCCTCGTACTCGAGTGCCTCAAGGCATTGTCCTTTATATATACTATCGCATCAAAGAAGGGTTCTAAGACAGCAAAGCTTCCCAAGGACCGTGTCGAAAAATTGGCCGGCTTGATTGGGGAAGCGTATGAAAGCGCGAGAGCAAATATTCGTGCTCTCAAGTCGCGAATCTCCGAGCCAGGCATGCTTGGCTCCCTGGTCGACCTCGTTCTGGCTGGTGGTCAGCAACTTCGGACCGAGCTCGAGAAGACGCTTGACATGCCAGCACTGGAACTTGTCTGTGGTGAGCTAATGGAAAGCTGGGAGGGAAGCCTGGATGGAGCGCTCTCTGTGAAGCTGTGATTGGGTCACGGTGATCTAGAGACGAACTCCAACTGAATTTTGGATATATGTGTATATACCGATTCTATACAGATAAAAATGCCTGGCTTCATAGAATTCGAAGGGACTAACCACCCTGCCATGGATGGTGAATCACAAACACGTGTGGTAGCCTTCAACGGCGAGCAGTGATACATTGCCTCTTCAGTTCAACGGTCTCTTCGTGACTGCTAGCACGTGCATCAAACAGTCAAACTACCACCACTGTGTCACGGATATAGCCTTCCACCGTCCTACGCTCCAGTCCATACGTTCTCATCGAGCAGCGACCTTACTTGTGCTAGTATACATAGGTCTTTATAATCACACACTGAGCGAGATAACCCAGACTCATTCAAAAACTGCATTCTCGAATCTCACCAACATGTCCGTCTGCACCAGGATGCTAATCCCTTACATTCCTGCATCCTCATGGCCAGAAGTGTGATACGCGAGTCATCTCTCCTCCATCAGTTCCGAATCCACTCAGAATACGGGCCAGTAACACAACGACCACCTCGAGGGTTACACAGCCGGCCCAGCTCCATTCCTGAATCCTTGTCCTTCCATCAAATATGAGCCTTGGGCAAGGGTAATGGGGTTGTTTGTCAGTCTCCACGCGCAGATCAAGGCTTGTATATCGATCCGTTCTATTTCTGTGTCGCAGGGTTTCTAATTCGGTTGTACCAGGCATTCTTCGTCATGTGTGATGGCGAAGCAGTAAGCTTATGGACCGTAGTGTATGCAGGTAATCGCACCGCAAGTGTGATTTTGATCGTCCTCTTGGCTGCCATGGGCGCATGCTGGATGCTACATCACCAGCTGCTGGTGTTCAGTGCCGCTGCGACGGATGATTGCTGCTGCGGATTACAACCCTCTGGTGCTTGTTCTCTTTCTGGATCTCGACTTGCACTTGCAGAGCGAAAAATGGACCCGATGGAAGCTACACCTACACTGTAGAGTTGCTGATGCCCTTGTGTTGATCTCGCATATAGTTTATCGGAGTCCTTGACACTGGGATTGCTCCTACAAAGAAGCCTATCTAACAGGGCATGATGACTGTTCCTGAGGGCATGCAATCCTCTGCAAGCGAAGTCCATACATATGACTACCGAGATTCGGTGCGCTACTGGAACATCGTCACGCAGGCGACATGCCTCGCTATAAGTACAGTTCTTGTCTGGATGCGGATGTACTCGAAATTACTTATCACTAAAGCACCAGGATGGGAAGACTGTACGTGAAATCCCCGCATGAGGATCATTATTCAAGTTATCAAGCGCTGAGACAGTGGCCCCATAGTTTGCTGCGTTCTCGCCTGGGTATGGCTCACTTTTATGATTTGGATAATGAGTTGCTCATAAACACCAGCTTGGACTGTTAGCATACGTCGTGATCACATTTGAGGCTGACAAATATGGTAATGGCATTCATATATGGGAAGTGGATGAATCTGATCTGCGGAGATATAGCAAGGTGAGTGAGCGCCTTGCACGCGGGTTTAGTGTGTTCGCTGATGAGGTTCAGTGGGCAAATACCTCGCAGATAGTCTATGGCCCTCTGATCTTCATCACCAAACTATCAATCCTTCTGCTTTACTTACGCGTATTTGCTCCCTCCTTCAGAAGCAAGACCTTCTTCTGCATCCACGCGCTCATATGGCTCAACTTGGGGTTCTACTTTGCAGACACGATCGTGAAGATCTTCGAATGCTCGCCTCGAGCGAAGATCTGGGATAAGACCCTCAAAGGGCACTGCATCAATATCAATATCCCCATCATTGTGACTTCCTCAATCAATGTTGCGTCAGACTTCCTGATACTGGTTCTGCCTATTGTGAGTGTGTGGCGCTTGCAAATGAGAAACTCCAAGAAATGGGGCACATCCACGATCTTCGCTGCTGGCATCTTGTGAGAATCACCCTTTGTTATTCGGTGCTATGATATATTCTCGGACTGACCAAGATAATTGCACATAGCGCTTGTATGTGCAGTATCATGCGCCTTGTGGTCAGTGTGCAGAACAAAACCGTCAAGGACAAGACCTACGACTGGTTCCCCGAGTTCTTATGGACGTAAGGCGATTTCCTCAGACGCCGGTCATTATGTCTCTCATTTACGATCAAATTGCTGACTGTGCTGTCTTTGTTCTCCAATGAAGGTCTGCCGAGGTCACCTCCGGGATCATAGCCAGCTGTATGCCGGCTTTACCAACCTTCTTCAGACACTTCTTCAAGCGAGCATGTGCCCTAATCTCGAGTGCAAGCACCATCTATTCATCCCGCTCGGCGAAGAAAGCGATGGAAGTAATCAGTTGGCCCACCAGCTGGTCCGTACGTCAAAAGAAAAAATCGAGCGGCGGCCTTAGCATGACCGAGCTCTGCCGGAGCACCAACTGCGAGCTGGATGATATTGAGCAACAGCCTGAGGAGCACACAGGACGTATCTTCTCAGGGGCCAGTTACACGACTGCCAGTGCCCAGGTGGGTATACTTGAACCTCAAAACGTGGCGTCGGACAGTTATAAATTCGAAAGTGGAGGCGCTGGACATGGGTTAGACTATCGTTCGGGGATTTTAAAGACAGTGGAGGTGGATGTTGCGTCTCAGCGAGGATGAGGCATCTTATATATTCCCGCAATATTCTTTCACTTTTAAGGATATGAGTGCGTCAACTTTCAGTAGGAGTCGAATAATAAGGTACATCATGCGTACACAGGGCAGATGAAGAAGCTTACCTTCCCGAAAAGGTAAAGCACAGGCTCTTATCCTGGTACGGCAAGTCCCCATGCGGGCAAGGGCGCTGTACGGATGTAGGTCAGCCACCCTAGCCCTAAGCCCTAATCGCTCGCCTACGCACCAACGCGGGCGACCAACCAAAACTTTGCAAACTCCATCGCGATTCTATCCGCACCGACGACCGTCGACTCGCCAACTTCCTTCCAGCAACCACCGTCGTCGCCAAACCCCAGTCACAACCGTCGAGATGGCGCAGGAACGTTCCGGAATCGTGGTCGGTCTGAACAAGGGCCACGTACGTTGAATCCCTCTCCCGTTTCCCTAAGAAAAAGAATGTTTCCGGTCGGTATTTGTCCAGTCGATCTCGAGAAATTTGGATTGAGGATACGGAACATAATATGGAGGGGATATATTGTCGGATTGTGAAAAGGACAGAATTCCTTCTTGAGAGGCAGGAAATGGAACAACAACGGACGTACCAATCGAAATTATTGGGCCCGACTTGAACAAAACCGATCGGAAGCATTCTACTTTGGTTTATAAGGAATAAGGAACAATCAGTGAAGCTGACTTGGGTTCCCATGATAGAAAACCACCCTCTCAACACCCCCAAGACCCGGGTCAGCCGCACCAAGGGCCAGTCTTCCCGCCGCACTGCCTTCGTCCGTGACATCGCCCGCGAGGTTGTCGGTCTTGCCCCCTATGAGCGTCGTATCATCGAACTTCTGAGAAACACTCAGGACAAGAGAGCTCGTAAGCTCGCCAAGAAGAGGGTATGTCATGAGTTCTGGATATTGGTCTTCACGGGTGTTCCTTTGCTCGCTTCCCTGGGAATTGCATGACTGCGGTCTTCTGCGCTTCGGAGTACAATTTGATGAAGCATACGGCAGTTGTCATTTGGACACTACGCCCTCAACGATTCTGTCACTTCAATTACGGAGACTGCCATCACCGACTTGTGGAGCGAGCTGGGGGAACACTTGTTGAGAACTTCCGCAATCGTTCATGAACAATGCTAACAAATCATGTGCTATAGCTCGGTACCTTCTCCCGTGGCAAGAGAAAGGTTGAGGACATGCAGAGAGTCATCGCCGAGTCCAGACGTGTGGCTGGTCACTAAATTCGTTTTTCCTTCCTCTGAAAATGTGTTTATTATCGCCAGAGAACGAGATAACGAAATTTAAGTGAGATCGTTTCGGTTGCTGAGTTGGCGCATGGAACCAGGAATTGTTGTCCGTAACATTCAATCCGTCAAAAAGTCCAATGGAAGGGACAAGAATCATGATGCAATAGGCATGGACTAAATACCAAAATGGATCTCTTGAATCTAATGCAACTGGGAGTTTTTCGGGCTGGTCTTACGGCCTCGGTGACTTTGAACCTAACACTACTTTTATTCTATCGGAATGCTTTCTCTCTGATCGATCCACCTGTCACGCGGATATAATTCTTTGCCAACGCTCTTCTGTTTCTCATCGCTGGCAGCAAATGCATTGCGGAGATTCCGTAATGTCGTCAACGTCTACCGTCATCTTTATGCACTCGACTTCCATGGCATCAAGTCGACGGCGAAAGCCGAGCATATTGCGAGCATGCCCGTAAATAGATCGTAGTCATTGGTCATTCTAAAATACACAATGTGATTTCACGCTAATACCGAAATGTCATTGCAGATTCTCATTTCTTTCCAGGCAGTTTCAACCACTTGGGTATCCCGCCAGGTTTGCGTCCTCCAGACTTCTCTCCATCGCGGTCGCCGAGTCCGCCTACCTTCGCAGGCAGAGTATCCTGCGAAGTATCCATCAACTCTGGCGGCTGCTCGACCTTGAGCTCCTGAGCTTGGTTCCGGAGCTCAGGCTTCAGAAGACTTGCTCTGGTTGATCGAGCGGCGGGAGACGCACTTGCGTCCCAAGAGAAGGTGACGAGGACTCGACCGATCATGCCAAGATCCTTGATCAAGAACGTCTGGTCTGCATCAGGAATGATGCTTTGAACCTTCTTCGCACCTAAACCTGGGGGCCCAGCAGGGAAGGACGTGAGTATGAATTTCTCGCTGGCAAATTGCTCCGCCAAACAACTTCTTACGAAGCCGTAGAGCGTTGCGCCGGTATCTTGTTGCCCGAACTTTGAGACAATCTGGCTCTGGTCCGGAAGGCGGACCTTGACGTCGACTTCTCTGACCGCTGCACGCTTCTTTTCCTCCTCTGCTGCTTTGGCCGCGATTTCTGCATCCGTGGGAAGACGGACGGGCCGGGAAGCGGCATTGAGACGGCGCTGGTGCGCTTGTGCTTGGTCCACTGATGGAATGTAGTCGTCTTCATTATACGTCATCTGCGCGGCCTGCGGTGTGGTGTTGGACGGTGCTGAGAAGACTGTGACTGGTCGCGAAGAGGGCTGGATCACAGCAGATGGCTCGGTAGAGGTGATGGAGGGATGAGAAACAGGTTCCGGTACTTGTGCTGATGGCGCAGGTGCCGCCGCCGCCGCCGCTGCTGCTGCATCCAGGGGCTCAGCATGTTCTGCACTGGGCACTTGTTGTAGAGGTTGGCTTTCGGCAACAGTCTTAGGTTGTGCTGGCGCAGCGGCCGCCTCTTGTGGTTCCAGGGCAGCATCCTCAAACGCTTTGAAGTAATCTTGGATCTTAATCATAGCCACCTCAAGAGGTTCCTCTGTCCGCCGGAAACTTAATCTGACCAGGACATTCCCACTATTGAAACCAAGCTGTGCTAGCGACTTCTGGAGATCTTCAAATGTCGACAGTTCTCGTCCCATGATCTGAACTACCGGAGTCTCGTAAAATAAGCGTCCTGATCCCTCGTTGCCGGCACTGGCCACTGGGACGCCTCGTCCGGTGAAATTTCGAGTCGGTCCGCCACCTGCAACACCCGCCTCAAACTTGCGCAGCACTAGCCATAACGTTGTCGTGCTGGGGAACTTGTCTAGAAGCCGTCCGTTGGGGACACCTCGAGCTTCTGCCTCGGGCAGCTGTAAAGCGACCGTGACGATGGAAGGCGATCGGGAGAGCTGTACTAATTCAAGTTTCGCACCGGAAGCTAGCCCGGAGAGACGGAAGACTAAAGAGAGATCGAGCTGTTTGCCCTTGTACCTTCCCAAGTGTTAAGAGTCCGCTTCATTGCTTCATCAAGAGCTCCGGTCACTTACTTGAGGCCGTACTGGCTCGCATTCAAGCCGAGCTTAGCGCATGCTTCTTGTAGTATATCCGTCAAATGTTTCCCGGGTGTTGTCTTGATTGTGGCTCTTCGAGCAGTCGAGTCTAGAACGACGACATGTGAGCTCATGGTTTGGAGGCGATCGCTTGCTTGAATGATATTATTATTGCGGGGCAACTAGGTGAGGAAGATGGCAGTTGGGGACTTTAGGATGAGATGGAAAGAGAAGTTGACAAAACTAGAAGTTCTATATCCGAATAGGAAGAGGTTTGTGGAGGAATAAAATAGAAGTCCAAAGAAAGAGGAGGGCATAAGACATCAATATTCATCTACCTACGGAGTACTTTCGACGGTTCTCGTAGGCAGCGGGCGCAGCGTCATCCGCAACGAAGCTCTCGGCGGCTCTCACGCGTTGCACCAAGCAGCAGAGCTTCCCCGTCATTTATCATCTTTCTCCATCATCGGCGTCACCTTCATCCTCACCTTGAAATCATTCTCCTCTTTCCCCCACTCCTTTGTTTCCTTCAATTTAATTCTCTCAGATCTCATTCAGCTTGCAATTTGTCGACATACCTAATTCAACATGGTAAGTTGAGCTTCCCCTTCATAACCTGACCGACTTGAGCTAATCGAACCCAACCTACAGAGCTCTCCCTTCGATATCAGTACGCACTTTTTCCTGATCTTTATCACGATCCCGCATACACGAGACTGACTGTGTCTTTCTTTTTTAGATGGCGGAGCTTGTGTCGCCATGGTGGGCAAGGACTGCGTAGCAATTGCCTGCGACCTCCGACTGGGCATGCAGGCTTTGACCGTCTCCAACAACTTCCCCAAGATCTTCAACTACGGCCCCTCGACTTACCTCGGTTTGACTGGCCTGGCCACGGACGTCAACACTGTCTCAGACCTCTTTCGCTACAAGGTGAACATGTACCGACTCCGCGAAGAACGGAACATTGCGCCGCAGACTCTGGCCAACCTGGTCAGTTCATCGCTGTATGAGAGACGGTTCGGACCTTTCTTCGTGAGCCCAGTCATTGCTGGCGTGAACAGCACGACGGGTAAGCCTTTTATTTGTGGGTTCGACAGTATCGGATGCATCGATTTCGCCAAGGATTTCATTGTCAGCGGTACGGCGAGCGACCAACTTTTCGGTACCTGTGAGGGTCTGTGGGAGCCAGATCTGGTATGTTTCTTGGTTCAGTTTATATTGCGAGACGCCTCCGCTAACGTTTGATCTCACCTTCCTCAGTCCCCTGAAGATCTGTTCGAGACCATTTCTCAAGCCCTCCTCAGTGCAGTTGACAGAGATGCTCTTTCCGGTTGGGGTGCTCAAGTATACATCATAGAGAAAGACAAGGTGACGAAGCGGCTACTCAAGGGAAGACAAGATTAGATGTTCTGTGTTTGGCACGCATTCCGTTTATTTTTGTTTAATGCCATCTCTCAATCATATCCTGGTCGAAACCTACCCACTGGTTGGAAGCAGTCGCTGTTGTCTCATATCCGCCTTAAATCCTACATACCGTCGGTTGATGGAGGAAGCAAGAGTACAGCGATGTCTGTCCATGTACCTCTAGCTCTGGAGCCTCGGCCCTGATACGGACCTGAATTAGCAAGGGCAGACAGCTACTTTACGGCCTTGATGTCATTTCTTCATGAACCCGATTATAGATTTCCACTCTTAGTAGCCATTCTTCCCGGTTACGGCGCCATACGCCTGGCCACCCTTCCCCAGGAAGCTTCTCACATCAGCAGCGAGCAGCTCCGGTACTTCCCACGCGGCAAAATGACCACCGCATTCAACTTCACTTTCCCGCACCACCGAGCCCATGCTCCGACACCACAAAAGGGGTAACTTGATCAACTCTCGTTTGAAATGAGCCACGGCCAACTTGACATCCCCAGGGATGGTCCCAGAGATTGCATCAACGGTGGACACCCTCTTCAACGTCGACGCTGGCGCATCAGCAGGCGGCGTCTGCGCAGCCTCGTAGTAGATCCGAACCGAAGCCGCGGGACCCGCGACCGAGAACTGGTAGACGCTCACCCACGTGAGAATCTCATCGTCCGTCCAGGGATAGTCGTCCGCCCAGGCGTGTAACTTGTCGTAGATCCAAGCCAGTAGGGCGACGGGACTATCATGTAGCCCGTACCCCAGCGTCTGGGGTCGAGTTTCCTGCTGGCGCATGTAAGCATTTCCCCGGTTCAGATAGTCGAGGGTGGTTGAGATTAGAGCTCTGCTCTTGGATGAGAAGGGAAGAGTCAGGATTGATTGCAGAAAGATCCATGGGTGGCGCCATGGGTAGGGAGGAGCCACGGGGGCGAAGTTGAGATGCACGGCTTTGACGTGCTGGGGGTAGAGCGTTGCCATGACGCGGGCGATGATGCTACCCCAGTCTCCTCCTTGGATGACTTTTGACTTGTCAATGGGTGGTCTTGATATTGATACTGAATGGGATGGAGTATCGTCATGGAAGCGTACCGTATTCCTCATAACCTAGATTGAGCATGAGAGAATGCATCGCTTGGGCATATTGCGCCAGACCGAAGCCTCTCTACATGGACAGGGGCCGGTCAGCTAGAGCAGTACAGCAGGTACTGATGGCACAACTTGGACAGACCTGTTTTACACCCTGCGAGAAGCCAAAGTTCGGTAGCGAAGGCACCACCAGATCGAAAGCCGGCTGATTCTCGTCGCCTTTCGTCAAGAGAGGAATCAGCTTGACAGCCTCGAGAAAGCTTCCTGGCCCTAGGTATTGTGTACCAGTCAACAAGACCGTCATATACAAAAGCCAACCGCGCATATGGTACATTACAGCCATGTAGGAAGAGTAGCGGGATGGCACCCGGCGTAGGACTCTTCTGGTGCACGCAATGAATATCCAGTTGCGCAAAGCCCGGAACAGAGACAGAGACAATGAACTGGCGCAGTTTTTCGTTCAACTCCTTCTCCTTTGCGCGCCAGTCGAAGCCATCGCGCCAATATGCGGTTAGTCGTTTGATCTCGTCCAGCGGGACTCCCAAGTCCCAGCCTGCTGCATCTACTTCATCGGGGAAGGTAGCAGTTTGAAGCTTTTGGTTTAAGAGATCCAGTTGGGAGTCGGGGACATTGATGATGAATGGCCTGATTGTATTCATCTTGATACTTGTCTTGGTTTAAGTGACAGCTGTATTGGTCGAGGCACTGTAGGTACTCCGTACCATGATGTGCATATAATGATATAACCCAGCTGTCATGCCGACGGATCTACATATGACACCGATCGATACCTCGGTTCGTAGAAATGGCTTGTACCTCGAGGATTCCGAGTTTGATTTATCTACTGGGTAAGGAGAACAGAACAGGCGCATGGCCTGGGAATAGCAATATCATGCTAAGGACCCTTATTGTGCCTGCAATGAAGCCATCCATAGCAGTTCAGAGTACATCCGAAGTTGGGACAGAAAGACATGCTTGAACCATGGAACTAGACTGTTTTCAATAAATGAACCCATGATTATTTTGATCAAATTGCGCCAGTCCTTGGTAAGATTTATGGGATTGCCTCATTATCTCAATTGAGTGATTGCCAGCAGGTTATAGTAGGTCGCTAACAAAAAGGTCAACCCTCTGTATCGTCTATGTCATACAAGTCCGGATTAAATTCAATCCTTCTACTCCGTAGTGGAGGAAGCATTGTTCCTGGGATACCCCTCTCGATCGAAAAAGGCAATTTTTGAACATTCCCAAATTCTCTGGTATTATCGTTGTTGTCGTCATCATCACTATGCTGTCAGATTTGCCACCATTGTCCACTCTGTCGTTTGTTCTAGATCTCAGCCACCCAGGTTTACAGGCGGTAAAAGTAAGGCAAGGGGAGGAGGGGTCCGGTGTCTGTGTACAACCAGCAATTAATCCAGGCACCTCTGGTACAGAACCACAATTAATGTGGTCCACTCTGTTCCTGATCCAAACCGTGCTTATTATCGTTATTACCTCTTCTCTCTCTACTTTCAAGCTGAAATACAATGAAAATATTTCTGGTGAACCAGAGACAAAGCATTGGCGGCTGGCGAGGCAAGAGGATAATAACTCATAACAATACTCCGTAATAATCATCCCCATAGATAGATCGGCATGCTGTGGCCTACGGTTTGCAGCGTTTCAGCCTTCCCGTGTGTCTAGACCAGCCGATTGAGAGAAGAAATGGATCTGTCCAGTTTGTGAGAAAGCAGACTGGTTCGTCCTGCTGTCTTTTTACAGATGGAAATCGGAGATCATGGAAGTAGGAGAAGTCTCTTCTGGTCATTCATCCCTCTTGTAGACATAGTGCTACCTATCAAGTGTTCTCGCCTATTCCCCGCGTCATTTTCTCTCTGCTTTGTCTCCGAGTCTACCTCTCCTCCATTAACATCATCTTTAACAATTTATCATAACAACGCAGTCCTCGTTCTCTCACCATGTGCTCGCCCTCTTAATCTTTCGGCCTCCGCTTAGTTCCCTTAAATGGACTGCTAACACGATCTATGTGGTTACTTTGTCCCGATAGAGAGCCATGCTTTGTTTTTCGATCAACGATACTCCGTCTTGTGAATCTCTGATCTCTCGCAAGTCTGCAGCAGTCTCCTGGCGCCCACCTATACCTTAACGGCGGAAGAGCAAACACCATTGGTAGAGGGAGATCAGAACCATTACCAATCGGCAGCGAAAACTCACCGTCCGAAAATTATGCCCGACTCAGTCGAGTCAGAATGGTCGGATTCAATCCTCTCCTGCAGAACCATGACATTCCTCCCCTGCAAATCCCAGTGTCTCCCCAGTGATACGACTGCCACTACGTTCCGAGACGATGACCCCGGGTTCGACTCCTCGCCTACTCGCAGATACGCCGGCAGTGCCCAAAACATCGCCATTGAGCGTTTGGTAAAATTGAAGCAGGAACTCAGAGCGCTTGACTCGGAATCATTCTGGGACCGGCTCATGGAGAGCGTCACCTCGATCTGCAGTGCGCAGTATGGCTTCGTAGCTCGCAAGGTCCAAGACCATGAGCTCGTGAGTGAGATGGGGGATCACAAGCCGAGTCTGCTTGGCACTGCGTTCTATTACAATGACGGGTATGAGACAGTTGGGATGCACAGACACATATATTTTGCTGGGGGCAATCCCTTGTCACATATGGACCACGAGAAACCATGTTTGATACCAAACAACCTTGAATCCCTTACTTCTTCCTGTCCGGACAAACTTCCATTTCCCGCGGATGGATACTTGGCTGTGCCGCTCTTCTTTCAAACGAAGTGTATCGCCCATCTCGGTCTCATGTGGTCCAAGTCTGGCCTACAGAAGCGAAGTCTACCGTGGTCATTCCTAGAGATGATCCTGTATTCGCTGGAAGATTTGGTTGTCCAACGGATTCATAACGATGCCGAGTGTCCGAATCACAATGAACAACCGAAGACAGAAGCTGCGGGCACCCCCGGAAATGTAAGAACCGTCGACAGTATGAACTCCAGCATTGCCGGTTGCTACGCCGAGTTCACGACTCAGCCCCTCAAGCCGTATGCTCGAAGCCTGTCCCATGAATTACGAACGCCGATGCAAGGAGTTGTGGGAATGCTGGACGTCATGCATGCCACCGTACGAGAGGCCATGCAGGGGAAAGCTTCTGCAAAAAATGGATATGTCTTTCAATCTCTCAAGGAAAGCATCGAGATGGTGCAAGGTTAGTTGCGAGGAAACATCCTTCCGGAGCAAGCCGCTAATGCAACCCAATTACAGACAGTGCAAGACGGGCGGTTGAGGCTGCAGATAACGTCGTCCATGCCTACGATCTCAACATGCAAGTTCCCAAAACACCCCAGCGGGAGCGGGAGAGCGATCCGTTTAGTGGCCCGGTCCAGTCACCGATTGAAAGTCTGCCAAACGTCTTCACCGAAGGCAGCAACCCATACAAGCGGCGACGGAGCAATCCCGCTGACTGGAGCGAAGCATCGACGCCAAAGACTAAGGCGCCCCGACGCTCGGCCAAGAAAGAGCTGTCTCCGCGAAGTGAGGACGTCAAGAATGCCGTCTACGAGAGCGAGCAAATCGTTCACGCAAATTCCTCACATCACATCGATGAGGTCATGGCAGACATGTTGGAGACGCGTCCCCGTTAGCTGTGAGGAGATCGGCACCCCATCTTCTGCTGGAAGGCATCAATCTTAATATGAGAAGCCCCTCTCTGAGAGTCACCAAGCTTCGTGGCCTGCTTCGACTGGTGATAAACGAATCGCTCCATGTCGGCGGCCGACCTGATTTTACTCTGAGCGAGGCTACAGACCTAGGAGAGAGGATTGAGGTTCGGTCACGATCTTCCAACGGGGAGGTTTTCTCCAAAACTATCGTGTGGAGCGTCGATGAAGCGCTACCGGAAACTTTGCTTGTGGATGATAAAGACCTGGCAAAGTTGATTTCGTGCGTCTTTCTAAACGCAGTGAAGTTTACAAATAGTGGTACGATTACAGTCAGCGCAAAGGTTGGTCCTAATGTCGGTAAAGTCTTCATCACCGTGCGAGATACTGGACCAGGTATACCAGAGGCATTTTTGCCCAAGCTCTTTACACCTTTCGCAAGAGAAGATGCGTCAATCACTCGGAGCAAGGACGGCCTTGGTCTCGGACTTCTGGTCGCTAAGGGTCTTGCTAGGAAGATGGGTGGTGACCTGATCTGTGTTCGCTCATCTACCTCTGGGCCCGATCATGGCTCGGAATTCGAAATCAGCATTCCCGTCACTCAACCCAAGTCAAGCAACAAGCCGGTAGCTTGCATGGCAAGTAGTTTGACGCCTCCGGACGGCAGCGATTCTTCGCGATTGAGTACGACGAGTAATTCGAGCAATTCCAGCGTCGAGCAGTCCATGCTATCACCCTCGATTCGCCAGCCGAGCCAGCCGATCCAACAGCCGTCCCCAAGCTTAACCGAAGAATCTTCTTCTCAGACATCGACCCCCGTTCGCTCCGTATCCACCGCGAAATTTATCCGCCCTTCAATCAACGGGGATGCGTATGACGAGAAGCTCGGACAGAAGCACCCGCTCACCTTCCTGGTAGCCGAAGACAATATGATAAATCGACGGGTTCTGGTGAACATGCTCAAACGGCTTGGGTACCAGGATATCTACGAAGCCTGCAACGGAAAGGAAGCCGTGCGTGTAATGCAGGATGTTTTGGCATATCAGAAATTTAAAACCTCGAGTCGGCCCTCCGACAGTGATCAGTTAGAAGATTGCGGATGTAAGCGCACGAAACCAGTCGACGTCGTCTTGATGGATCTCTGGATGCCGGAAATGGACGGTTATGAGGCAACGTCGAAGATCCTCAGACTGGTAGATGAATACCAGCGCCGGGCCCTTCAGGAACAACCGAAATCTCAAGCCAATAACTTACTGCTGCCGCTCCCCACGGTACTTGCCGTCAGTGCAGATGTAACCGATGAGGCTCTCGGACGTGCCTCCAAAGTCGGCATCAAAGGCTACATGACCAAGCCTTATACGCTGTCAGATCTGGAAAGATTGATCGTTGAGTTCTGCGGCGAGGCGACAAGTCCCAATCTTGACCGGATGAACATATGATGACAGCTGACATGATTCGCTTTGCTACTCCCGGCGCCTTATCACCTCTGCCTTTTGCATTTTATTGTTTGGATGTCTATTTAATGTTTCTATACCCAGTTCCGTGTAAGATGAAACTCAGGCACGGACACGTTTGCTTAAATTTATGATGGACGATACATCTTTTGTTAATACATCATTTACGGCCGATGACTGTGACAAGATCACAACATGAATCCATTTGATTCCAAAAATAGATGGGATTGGCCATCTGACAGGCACTTTGTTTCCGGTACGGACTACATGAAGAACGCAGAGAAGGGCACTGGTTTGTAAACCAAGTCATTACATCCATATCAAGCTCAATCCACAACTATAACAACAGAACGCTGGAAATGCAACAGATAGAACCCAGGATAGTATGAGTGTCCCAGCCCGCAGTGTCATCACAGGTCATTTTCTTCTAGTCTTCTCAACCAGCCGAGATACCCCGACAAACAAGCGTAGACAGTCAACATTTATATGTCCGTCTTAGTAGCTGGGGGGTCCGCGGATATATCAAGTAGAGATACTACAGATCGAGAGAAAAAGAACGCTACTTCCCATGCAACAGATGTCCGCCGACTAGTCTCCCTCTCCTGCGCCCAACTTCACCCCCTTACGTCAGCTTCTGCTTGATGAAGAAGGACCGGAGATGCGACAGTTGCCAGGCACATGTAGCGGACAGCACGGCGAGTTGGATGAGTGTCCAGCGGACAACACGGGCGTTGGTAGCCTCGGATTGATCACGGAATTCAGCTTCACGCTCCTACAATCGAACGAACGTCAGCAAATCAGCAACCGCCATCTCCCGAAAATTCAAACAGTGTAAGACAGTCGGAAAGAACACCATACCCGTTGGAACACCTGCTCACGGCGAATGTCCTGTAACCGCCCATTGAGATCCTTGACCTTCTGCACAATATCCTTCATTTTGTCCTTGTCCTCGGTCTCGATCTTGCTCGTCTCGCCGATGGCAATATCGAGGTTCACCCTGACGGCGCCCGCGGGGGCACCGGACAGCCAGCCGCCCACGGCAGCGTTGGTGTCGGGTGTAAGGCAGATTCTGTGCTCGCCAGCGTCGGCGGCGGAGAAGGTGAAGCGGCCGGCGTGGCCGTCGCGCTTTGAGACGACGCGGTGGTCGTTGTCGAACGTCTCGTCGACGGTGATGAGCATCTTTAAGCTGGGATCGACCGAGTACGTGCTGGACTGCTGGTTGATGACTTCGGTTTTGAAGTTTCCTGCTCATTCAGATAGAATTCTTAATTAGCAAATCGATCCACAGTAAACAGAATCAATAGAAAGGCCATTACATACCAACAACCAGGGTGTCCTTGGGCAGGTCCTCAAAGAAGCATTTTGTTTGACGGCCGTCCATATAGAAGTAGAGGGCATTGGCGGGCACAGCAAGACAGAGGACAGCACATAGGGCCAGGGCTGACGAGAGCCACGAGGCCGATGATCTGGTCGGAGCCATATTGAAGATCCTAATTGAAGTCAGGACGACAATCGATGCTGGAAGAGAGACTGGCGTTGTCGGTGGTTGATGTTGAACTGAATGAAGATCTGGCACCAACGACGGGACGGTCTTGGCGCGATTCGACGGGCGGAATGGGAGGAGACCAGCCGTTTTCTGCGTGCCGGTTTCCTTCTTTCAGCCATCACGGTCGGCATCTCGTCATTAATTCCATCTTTGAATTTTTCTATTTTCTCTTATCTAGTACTCTGTCATTAGAGGTATTGGATCATTTTGCGAACTTCTAGATTGACTGAAACTTTTTCCGGCGATTTTAATCGCCATCATGGCCGCCGCCGATGTGCGCGACATGCTGGATTTGCCCGCAGAGGGCCAGCCTCGACCTCACAAGAAACAGAAGGTCGTCGAGAAGAGACCAGGTCGGTTTGCATTCATGATAAATTTTACTAGATGCAGACACTGATATCCAGGCCTCAGAGGGGATTACTCGCGAGCTCTACGCGCTTCTAGGCGAAAGGGCTCCTCCGATCGCCATCAATGAGAACAGATACAAGGGACGGCCGAAATGGATGAGCAAGCTCAGAGTGCGCCCATGGTATGTCTTGTCTCGCGGAAATTGGATGTTTTGACTGTGCTGATTGTTTTTTTCCTTACCAGGCAAATGACCCCCTTCACCAACAATGCTCGGTCGGATGGACTTGTTCTGCGTCACTGGCAAAGACAACCAGAATCCGCAAACGCACCGGCACTTGAAGGACCTTCGGAGATGGAGGTCGATGAGGCGAAAGTGGAAGGAGAGGCTGCAAAACCAGAACAGGAATATGCATTTGCAAAATACAATGTCAAACCTCGAGTACCGAGACGCTACACGGACGAGGAATACAACCGGCACCTGAAGAGCGATGACTGGTCGCGCCAGGAGACGGACTATTTGATGGATCTTGTCGAAGAGTACGACCTCCGCTGGGTAGTTATTGCCGATCGCTACGATTTCCAGCCTCAACCCATGGACGCCGAAGCCAATGCAACCGCGCTCGTCCCGGCTAAACGGTATCGAACAATGGAGCAGATGAAGGCGCGATACTATTTCATTGCTGCATCAATGCTCGCTCTGGAACATCCACCATCAGAAATGTCCGAGGCCGAATTCGATCTGCACGAGAAGATGATGAAGTTCGACCCAGACCGCGAGCGGGCTCGCAAAGAACTCGCTGCACTCCAACTAAACCGCACCGCAGACGAAGTACGCGAGGAAGGCATACTTTTGGAGGAACTCAAACGCATCACATCCAACGAGCAAAACTTCATGACCGAACGCAGGGAGCTCTACTCCAGACTCGAAGTGCCCATCAGTGTGGGCAATACTACCATGTACCAGTCTAGCCAGGGCTTATCCCAGCTCCTGCAAACCCTCCTCCAAGCCGACAAGAGCAAGAAGCGACGCTCCATTCTCGGACCTGAAGCCGCCGCTCCCAGCCCCGCGGGACAAACACCTACATCGAACGCCCCAACCAGCGCACGCGACAGCCGAGCAGATACCCCCAGCCACGCATCCGCCGCTCCATCCAGCAAGAAGGGATCAGTCGCCGCCGCTGCCGCTGCCGCCGCCGCCGCAGCCAAGGAGCCCCACAAACCGTCAAGACGCTCACCCCGGCCGAGGAAGCCCGGTACGGCGTACAGCACCACGACCGTCTCGCTCCGGGCGTGCAGTTCCGAAGCGACCGCGCACAGAAGCTCACCCAGGCCAAGTCCAACGTGCAGTCTCAGAAACTCGCCACGGCGCTGTCAGAGCTGGAGATCCCTCCGCGTCTGCTTATGCCTACGGAGCGCGTGTGCAAGGAATTCGAGAGGCTTATCCACTCGGTCAACCTGTTACTTGATGCGCGCAAAGTGTCCGAGAAGATCGAGGGTGAGATCCGTGTTCTGGAAGCAGCCAGAGAGGAAAGGGAGCGCAAGACGAAGGAGGTCAAGGACAAGGGGAAGCCGGAGGTCAAGTCCGAAGAGGTGGAAAATCCTGATTCTACAGCTGGAGACTCTGCTACGGCAGCTCCCGCGGCAGATGATCGTGCGGATAAGGGACGGCAAGGTGCCCAAGATGCGGATCAGAGTGCGGGGGACCGCGATGGTGTATCTCATAAACGCTCAGCCAGCGTACTGAGCAATGGGAGCGATAAGAGTACCAAGCGGCAAAAGAAGTAGCTGTCTCGGTGGGATATCTGGCGTCGGTGTTGGTGGTGCGTTCTAATATACCTCTGTACGACTACATGAATTGATATCGTCTTTCTGGCCCATTGGCAGTCTTCATATTTTCTATGTGCTAATAGGGATAACATTCTGAACTAAAAAAACGGCATGGTCCCGTGGATGTTATTCCTCCCCTTGAAAACCGAAAAAGGCATTCTTTGAAGTTATGTTCCATCAGACTCGCCCGTCGCATCCGCGCTCCATATCTAAATTAAGCATCCATTCATCCAGAGAACTTCACTCTGGGTCAGAATACAATTCGAGGCAGTCTTGGTACATGCTAGCCCAATCATCGAGGGTTGTTTCCGGGTCATCGCATTGGAGGCGTTCCTCATTGTCCGCATGGGAGTGCTGGACATTGGGTCGTTCGAGAGCATCTTGTGATATTATGCATCCTTCTTTGTCTTGGGAAGTACTGCGTGGATTCTCTTCCTTCACAGTATGCTGTGACGAAGACATTGACATACCATCGCTCGCAGTATCGCGGCATCTCTTACGACTAGGAGACCTCAATTTCATGGTTTGTGCTCCCGTCTTCCGACCAATGTCGTATTCACAGCTAGGATTGGTTGTTGTCATTGCATGCCTATGTCCTTTTTGCTTTGGATTCTGCTGTTCCATCCGTAGGCTTTGTGATGACTGTAGTTCTCTCGCAGATTCCATCGAACTGTCTCGGAGACTCTCATTGAAGGCTGGCGCACACTGCCCCAATGCATGACGCTCACTCACACAGTCGCTCGAGCAATTTCTAGGCTTCTGACTCCATAGAACTCTTCGGTTATCAGACATTTGAGCGTTGGCGTGATTCTTTCTTCGATCTGCGAACCTACGCCAGGTGCGAGAATTGACGACAGAGTCGCTGGCATTTGAAGGCCTGATGGGAGCAGTTGCGCCAGACCAGCGGGAAACTTTCAAACGATCAATAATATGCGCAATGTGGGGATTGGTCGGCGACTCCCGTCGTGTCGACGATGCTTTGCCGGACTTTTTCTCAGCAGTTTCGTCCCTGTCTCCATCTACCACAGTATATCCATAGCCAAGACGTCGCCCTCCGGACATCCATCCAATACTGACTTTGCGCGGCGACGTCACTCCATTGCTCATTGCGACGGATCCGAGGGAGGTTATGGACCGGTTCACATCAAACTGTTCGGTAAATCTGCTCTTCAAAGCATCTGTTTTGCCAAGAGAGCCACAATCCAACGAGGGAACATGTTTTTCCAAGAGTGATACGCTTCGAGATGAAGCATTAGGGGAAAGAGCAGCGAAAGCTGTCCTGCTACAGCTGATTTCTCTCTTGTTTTTATTCATATTTGTCTTCTCAAAATTCGCTGGAACGTCCGCGGACGCAGAGCTAGTCCTGGGAGAGTAGCATGAAGACGCTTGCCTCGCATCTTGCACTCCCAGCTTTAATACTCCTCCATCCCAGACCGGTGTCAGTATCCTAGCGGGACTACCAAAGCGACCGCCTTGGTATTGCGCGGCCCAAGTACCGGAGGTGCTGCCGTGTGGGTTCTCGTAGCTTGATTGACTGGGTGATAGGATCACAGGTGAAGTTGACGCAGACGCAAGCATCTTGGAGATGTCCAAATCCGCGAGGTGGATCGACTGGTCTTCGCAGGTCGATTCTTGATGTCGTTGTCTTCTTCTCGTGATAAGAAGTTCTGAAGAGCGCTCGGTTGACGGGCTGACCAGATTGAAAGTATGGAGTGGGGTATTAGAGCCACGACCAGGAGACCCTGGTTGTTCTTGGAGGGTAGGAGGGATGATGTCCTTGCCTACGAAGATGTTCACGGATGCTTCTGAAGCCGAAGCAATTGGGACAAGGCCGCAGTTCGTATTGTTCTCGCCGGAAGAAGCTCCATTGTTAAGGCTCGCGGAAGGACGAGGACTCCCTCTGGCTTTAGGACTTGGGACATTGGGTTCGTGGGATATGAAAAAGCCATGCATTGCCTGCGGACTCCAGCCTTCATGCTCTGGTGAGCTGAGTGACACTTCTGTGTGCTGATAAACCGGACACTTGTCGTCCTTTGCCAAGAGACTGTTCCCTTCGTTGCGGTAGGGTTGCGCAGGAAGTACACCCTTACGCCCAATACTGGCCGCAACCATGCGAATCGGAGTGGAAATGAATTGTGCATCACTGTCATAGCCTCTTTCGCTCATCAAGCCACTTCCGAACTCATGTGGTGTGACAACGGCGCCGTTGTACTTCGCAGACTTCGAAGAGATCGAGAACAAAGAGGTGCCGGATCTTCTGTCAGATCTTCGTGAAGCCACATTCAGTCTCCTTGATTCTCGAGAAAGCCTCCTTCGAAGCCTTTCGGAAAGCCCATCAGAGGAATGTCTTGGACTCTGGGGCACGATTGTATATTCATTCGCAGATGAAAGACCTGGTGATGTCAGAAAGGGCGTCCACCACAGATAAGGAGCAGGTAATTCTCAATCACCTCTTGGATGGTCGTCTAGGAAGAGTGGTGTCTCAGTCTCATTCAGTTGGTATGGTTGTTCAGCAATGGACGTTGAAGGGGATTTCCAAATCCTTCTAAACCGACGGCAGAGAAGGAGCTCCATTGAGCATCAGTGAAGTTCCCGTGCAGACAGGATGCGATGCTCGCAGACACATCGATCGCTGCGTAGTTTGTTGAAGCGAGGCATGTCCCGAAGTTGAACTGTAGATGCCTGGCTCAGCCCCGAGAATCTCATGAAGACCATCATGGATGCTCAAAACGGAAGCAGCGAACGCCTGCTGGTGGTGAGGGTCAAGAGAAGGAAGGAGGCGTAGGTGTTCTTGCTTTCTCTGGCTTTTGAACCCACAACATTGCGATTCTTTCTTCCGTTCTGGAAGAAGACATCTAGGGATGTTATTGGCTATTGTAGATATATATATCATTCGGCGATATAAATGGCTGCCTCTCGGGTCAATCTACATCGGAGGAGCAGTAATACGCCGAGAATATTACGCGTCGAAATGTCCTGCCACCAATAACTAAAGGTAATAGCCACTTGCTCATCTCATGCGTAGTCTAGAGTCTGAACATCCCCCGAGAATTCGTAGACTAGGAGTTTTCAAAAAGCGGTCTAGGTACACTCGCAAATGTCATCGGCTCTGTCCATTCGGATTGACGAGTCGGATGTAGATCAGCTTCGTCCTTATCATTTGGTCCGTAAATTCGAGTCTACCAAGGACATCTAGGCTTGAGTCTGAAGCAATTGTCTTGATTGTTTCCATCCAAAGGGTCCAGTCTGACAACCGCATCACTCTACTGATATAATGATCAATGGACCAGTAACGTAACTGTGCTATATCACCACTCTTGCAAGTACTCCATTTTCGTAAAACAATATTAGGCATCTCAACTCTTCTACAGGATGCGGAGGACAGCTGTTGAAAACCTAGATGGTGAGATTTGCATGTATGGTACGAACCAGTAATCTGGTACCCAGGTACTGAAACTGTTCCTAGGTTCCTAATTAGTGGCCGATCACGGACCCCGAGCCGGACTGGCCAGCGTTCGCCGACATCCCACTAAGGTACGGAGTACAATGGACACCAATTATGGGGCCCAAAGACTGGATGCAATGGCTGGAGACTGACAGATTCTGGAGGAAAGCCATCACGCCATTTTGACTCATGACTGATTGGGTATGGTCAGGAAGAGTTTGTCATACTCCGTACTCCGTACATCGACGGTCATTGAAACATCGATTTACCTTATTATTACCTGTCATAATAAAAACACCTAATAGCTCCGTGTCTTACCAGCCAATTACCGCCGATTACCCCTCCATTCCCCTCCAACGACTGTACTGTCTTTTTTTCCCTCGTGCTGCTCCTATCTATCGGCGGGCCCACATCGAGGGGCTTCCCCTCTGTCCTCTGCTCCGTATCCCAATATTAAATAATCCCCCATCCCTCTCCCTGCTTCTTCTCTTCCTCTTCCTCTTTCATCCCTCCCTCTTCCCTTTTGAACTCACCTTTCTTCAGCAAGAGACTGATCTCTCTTGTCTGTTTTTGTATCTCGTCTTTTTGTGTGACTTCAATTCACCCCGCTTACCATATCTCCTTTCTTCTCCGTCAAGTCTCGTCTCCTCTTTTCTCTCCCCCTCCGTTCATATCACACATCGTTCAAAATGGTTCAATCGTAAGAATTCACCGGCTCTCTTGACTGTTCGACGCTTTCATCTTGACATGCACTAACATCTGTGTCTGTAGCGCCGTTTTGGGTTTCCCCCGTATGGGAAAGCTCCGTGACCTCAAGAAGGCCACCGAGGCTTACTGGGGCGGCAAGATCTCTCGTGATGAGCTCCTGAGCGAGGGAAAGAGACTCCGTGCTGAGCACTGGAAGATCCAGAAGGATGCCGGTGTCGATATCATCCCCAGCAACGACTTTGCTTTCTACGATCAGGTCCTCGACCACATCCAGCTGTTCGGCGTGAGTTCCCCTCATTGTTAAGGCATATTCCACTAGGTAGTCTAACAAAATTATTGAATAGGTCGTCCCTGAGAGATACAGCAAGTACAACCTTGACCCCCTTGATGAGTACTTCGCCATGGGTCGTGGTCTCCAGAAGCCCGCCTCCGAGGGCCAGCCCGCCATTGACGTTCCTAGCTTGGTATGGTACCCCTTCCAACAACCACGTGTTCTAAGTGTTCCCATTCTAATAGGGTATCTACAGGAAATGGTCAAGTGGTTCGACTCGAACTACCACTACGTCAAGCCTACCCTCCAGGAGAACCAGGTCTTCAAGCTCGCTGCCAACCCCAAGCCCGTTGCTCAGTTCCTCGAGGCCAAGGAGGCTGGCATCGTTACTCGTCCCGTCATCCTGGGTCCCGTCTCCTTCCTGACCCTCGCCAAGGCCGACCGCGGTCAGAAAATTGACCCTATTGACAAGATCAACGACCTGGTTCCCGTCTACGTTGACCTCCTTGCCCAGCTGAAGGCTGCCGGCGTTGAGGATGTTCAGATTGACGAGCCTGTTCTCGTTTTCGATCTCCCTGCCAAGTCCAAGGCTGCCTTCAAGCCTGTCTATGAGAAGATTGGTGCTCTCGGTGACAAGGCTCCCCGCATTGTCCTTGCCACCTACTTCGGTGACATTGTCCACAACATTGATGTTCTCCCTGCTCTGCACAACCTTTATGGTATCCACGTGGACCTTGTCCGCAACCCCGAGCAGCTCGATGCTATTATTTCCGCTCTTGGCCCCAAGCAGGTCCTCTCCGCGGGTGTTGTTGATGGTCGCAACATCTGGAAGACCAACTTCAAGGCTGCCATCGAGAAGGTCGAGAACGCTATCCAGAAGCTTGGAAAGGACAGAGTTATTGTCTCTACCTCCAGCTCTCTTCTCCATGTCCCCCACACCCTTGAGAGCGAGAAGAACCTCGATCCCGAGGTCCGGGAGTGGTTCAGCTTCGCTGTTGAGAAGACCCACGAGGTTGTTGTGATCGCCAAGGCCGTCACCGAGGGACCTGCTGCTGTCCGTGACCAGCTCGAGGCCAACGCCAAGTCCGTTCAGGCTCGTGCCTCTTCCGCTCGCACCAACGACCCCAAGGTCAAGGAGCGCCAGGCTGCTGTCACCGAGGAGATGCACGACCGCAAGTCTCCCTTCCCCGTCCGTCTTGCCGAGCAGAGCAAGTCCATCAACCTTCCTCTCTTCCCCACCACCACCATCGGTTCCTTCCCTCAGACCAAGGAGATCCGTATCCAGCGTAACAAGTTCACCAAGGGTGAGATCACCGCTGAGGAGTACGAGAAGTTCATCGAGCAGGAGATTGCCGAGGTTGTCAAGATCCAGGAGGAGCTTGACCTCGACGTTCTCGTCCACGGTGAACCCGAGCGTAACGACATGGTTCAGTACTTCGGTGAGCGCCTCACCGGGTACGTCTTCACCACCCACGCCTGGGTCCAGAGTTACGGATCTCGTTGCGTGCGTCCTCCCATCATTGTCGGTGATATCTCGCGTCCCGCTCCCATGACTGTCAAGGAGTCCAAGTACGCCGTGTCTATCTCCAAGAAGCCCATGAAGGGTATGCTTACTGGCCCCATCACCTGCCTCCGCTGGTCTTTCCCTCGTGACGACGTCCACCAGTCCGTCCAGGCTCAGCAGCTGGCCCTTGCCCTCCGTGACGAGGTCATTGATCTGGAGGCCGCTGGCGTCAAGGTCATCCAGGTCGACGAGCCTGCTCTGCGTGAGGGTCTCCCTCTGCGTGCCGGCAAGGAGCGTGAGGACTACCTGGCCTGGGCTGTGCGTGCTTTCCGCCTGGCTACCACCGGTGTCTCCGATGGTACTCAGATCCACTCTCACTTCTGCTACTCTGAGTTCCAGGACTTCTTCCACGCCATTGCTGCTCTGGATGCCGATGTTCTCAGCATTGAGAACAGCAAGTCTGACGCCAAGCTGCTCAAGGTCTTCGTCGAGGAGGCTTACCCTCGCCACATCGGACCTGGTGTCTATGACATCCACTCTCCTCGTGTTCCCAGCGAGCAGGAGATCAAGGATCGCATCGAGGAGATGCTTCCTTACCTCCGCCCTGACCAGCTCTGGATCAACCCTGACTGTGGTCTGAAGACCCGTCAGTGGCCCGAGACCAAGGCTGCTCTGACCAACATGGTCAACGCTGCCAAGTTCTACCGCCAGAAGTACACCAAATAAATGGGGTGACTGGCTTTTTCAATGAACGGGGACGACATTCTTCAACCTGTCGCTCCGGAAACAAACGAAACTTGTTTTCGTTTGGTTAATGTGATGAGTTACGACGATGATACCAAAAGTTCAACATAAGGGTTCGGGGTTTTGTATTAGAAAATATGGGGGTCAACGGAGTTTCAACATTTACGATTTCAACATCGGCGTTCAAGCCAAACATGACTGCCTCTACATGCGGTCAGCATTTCCATCGGTGGGATGTTTCTTTTTTTCGCTACTTCGGTTTTAATCAAAAGGGATATGCATGATCGCGGCAGTCGGCGCCGCTGATGGTTTTTCTTCAATATTTCAACAATGTGTTGTACATGACACTGGAGGTGCTGATTCAGGTCTACCTCTTAGAGCCTAATCAAATGAAAGGCAACTTCCAATATATCTCTCTATCTCAGTAGACATTGTAGATGGTGACTTAAGGTCTGTGGATACGAGAATATTCGTGAAAAGCATGTACCGCAGCAACCGGCTGTGATGTGAAGAATCTCCACTAAAGTAACTAGCGATGCCGTGGCGTCATACTATTCATGAGAGATGAGGTCCTATCTTTGAGCTTTCATCGCAGATGCTCACAAGCCCATATCCCGATCACAGCCACGGACACCATGGAACAGCAGCCCCTCGACCCGCAATCGCCCTCTCCCCAAACTTCTCTACATACCACTTCCTCCCCCAGCGCGCATGAGGTAGCATATTAGCAACCGCATTAACAACAAAGACAACCGCCGGAAGAGGCAGGGGAACCTGTAGTTTCTCCGCGAACGCCGCAGCGGGCTTCAGCCACGCAGCAATCTGCAAGGGCGGCGAGGCATAGGCGAGTGCCTGAGCGGCGGGAAAGACGGCCGTGCCGACGAGAGCGAAGCCGAGCCACTCGAGCCATTCGAAGACGTAATGCGGGTAGAGGATGGAGCGGAAGACGCCGCGGGCGGGTGGGATGACGTAGACCTTGTCATACTTGTTCTTCTTGCCGTTGGCGTTGGCGTTGGCCTTCGCGTCCCTGGACGAGGACGAGGACGAGGACGATGCCTGGATGAAGGTCGGATGGTCCTCGTTTTCATCCTGGGTGATATCCTCGTTGGACTTCTTGGCCGCGTCGCGCTTCTCGGCTGCTTGGCGGCGGAGACGGAAGAGCGTGCGCTCCGAGTGGATGTTGCCTATCATGCCGGCTGCGAAGAGGACCATGCCCAGGCAGGGCAGGAAGTGCGTTGCGGCGGAGTAGGGCGACGACCCTCCCGGAGCGCCGGAGACGGCGCCGTCGGTTTTGTACCCCAGCACCGGGACGTGGTATCCCACCAGCCAACCGGCCAGACAGGTCGAATTGAGCCAGTTGAACAGCACCGCCATGGAGACGACGGACGCATGCATGGGGGACATGCTGGGGGCCGCGAAGAATGGCGAGATGATGGCGCGGTTGACGTAGTGGATTACATATAGGGACGCAACGAGCTTATTAGATAGTGGGAGCGAGGTAATGTTGAGCGCTGGCGGCAATTTGTAAAGGAGGTAGAGCAGATTCACCGGTCCCACGATCTCCATGAGAAACCAGCCTAGTTTGCCTGGGATGTTCAGCCAGGATCTCTGGTAGGAGCCTTTGCCTGCTGGATGCCAGGAGACAGCCCATTGGACGAGCGAGAGCTGGTTTACGTTAGATTGCGATATTTGAGGAGTATTGTATAGACTTACCACTGGAAAGTATTGGAATACGTTGAGCAGGGTTGTGTAGGCCTGGGGACTGGGGAGGATGAAGTCTCTCAAGGGGGGAAGAGACCCTAGGAACGACGAGATTGCGGAGCCCATGTTTGTCTGTCTGACACATTAGTATAAGCATGAAATAAGGTGAAATTAATAATATGATCAACGCTAATTCGAAGAGAAACATACGGGTTAATAGTCCCTGATCAAGCTACCTACTTATTCCAAGGGTCACGCTGGTTTGGGATGCTGAGATGCTCAGGTGCTTAGGCGCTCAGGGAGTCTGAGACGATGGTGATCAAGGGAACTCCGGAAGTAAATTCTCAGATCATGACTATATACACCACTCGAGTCTCAGCACAACAAAGAGAAGTGAATTTAGGGATATGGTGGAGGTGAATCCCACGTCAACAAAGGAGGATCAACAGCTTGTGTTCATCCAATGATGTCACGAGACAGTCACTGCACGTGATCAGCTGCTTAGCTACAGGTCGATGTATCGAACATTGATCAACTCCTTGTCACAACTGAAGGTGGATGTATCTCTTCTCGCTGCTTAGCAGCCAGTACTCATGATGTATATCTAGGTATATATAAAACGGCCGAGTACACAGTATATGGGAGACGTGGAGACAAATGCGTCCCAATCCAGGAGGTCAAGCATGGCATTCTTAATTCAAAATGAAGTAATGCGCAAGACCTGGCTTGAGTGGCTTCTGATGTCTATGCCGAGCAATCACCATCCATCAACAACTTCTATGCAAGTTTCTCTTGTGCTTCAATCAGTCGACGTATCCATAGTGTCAGCCACAGTCTGCGCTAAGGGCTGTCGTCGCGCCGCCGCTAGTCTCTCCGCCTTGAATGCCTCAATCTTGGCCTTGAGCTCCGTATCTAGACAAAACCAGTCAGTCGCGTCGCTTTCGAGCTTGAGACAGGCAAGAATGAAAACTTACCAGGGGTTACATCCTCCATCTTCAGCGGAGCTCTGTTGAATGGATCATGTGGGTCACTAAGAAGGTGAGACCGAAGAGTAGAACGATCCATGGATACCCTGGAGCCAGGGAGGATAACTGGATCTTCCATCAAGGTATAGATCAGGGGATCTAGCGAAAACTGTCAGCTATTTGGCCATCACAGGTAAGTAATTCATCGAACGTACCCAAGAATTCATCAGGAATTTCGCCCAGATCCTCCTCGGCTTGTTCATCAGCCTCCTTGGCCGCCCTGACCTTCGCCTGCAGCTGTTCCCATTGTTGGAGCTCCTCCGGGGATTTTAGCGACCATTTTCGGAGGATATCCCCGGCCTTCTGAAAATTCGCTGGCTTGTAGGACCGTCCGTCCCTTGCCACGGCGAGGATGAAATTTTCCTTGCCCATCAGATTGAGATAGACATCGACGATTTCACTCAGCAAAGCACGCGGGTTGAAACCGTACTCTTGCAGATTGTCCACTCGTAAGCTGGAGCTCTTTGGGCCAACCATGGCATCCAGGTTGTAATCAAGCATGTCTGCCAATCTCTGGACAATTTCAGGCATGGTGAACGAGTCTGCCAACGCTTCCGTAAATAGCTTGAGCATGGCGACCGTCTCATTTGTCAACTGCATGTAGGATTTGGCGTTCCGTTGCGCGGATGCGAGATGCTCCTCTTTTTGCTGACGCTCCTGAGGATCCATGTTGTTCCCATTGCGACTGAGCTCCACCTGGGTATTATGAATCGTGATGAATGCACCAAAGGATTCATCAAGCACGTAAGTCACGTCGTTTAGAAGCAAGTTCACAAAGCGAACGAAAAAGTCCAGATTTTGCTTGGACTGGTTGTAGAGCTTTTTCCGATAGAGAGTGTTTGGCCAGATACACTTGATGATCTGGAAGATTTCGTAGCGAATGTTGAACTTGTCAAAGAACTGGGTGTGCGTCCCCGTGTGCTCTGCTTCAATATAGAACTTCATGACGGCATGTAGCAGGTATTCATTAGCAAAAGGGAAAGAGTTCAAAAGATCGACTAGAACACCGCGGGCGCCACCGGGGCGAGGCCATGTCCCCCGAAACAGGATCGAAACAAGACCCGCTTTCAGGTAAGGGTTCTTGATGTAGTCCGAACTCTCCAGAAAAGTGATACAGAGCATAACTAGCTCGTCTCCCTGTGTCGCGGTGATGATCTGGGGCATGCACCACATGATGAATTTGAAGTTGCTGACAATGTCATCAACAAAGTATTCAGGGAGACATTTGAAGACCTCCGGCTGCTGCTCCGGAAGAGGCAACTTAATCGGTTCCTTTGGAAAATTGACACCGGACACAAGCCTGAGCAGCCAAACGATGACGTATCTCATGAACAGCATGGAGCGTGCCTGCCATTGGTCGTCGAACAAAACGCCTTGCAGACTGTACTTCAGAGCGAGACCCAAATCCAGTTTGTCCTTGTATTTCTTCAGAGCCTGTTCGAATACCCTAAGCTGCACTGGATTGTGGATCCATCTGGGTCGCTCCAGCTCAAACCTCCTGATCGTACCCTCCATGTGCCGAAGGTCCTTCTCAAGCTGGTCCAGCTTTGACGTCAGGGACTCACTACCGTAGTGATGAGCAGCAACAGTCAAAAAGAAGATTTCAGTGATGAAGTTGGAAGTCCCTTCTTCTTGCTTTGAGTAAAACGCGTCAGACGCATGCTGATCAGCATTGATCTTGGTTTCATCTTTCATATCAACGCGTGGGTTCCGGTGCAAATACCCCGCATCGATCCTGTCAATCTAAGAACCCGGTAAGCTTAGTGGAAGAGCATGATGAGACGAAAGTGCCAAGCCTACCTTGGTGAAGGTTGCGTCCATGAAAGGTTCACAAAGCTTGTCCAGACATGTTGTGAGATTGAACATGAAACCGTCCGAAGCTACAGTAGTAGGATCCACCTGCATTGCTCTTCGTTTGTGGTTGATGTTCAACGCGGCAGCGAACCAGTCCAGGACTCTGTCTCTTGCCTCCTTATTCGCGCGAATGATATGGTTGACGACATCGAACAGATCTGAGCTAAGCATCTGCTGTATCATTCTCATGGATCTCTGCGCATTTAAGATATATGACTGATCTCGAGTCTTGGGACTCGAGAAATAGGTCATGGTAATATTGCCCTGGAGAGGTGACAAGCGGAACCAGGGACCCAGAAGCGTCTCCTTCTCAAACAACGCTGGATCACGAGACTCGTTGAAAAAAGATGACTCCGTAATAGCAGCGGCAATGACCGGATTACCAACCAGGTTTCGCAGAGCCTAGACAGGTCAGCAACAGGAATCTTGAAGAAAAAAGCGCTAGAGGCATAGTATACTATTAGATAAGACTTGTAGTCATCATTGATAGTCATCGAAGCGAGGTCACGGCTCATCTCCTCTACGGCGGCGATGAAAGCCGGCTTGATGCTTTCGTCTTCCTCAAATCTTTTTACAGCTTCGCCTAAGAACTCAAGATCAACTCCCTTATCATCTTCGGGATCCAGAAGAAGATATGGCTTGAGCGGAGACCGATCGGATGGCTCGAGCCTAAGAGACAACGGAATCAGCCAATCTGTCGTCCGTTTCGTCAACCGAACAGGGGAGAGGCAGGAACCCACCCGAACATCTCCGGCATCGTGATCGCGAAGATGCAATAGCTCATGCATAGGCGCCGCGCCTCACAGATGACACCGAATTTCGGATCATCCTCGCGGGCACGGCGAAAACCCTTGTGCAGCCTTGAGATCCGCCCCCAGCATGGCAATAGATAGTCCAAAGGCTTCTGCTGGGTATTCGAGGCGGCTTCAAGGAGGGCCTGGTCCAGTACAGTCGTGTCGATGCGCGGTTCGCGACTCTGGTCCTCGAGTTCGCTCCGCAACCCAGGCAAGTAGATCAACTTGTGCCCATGGATATCCTGCTGTCGGTCTTCCCTCAAGCTAAGCTTGAAGACGGCGCTTAGTATGCGATCCTCAAAGGATTCAATACTCTCTTCTGCCTTCGGTGGCGGAGGCGTGTTCGATACCGGGGTAGCAGATACTGACTCCGGTGCAGGACTGGCAGGGGCTGACGGTGTGATCTTGATTCGCTTGCCTTCTGATTCTTGCAACTCCGGCCGAGGCGAAGAAGTTTGTGAGCGCGGTGCGCTGCTGATATTTATCTGTGGCTGCGGAGCGTCGGAGGTTTGTTGAGGAGAAGGACTGGGCAGTGAAGGTGTAGAAGGCTGGGTAGAAGCTGTCTCTGGGGCTGCTGCATTCTGTGAGGATGAGGATGGGTTTCCAAGCTTTGCGAGGCGCTTGTTGCGGATCTGCACAAGGAGTTTTTAGTGGTCGTCCAGCCATAAAATCACTCATTTTGACAACAAGCATCAATCAGTACAGCACTCACCTTATCCGCATCAGAGAGAGTATCTGACATCGTCTGTTGACAGGAGATATGAACAAATGCCCCAAGAGAAGAGGCTCTGTCAGCGGGGCAGAAGGGTGCGGAGAAGATAGAGTAAGCAGTTCCTAGTATGACTGATCCAAGAGCGATCAAAAAAGGCAACAGTCAAAGAAATATGTACTCATGGGGAATCTGGGCACATCTATGATTTAATAACAACAAGGGTAACGACCGGCCAGGCCGATGGATGAATGCTAGTGGTCACTCTACAGTACTGGCGACATTCGGTCATGGTCGCTGAGATTCGCCTGCATGATTAATGTCCTTAACTAAGCCAGGCAGACCGCCCTTGCCATTCCTCCACTTGTCAAGCATGAAAGATAATACATTATTATTCACTTCTCCCTCTGAAGAACGGTATGAAATGTCTCTTGAGTTAATATTTCAGTTTCTCTCCACAGCCGTTGATAAAAGTATTTGCACAATTAAAGTAATCATAGACATCCAGTAACTCATCAGTCCATGGGACGCCATCGAAATCTCCACCAGTCATTTGCTTCTAATGCACAACAGAAAAGCAGACAGAAGGAGCAGCGGCCAAAAGGAATTGTGAAGAACCAAAATCGCGGGTCAAAATGCAAAAGGACGTATCGTGACGCTGGCTAATATCTCCCCTTCAGAGAGTCTAACCGCCGGCAGCTCTTAAGTTCCATGGACCTCGCCTCCTTCATCTTCTCTACATCTGGGAAGAACCACCCCTGGGCTTCTTGCATCATCCGGTCCCGAGCATGTACTTCGCTCTCGCATTCGTACCGCAATTTGGTGATATAGTCCACTTCGACTTTTGTGTCCAACTGGCGAAGTTTCTTCGCACTGTAGTCTTCCACGTCCCTAGGATTGACGAAATAATTGATGCTGTATTTCGGTGTTGTCCGCTGCATGGTGTGAGGGGGTACAGCCGCATCAAATCTGTAGGAAGGACCGGAAGGAGACGACGAGCCAGAGAAAAGAGAGGAGAGCAGAGGAAGCACGAATAGAAGGATAAGAGGGAGTAGTGACTGGAACGTTGCCCAGCCAGACGGTGCGGCTTCGGCCTGAGCGCTGGCTTCGCGAGGTCTTCGTCGCGGTCGGGGCCCTCCAAACTGGTGTACCCGGAAACCTGGACCTCCGCCCATATTGAAAACAAACTGAGGACCTCCTAAATAACATCCGTAAGCATTAACCCTCGGAGAGACAAAAGAGGAATGTGAGCCAAGCGTACCGAAAGGACCGAACCCTCCTCCTCCGAACCCGCCATTGAAGAAGCGGTTGAACAGCTCCTCTGGCGATATCTCCTCCTCGAACATAGGACCACCAGCACCCGCTGAGCGCGGGAACCCACCACCGAAAGGAGACGCCCCGGACGGCCCAGCACTAGGTGTGAACCTGCTGTCCGGATCTCCACCAAACTTATCATACTTGGATTTTTTGTCCGGGTCCGATAGCACTTGGAAAGCACGAGAGACCACTGCAGCCACATGCATCAGCTACATCCGAGATCCCAAGGTTTCAGCATCTGAGGATGAAAGAACTCACTCTTAAACGCCTCATCCGCCCCCTCATACCCGTTCTTATCGGGGTGTGTCAGTAAACTCAATTTGCGATATGCCTTCTTGATCTCCCCATCCGACGCTGACTTGTCCAAGGCTAGAATCTCGTAATACGCCGTGCTCGAGCATTTTCGTATCCGGATCACAGCTGCCTTCTGCTCCGCGGTGTATTTGCGATCCTGGTTCCCCTGGTTGTGTTCGCGTGATCTGGCTGAACCGCCAGTATCCGCGCCGGATGCTGAAGCGGATGGCATGGTGAAAGAGCGTAGCTGATGGGTTTAGTCGTCCAGCGGTGATTGAAAATCGTGGCTTGACACGCGCTTGATCGGTTATCTATTGTTTCTCCTCCTATGAATAAAAATTGCTTCGGAGGCGGCGCAAGTTAAAAGGCGGCAGAGGGGCCGATCCGATGGCCGTAAGCGACGGGAACGAGAGGATAATGCGCTTTCCAGACGGTAAATAGAACGGGGTTGATGTATTAACAGCGAATAAGGATGAGTAGCGTCAATTTGACCCTAGGGTTGTGATGGTTGGTCTCCCTAGCTCTGGAAGATAAACGTGGTGTCTTTTTGGAGTTCAGATGTTGACGCTAAGCCGCGGGCTAGGCCTGTCAGATTATCACTCATCCGGCGGTAGCTTTGAGTACTTTATCTATCGAGCAGACGAGCTACTGTCGCACGACCGAGCATTAATCTGAAGACAATCCCCATAGTCCTTAATTGAAAAATCTGCTTGCTTCTCATTCTATAACCTTCGTTCATTATTGGAACATTTATCTAGAAATTCCTGGTCATCCGGAACAATGGCTGGTGAAGATCCGACGGAAAAGGCGAAACAGTCGCTCATGCAACGAGCCAAGGCATGGGGAGGTAAGGACCCAGCTTGCAATGACTACACGATCTGTGATGAATTCCATAGTCCGATTCAGTAACAAGAATCTAATCAATGTGTCTGCCTCTAGAGAATCCGTTCCCTCCCACTCTCCTGGCGTCTCTCATCACAGCGCAGCACATGCGTCCGTTCCAATTCCTGCCTATGCTATTCCCTCCGGTCCTTCTATTCACAAGTTATGCGAATATCCAGGGCTTTAAGACAGACAGCGCGGGGATCAGCGCCGCCTGGTCGGGCCTCTATCTTCTGCTTGCAGGTCGGCGGCGACAGCCGTTGATGAAGAAATGGGGCGCGCGGGGAATTGTTCGTGGCACGACCATGGGTCTTTGCCTGCTCAATATGGTGGGTGGTGGATTGGCTTATACCCTGGGGAAGAGAGAAGATCGCGATGAGTGAAAAGACGATTGCACCGTGACGTTGTATTTCTATTTGATGCTAGGTATATGGTGTGGAGTAGGGTGTTCCGGTTGGATCGTTTGTCTCAGTATATATGCTTCGGGGTGATCGGTTCATGTATAATACGCGAAATAGGTGGTAAAAGTCATTACGCTACGATAGCGCCGTCTGAATCTACTCCAAAGTATTCACAGATGCTGTGAGTTCGCCTACTCGGCGTACGGCCGCTGGGACAGGATGTATTCCCGGACGTTGCGAGGGATCAACCAGTCGAGATCCTGCGAATTCGTCTGAATGGCCTCGCGTGCTTTTGTTGAGCTCACGGGCCTCTCTCCCGGCTTCTTCCCTTCTACAAGCTGTATGCGCTGCGCCCACTCACGCTTGCCGCCTTCATTCTCCCGGCCGCCCTGAGCCAAGTGGAGCAGAAAAGCCTTTTGCTCTTCCTTGCTACCCCATTCATCATCGGGACGCATGGTGACCCGTAGTCTATGTTGGGAGAGGAACGGCCCAAGCGGTTGGAGGGTATGTTCCGGGGGATAGTACTTGGGGTTGAAGATCCGGATCAGAGTGTCGTAGCCCGTGAGATGGACCTGCTCCAGGGGGTTCGAGTATATGCCCGACTGCTCGATCTCCGCCGCTTTATCCACGAAGTATGGTTTCTTTGTCACTCCAATGTCGATCTGTTGGAGGCCCGCATTTGCCGGAGAGGGCGAGTTTGTTCCCAGGTGAGATAACAGGTCCTGCGCAAACAACTCCATCATAGCCAGACGGTCTTCGAAGTCGGCGGGCTTGGATGGCTTATCGGCATTCTGGGTAGCGAGGAGTAGCAGCAGTCGCGACGGGACACTGGGTTTTTCGAGAAGAGCTGAGCTTGCAATTCTCAGATGAGCGAGAGTTGGGGGTTGAACGAGGAGTCCAGGACATAGAGTACATCTAGGGCCTGCGAAGGCTGTTTTTGCTCCTGTAATTGGTTCGACCGGACGGAGTTGAGTATCTCGAGGTTCCTGGGAGAAGCGATGAAACGCTTCAACGCGGCTTGGTATTGTGATCGAAGCGCCTGGTATGAGTTGCTCGCCATGATGGTTGACTATGACAGTCAAATTGGCTGGCAAGACACTTCTGGCCTGATAATAGTGAGAAAGGACTGTCAAACTAAGGTAGCAACACTCCAAATAATGCTTGATGCAGTCACGTCAGAGGCGGCTGACTGACGTCCACAGGTGGGGTCATTTTGATAGATCATCCAAGGTTAAGAAGGCGGGCGGCTGCAGTTCCAGAATGCGCAGCCCACGGCACAACGAGGGCAAATATCGAAGGTAGCAACTTTTATCTAGTCCATCAGAAGCACTTGGAGAGCCAGTTTAATGGCTCTATCCAGGGTCCAGGGTAGCACGCCTTCAGGGTCAGCCTACTCGGCAAATAACTGGTCTGTGGGCCAGGGGCCGTATGACAAGCTCGTAAGTTGTAACAGCTTAATTAACGCGGAGACGATCATAATCATGGGTCACTGGCCTCACAAATCACAGCTCCATGAGAGCAAATTCGGACAGCCTGGAAGAGTCTTTGATTCCCACCCTTGGGCCCGAGGCCTGATGTCTGGAATTTGACCCATCTCGAACCTCAAACTCTGTACGGAGTAGGTACTCCGTATTTGCTTGGGGAAGATCGTCTGAATCATGTTTCAAAACTATAACATGCTCATACTTGAGGGATCTGAATCTTCTGAGGCTTCTGTGATCATAATTTTGAAAGTTCTTCAGAGGGAGTTATCTAGAATATGCAGGTATCGAGCTGTATGTCAAGTACCTCAATCCCTGGTTGGGCCAATTAAATACACCAGGTACTGGGACATATGGTTGATGCTAGTTAAGTCTATCATATCATTGTCATTAATCAGGATCAGACTGTACATCGGAGTGTGACATAGTTTAAAAAGGGGTCAAACTACGCAAAGTCTCACTGTCAATCTCAAGTCCACTCTGCTCTGTGGTTCAGTATCACCGTCACTGGCCGACGTCAAAGCCACTTCCGAATGTGAAACATTATATTATTGGCCAGGGTGCTTAACATGAGAATGAACGAAGACAAAGGCCAAGAAAGTAACAGACTGTAGCACAGGTCCCTCGCACCATGTTTCAACTCAGCCTACGGACTGCCTGGATAGATGCCACGGGTCGCCAATTCAATCTGTCTACTCTGGACAACTGAGAAAACTAGACATTGGTCATTTTTAAAAAAAATGCCGCGACTCAAGAACAATTTGCTCGTTGTCTAGACTCTCTATTCTCCACCTCGCATCGACAATCCATAGACTATCCAAGCCTATCGATTTTCGCTTGCTGGCATGATGACTGTTGATCGGCGACTGTCAAAGCTCGCAATTTACCGTAGATGGTTGCATGCCGCTCTCAAGGTACTCCATAATAGACGCGGAAATGGCACTATTTAATTGACTCTGAAGACGCACGCTCATTGTATGTGAAGAAATAGATAGTTGCTTCTGTATCTCACGATCAGAAAAGGGGCAAAGGGGCATAGAATCCACCGGAACCAAGAGTTATGCCCCGTCGTCAGTATTATCGGTAGAGCTACTTCCTTCATGCAAATTAGACAGGAGGACATGAGTTAATAACGCTTGGCGAGAGGCACAGAATGTGTTCATCCCAGAGCAGACCAAGATGATTTTGCCCTTGAATTTGCAGGATCCATTGTTTGTATCCTGTAAAGCTAAAAGTTATGTACTGTTGGGCCTAGGACTGGGAGCGGTACATAGTATCATCATTTTCGATTTCGAGTTCCTTCGGGGCTTCGCCTCTCGGGACAGTGCCACTTAGGGAAGTATCTACGTACTTAATACCCTCGTGGACTACTCCGTATACCGAATGGCCAGCGCATGCTAAAGTCTTGAACTTGGTAACTTGGCATTTAGATACCTCCAGCAATACTATGCTGAAATCACCATCATTTGGCGTATATCAACAAACTCTTCAGTCTGTCTAATAAAAATTCTACTAACCGTATCCCTTGTACCTGTGCCGTGTCCTAAATGTATCTGGATACCGGCAAACCGAACGAGAAAAAGGAGGGAAAATAGGTACGTAAAGGTAAGCTACCAAGGAAAAAATCCCACCACAGCAACGGAAAGGAAAGCGTGTGTGCCACGGACGGGAGGCACGCGGAGAGATTAAGCAAGGGGTACCAGCCAATCACAGGCCACCAGGACAGCATGAAACGGGCCTTCATCTCAGACTGCAGCCAATCTGCGTGCGGTTCCTGAGCTTAGACCCACCGCAGTAATTGGATATTACTTCCATCCTTTGTGTCAGATACGGAGAATAATCCACAGAAAGGGGTCATCACCAACAATATCAGAATAATAACTTCTAGGAGACATTGTTGGCTTCCTAAGAGGATGTAACAGACTGACTCGAAATGGCTATGCCTGTCGACATCGAAGTACAACATCACAACATGATACAGAGTTTAGCCTTTTTACCGTCGATTTGGTCCTTTTAGTTTCTCCACTTAAGCACCACCCACTTCAGAGTCTTTTTAACTACGGATAGTATGAGGATTATCTAGTTTAGTCTAAGTGCAGGCTGCAGGCTGTACTAGGCACCTTACCTGCTTGAAGCAACTACACGGGCTGTTTGTACCGTGTATCAGATACGGGATACTTGTCGCAGAGACAAATAATCATAACCATAATTAAAATTTAATTAATTTAATTTGAATCCTAAGGCTACAACCAATACTATACTAGTCTGTGATGTACCAATATGCGCCGATGGCCCCTCCCTCCTATTAATTCCCCTACATCAGCATCTGGTCTCCCTCTTCTCTTCTGGGCTTTTTCCTTTCCATCCAGACTGTCTGCGGCCTTCACTTCTGCTTCGTGTCAGAGATCATTCCTTTCTCTACGCACAGCCACTCTTTCTATCGGTTGCGAATAGATTTCGCTTCCCCCACACTCGTTTTTAGGCACAGTCTTCTCGTCAGAAAGAACAGAAAACCCAAACATTCTAAAGATCAGCAAAGGCATTGATTGCCATTGTGCGATACATCATTGAAAATGCAGTTCACAAGCAAGCTTTCCGTCGCTCTTCTGGCCATCCTGGCTGCCGGTGGTGAGGCCAACCACCAGGCTCTCCATGGTCGCAAGTTCTTCCACCCCAGAGGCTTGAACTCGACCACTCCTGCTTCCACCTCGACTGTCGTCGTCTACCCGACTCCGGTCGAGTCTTCGTCCGCTGCTGGTGGCTCGCTCTCCGTGATCACCCCGAACCCCATCCCTCTCAGCACTGGTGCTCCTGGATCTGATGGCTCCAGCGGTGACAATGGCGGCGAGGACGTCACTATCACTTACACTCTGGGTGCTGGCAGCACCAAGTCCGTCGTCACCACTACTATCCACAAGACCTCGACTGATCTCCACACTGTCTACGCTGTATGTCGCATTGATTATTCCACTACTCTAGTCATATTGCAACCGATTGAACTGACCCTGTATCATAGCCTTCCTCTGACGGTGTTACCACAATTTCTTCCACCTCTACCACCACCGCTACTCTGATCGCTGTTTCTTCTCCTACACCTGGTTCTGGCAGCTCTGGAAGCGGAGACAACTGCAAGCCGGAGACTGTCACCGTCACTGCTACCGTCACTGTGGTATGTATTTGATTCCGTTCATGTCTCAGCGCGTCGTCAGTGCTAACGCAACGCAATTGTAGACTGCCCCTTCTGCTTCCACTCCTACCCCCGCCGGTGGTGACAAGGATGACGGCGACCTCGAGGACAGCGGCGCCAACGAGAACTACTCTGACAATGACAAGGACGGCGACGACGAGGATGACAACGATGAGGATGACGATGAGGAGGATGACGACTGCGAGGATGAGGACGACAACGAGCCTACCACCAGTGTGCCCACTCCCACTGCTCGCCCACCCTATGGCTACGGCAACGGCACCATTCCCTTCCCCAGCGGCGCCCCAAAGCCCACTGGTTTCAAGACCAGCAAGCTGCCCTACCCCACCGGCTTCCGCCGCCACTAAGTTAGCCAGCCTGGTGCGAGTCGCCGGGTATCCGAATCCGTGACAATGGCCGTTCTGTAACCGAGAGATCATCGATTCCGAGGCGAAATGCGCAGGCTGGCGTTGTACCTCTTGAACGAGGGATTCTCCTTCTCCTTTTTCTTTCTTCTGGTACAAACTTAGTTCGGGCACAAACTTCATTTAGACGTCTTTTACTCTTCTTACGTTCTCATCTTATCCGGAGGGGGAGATATCTTTCTATGCCTTTCCGGTGCTTCTTTTACTTTCTCTCCGACGAAGCGAATCATGCCAGATCTCGCTGATTTAACCAACAAAGTTGCTTCTTTTTGCAGTTCTGGAGACGCTTCCGGCTGAATTTCTGTATTGCCAACGGTCATTGGTCACACATCTGGCGAGACTCGGATACTCGACATTGTTCAGCGACAGTGCTTTTATGCAAATTGTATGAACTACTTCTGATCTGCCGGGATGACATAGAGATGCACGATCTACTGCATTCCGGCGGAGTGACGATCTCAATAGACTATGTAGCGAGCAAATCCATTTCAATGATTCTATTGCATTTGCCTGCCTGTAATAGGGACAATAGCACGTAGCCATTGTACTCAGTTTACTGATTGCTTGTTGGACCTATGCACTTTGAACCACCACGAACTCTATGTTAGTTGTATACAGAGTAGCATGCAACGATCTTTCATACTTGAGTAGACTATCACGTACATAAACACAATATATTATACAGGGTATCACATATATCAAAGCTTTCCACTCTCCAACTGCAAGACGGCATCCGAGCCCTCTGTCAAAATCCGCTGCCTCATAGCCTGCCATTCCAACCAAGTCACACCCTGAACCAGACAATCCGCCAGGTCATCCATCTTGCGCACATCCGGGGGTTCAATCACAGGCCTGTCATCCTCTGCTGCAACTTGCCCTTCGGCCTTAGTCCTCGATACCGACCTCCCAGGATTCGATTTGCCAGCCCACCGCCGCAGATACGCATCGACCAGAGCTCGAAGCTCAGGATCATCCGCGACAGACAGCCGAAACGGCGAGCCTGAGCCCGAGCCCGAGCCTACCTCCCCGCCTCCCATCCCAGCACGCAACCACTCCCCCGCCATATTAATCTTGACCTTCTTCCCTTCCCTAGCTGAAGCCTTCTTCTTCTTCTTCGGTGCATCCACGTCCACCCCCACCCCGAACCGATCCTCCCAATACGCCCCACCCGCCTAGGCTCAACACCCAGCACCACCGGCCGCATCCCCGCCTCTGCTCCTCCCTCCCCAGCCTGTCCCAGCGCATGCAAAACAGCATACAACATCCCCTCAAACACACCCACCCGCAGCGTCCACTCCTGCACCGCGCTCCCACCCCCCGAGCGAAACCGCTGCCGCTCAATGAGTACATGACTGGGCTGGTAGGCATGCAGCAAGCCCGTGACGAGCGCATACGCCGTGCGCGCATACTCGGATGGGGAGAATGTATGTTTCTCTTTCTCTTTCACTTTTGCGTTTCGTTGCTGCTTTGACGTACTTCCTGGGGAAGACCAAATGTCAGGGTCAAGTAAGGCGTCGGAAACAGCTAGCCGGCGCCATGCGTTTAGCGTTACTACTGCCGGAGCAGCAGCGGTAGCTGTGCCGCTATTGCTATTGCTATTGCTATCGCGCGGGACAAGAAGATGCGCGTATGCGAGATTCTGAATCCCCATGTCGATGCTTAGGATACTCATAGCGCCTGTACTTGTGCCTGGGCTTGTGCTTGCGCATGTACTAACTCGGTTCTCGGGTTCTGGCTGCGGCAGTTCCTCCTTCAGCCGGGCTATGAGAGACGCCTTTGTCCCTGAGGACTGAATCCCCGTTGCTTGGGCGATGCGCTGCAGCTGGGATGCTTTGAGGCTGTTGAGCCAGGTATATGAGCTGAGGAGGGATGGTGATATGCGCATTTTTCTTTTTCCATGGATGGCATTGTTATTGCATTGCCTGAGTGGATTTAGTTGCTGTACTCCGCAGACTGGCAGTAACTTTAAGGTGTTATGCAGGGCAAGCTGAATACCTGCTTACATAATTTACACATCTTATGTTATGTATTGCTACAAGATATTATGTCTGATGATCGATATTAATATTATAAGATAACTCATTCTAATCGAACTAATGGCATATACCAGGCCGGTACTACCTCTATCAAGTATGCGACAACTCCCACCCCAGAAGAGGCAAGGCTTTTTGATCGAATGCCCTTTCCCATGTGGACGCCATGACCCGACAAGAACCGATGCAAGACGCTGAATTGCAAGCCACAAGAAAGGACAAGAAACGAATGATGAAACATGACCCGGAACTCCGTTCTGTGCCACCCGAACAGTGAAACTCCCAAGTGAACGACCGAATGTAAAAAAGACAAGGTATGACCGTAGACAGTAATGCTGGTGTGACGCAAATCTGACATTCAACTAGGTCCCCAAATGTGCGCGCGCGGTACTGCCTACGACTCAGCGTCTGGCAGACTGCTCGCCACGTCAGTGGGTGACAGGCTCTCGCGCACATAGAGAATGGGCGCCCAGACCCTCCAGTGCAGGACGCCAATGTGTGCTAGTCGCATCGATATCCGCTCAATGTCGTAGTGCTGCGGGAGTGGCAAATGCGAGTAGCTTCGTTGGGACTCGCAGATGGCCAGAGGCGACATGTTGAGGTACTTTTTGGCAAAGGCAAACGTGGAGACCAGCAATTTCTGTCGCAGCGCGTTCTGAAAATACTGGAACAGCTCGGAGGACTCGTTGGACAGATGCCACTCCAACGTCGCTTCGATTGGTGCGATAACAGCATCAGAGACCATGGAATCCCCAGAGCATGCTGCGCACGCAAACCGTGCAATCTCCAGGGCGATCCCGCGCACATTCTTCAACCATCGCGGCGACCCCCGGCGGCAGTCTTCGTTCTCCTCCATCAATGAACCAATTCGCGAGCGAAAGCTGGCATATGTTTGAGCCGGCGCGGACAAGTACCGTTTCTGCGTATGGACGTATGATTCGAAGATGAACCAGCAGATGTCCAGCGTGATGAGATTCTGGAGACCAGACCGGAGCTGCCATAAGCGGTCCGAGTCGAAGACGAAAGTCTCCGGGAAACCTTCCGGCCCATGAAATTGTAGTAGGATATCAGTTAATCCGTGGAATAATATTGAGATCGGAAGGAAGCTGTCATTTGGTGCCCTTTTGCCCAGGTTGCGTAGCTCCTGCTCCCGTACGTCCAGGTACCATAGCCGCGAAGCCTCTACGCGAAAATTGTCTCTGGCTATCTTACTCCGGAAATACTCTTGCAGGAATGGGACAGTGTCTTCGATTAGGAGAACCCGAAAGGCGCGGATCTGGTGATTTGCCACATCCTAAAGACGAAGAAAGTCAGCACATATACCTTTCTGTGTAGAACTCAGGCGGCCAAGCCTACCAATTTCATAGCCTCCAAAATGGCGAAGAGGGTCTGCAGCCCGCGGACAATCTCCATGGAGTCCTGCGATTCCGAGCCCGAACTGATTTGGTCAACCATGCGGTCTGCCCATTCGTCTCGCATCGGAGCGCAATGTGTTTTAAGGAGCCTGGCTAACCAGTTGGCGATCCCAACCATGTCGAGAACTCCCTTCCGGACCTGCTGCATCAGCAGAGCCACCTCTAGGTTTTGCATAACGGCCGGGTGATCGCGCTCCGGAACCAAGGTTTTGAGGACGTCTTGTAGGGTTTCGAACATGGCGGGTAACCGGGGCTCGAACGTTTGCCGGAGGTCATCCTGCTGGTCGTCGTTTGTGGCGTCCTCAGTCTGGTTTGCGCAAAAAGCATAGATTGCGATTTCGGCAGCCATCGCCTCCCAGTAATCTCCAGCTTCTTTCCTTTTTCTTCTCCCTTTCTCCCCGTCTAAATCCGGTTTGAAATGTAGGTCGCGATCGAAATTGGCGTCCATTCGAAGATTGATGTTACTCATGATGCAGGGCAAGTCGAGCTCACTCAGCGTTCTCTTAGTGACTGGAGGATATCGCTTAGCTTCCTGGAGTAGTTTGTGCTGTTTCACGCTCAATTCTAATGCTTTCGGAATCTTCATCGCTTCAGACGAAGGAGGCGAGAGGGTCGGCGGCGTCGCCTATCTCGTCGCATTCGAATTAGTTTCGCGAGAACAATAAAGATGGGGAGATCCACTCACCGAGCATGGTTGCTCTGTACTTGCGCTATCCTTGCCGCAGTTTTTGCGTTTGGTTGCATCGCGATGATCCAGAGAATCGTTCTCGAGGGAGTCGATTGGATGACCGCTTCCGTTGTATGCTTCCAGTGGACACCCCGTTCCTTCTTCCTCCCCCGGCGCATTGCGCCTCGCCTCCTTTGTTTTCTGAAGATCCATCTCCATCCGATCAGCGGTCCCGAGGCGTTGGTGTAGATAGTGAACAACGATCAATCCTCTGGAGAGCGGTATAGATCTGTCTGGGCGTCTCGGATTTAATTGTATGATTCACGACCACTGAGCAGTCCAATCCTCCGATGTAATCAAGACACCATAGCCCTGGACACGTTGCTAGGTCGATCTGCTGTCCCTTCCATTAGCCCTTTGGTCAGTCCTTGCCTGGGGCAGTTGGGGTCAAGGCGGAGGAAGGGATGAGGGGGATAAACATACCTGCCTGGTGCTTGTCAACGGATGTAGATCGCAGGCGGTGGATCGCAAAAATAGGGCACCGGGTTTCAGATTAGATCCCTGGATTGATGTTTTGATCATATATTTTCCTAGATTAGATCTTTGCGCAAAAGTAATCTTTCTCCCCGTGGCGTTGCTAGGTAAGCTCGACTCAGAACAGAACTGCTGTATAGCCAAGCACGAGTGAGAGGTCGGAGGGTAAGGACCATACAGACAGAGAAGAGTGTAGGTATGAAAATACTGAGGGAGGATACGTAGAGAATAAGCAATGACAGTTGAAGAGTTAAATGGTCTGAGAAAAGAGCAAACAAAGTGGAAGCAAGCGATCTACTGCAGCGCAGCGCAGTGACGAAGCGGTCCAAAACTCCAAAGGGAACCAAAAGTAGAGGTAAGGATCAAATCTGGCAAAGCGACCAGGAGAAAGTATCTTGATATAGCCAATGGCAAGAGAAGCGGATGTTTTCAGCAGGACAGTGTAGTGTAGGCATTCAAGGTATTCTGAAAATGGTCACGCATGCACTTGGAGACTGGGGATGGAGAACTTGAGGGAGACCCTCCGAGGGCACGATCACAGCACACCACAGCGGAGCCAAGAGCAGAAGGGAAACGTGAATTATGGAACCTGGGGCAAAAGGAATGGAAAGCTACAAGAATCGAATCGGGAACAGGTCGCCTGTAAACGCAAAGGGTAAGGCAGGAAAGTGAGGCTGCTCAAGAGTCGAGAGTTAAGACGCATTCAGCTACTGCATGAACTGGGACGGAGAAGCCAACAGTGGATAGAAGAGGGAAAAAGGTTTAGAATTCATGATTAGGTTAGTTTGGACTGGAGAGAAGAGCAGCCATGATGAAGTGAAGCTGGTATCAAAGTGGCTGATTGATTGAACCCCTGAACAAAGCCCGGATGGGCGTTGTGAGGACAGTAGTTGTCGCTACATACAGAGTGGATGACTATCTACAGTAGATAGACTACAGAGTACAGGGGATTTGATTGTGTCTGTCTAGACTCAAAGACTGAGTAGTTATGGAGGGATTATCCACTAGTTCCTTAGTCCCCTTCCTTGAACTGCGCCAGATTCGGTGACAGTGTTGTGGCCCTGGTGGGTCAGGAGAAAAAGAGGGTACGTATGTGGAGAGGTAGACTCTATTATTATTTTCAAATTTACTTACTCGGCATGTACGGAGTATATCATCTTCAAGATTTCTCGAGAATGACCAGGTATGGAATTGATAAGATGATCTCCGGTGGTGCATGATCCCGCATTCATTTTTGGCGACATACAGCATTCCAGATGATGGCGAAGTACCATCGTCTCTTTCTTGTCTCTAGAGGTATAATCCCAGACAAGACCTCTGCAAGACCACAATAAGCACAAAAGTTCGCCAGAGGCAAATGCTGTTACCCGATAAATGGTGGACATGCACAGCGAAGCGAAAGTGACAGGTCAAGAGAAAGCCACGGACATCGAAAGCATAGGAAAAGAGAGAAAAGCAAAGAAAATATTGATAGGAAGACGGTACCTATGGAGTACCTCCGTAATTGAGCGAGTCCTTCTCTGCCAGTTGCCACTGATCTTCGTCGGTGAAAAACCACTGACGACCAATTGTTGTCGCAGAGCCACAAACCACGAGCAAGCGCAAATGCAATTGCAATGGCAATGGAACAGGAGATAGCAGATGGATAGATCGATGGTGGATGGATGATGGATAGCTACAAGTAAAAAATTCTACTGCAGATGGTAGCCTGGACGAGATGCACAGACCGATGCGGCTTGCCGTCTGCTCACAGCTAGAGTGTGATTCACCCAGTGGCATAGTCGAGATAGGTCCCATTACGGAGTACAGTCGGAGCACAATTCTCTCACCCCGCTGACCAGCTGGATCCATGGTGGGATGGGATGATGCTGTTGCTTTTCCCGTTTTGGCAGGCAATACGGAGTAGGAGGCAAGGAGATCCAAAGCAGGGGGAAATCGATGAGAAGAGCCTTGGCGATGGATTTCCTAAACGAGCGCGATCGCAAACATTCCACATCACCCAATGCATCATCTCGTCAAAGGTGATGGGTTTCATCGCCGGATCCAGGTTTATCCTGGGACCATCTACCCTCTTCTACGGAGTTTATGTAAAATAGTCTACTCTCGTCTCTAACTGCTTATCCACAGTAACTCCACCCAATGTTACTTAAGTATTAATAGCCCACAAGCGAAATGGCTGAGTTCGTCATCTTGCTGATGTCAGTCAAATGGATGTCTGCTGAACCCTGGCGCTCCGTTCACGGCTTCAACACAGTGAACCTGACACTGCATAGATAGA